CGGCCAGCAGATGGCCTTCACTGGCTCTCCCTGGCATGCAGTGGCTGGTGAGCTGGCTGCTCTTCGGGTTGCAGCCTCATAAGCTTCTGGACAGATTTTGTTGGTTTTCAGCTAAGCAGGAAAAAGTGAACTCCTGACTCCAGAACTCAGCAAGAGTTCCCTGCTTCAAAGAAAGTGAACAATAGTACAGCAGGCGCCCAGGTTAGGAAATCCATGGCCATGCTGTCAGCAGGTATGGCTCTCAAACTCCCTTTGCCTCAGAAATCAGGCTGGATACAATGTGGCACTATAGGGCAGAAAACACACCCCAGGACTTACCACAATTTTCTGTTCTGCTCACATGTGCATGATCCTGAGAAGATGAACTGATGTGTCCCTTCCTCTGTGACATTATAGAGCTTCCATGCAGTGTCTGTGCCTGAACCTCAGATACACAGGTCCTGACTCTGACAAGGATACTGAGGAAGTCTTGGTCTGTAGAAATGTATATTTAAGCTGGACTAGTGGCTGCTGCCCCATCCCTGATGGTCTTCAAGAACAACTTGTCAGCTCCTGCCTTTTTCGTGAAACCCTCTGGTCTTTGTGTGGCATTTCCCTGTGCCTGAATTCTGGAACTTTAGCATCACAGGACTCTCATTCTATAACCTGTCCATCTTACCCCTGCCTTCCCCTCCACCATCTTACCCCTTCTCTAAGGAACCATAAAGATCACCCATTTAACTTCATGTGGCCCAGAATGGGGAAAGTCATGATTAGTCATCCTCATGAGCCTTCATGTAGTTGGACTGGAGACCTCTGTGCCTCCCAGTGCGGCAGGATGGAGAAGGTGGACGCAAACGGGGTGGAGGGTTGGGGGAAGGGGATGTTTTCATCATGCTGCCTTCCCACCAGGGTGCACCATGCCTGACTCCATCTAGGCTGGATTAAAATGCATTGCTCTCCCACCCAAGGCTATTTATTAGTAGGCAGAAAATGTAATTAACCTTAATTGGTTTGGGTCACTGACCCAAACTTGCTTTTCTGCTTGCTGCCTCTGTCCCCTTGCTAAACAATAGTCAAAACAGAGACCCAGAATCAGGCCTGCCAAGGAGCAAAAACCATAAATGCTCCCTCCCATCCTCCACTGCAGAGTGATTCTCGGTGGCTCATGAATCATTCTGTACACCACACAGAGAGAATAAAGGCCTTTGCTTACATGTTGTCTTCAATATGTGCTATTGCTGTGATTTATAAAATACAAAGTTACTTTTAAATGAGTGCTTAATAAGTTACTTTGCCCCAATAATGTCCTTGGGAAGAGAATACCCTCCAAGTTTTGCTACTGATAAGGGCTTCAGCAAGAGTCCTGGCTTCCTGTTCTGAAGATAGACAGGTTCAGACTTTTTTGGCACTCTGACTTTGCTGCGACTAAATGGTAATCATGTGTCAGCACAATTGCCTGTTTCTCCAGGATAACCAGTGACACAGCCTTGGTCTCACACTTTCCCTATCCCAGGCTTCTGTGTGATTGGAAATTAGCTTATTCTGCCTTTAAAACTCAGGCTAGGGGGCTAGAGAGATGGCTCAGTGGTTAAGAGCACTGAATGCTCTTCCAGAGGTCCTGAGTTCAAATCCCAGCAACCACATGGTAGCTCACAACCATCTGTAATGAGATTTGATGCCCTCTTCTGGTGTGTCTGAAGACAGCTACAGTGTACTCATAAATAAAATAAATAAATCTTAAAAAAAAAAAAACTCAGGCTAGCTTCTCACAAGGCAGTAACTTATGGTGTGACTAACATTTCTAGAGAAAAAAAAAAAAAACAAAAATGAAGCAAGATACCACACCCTGCCAGTGTCTTCTACTCTTTCAACTCTTCCATTCCCGCTGCCCTGGGGGCAGGGGAGGGGGTACTAATGTAGGACATGGTGCATAGACTGAGTTGAACACATATCCTCTGCTCCCAGAGGACTCTAACTAGGAGTGTAAGCTTGTCTCATCCTCTGCAGCATCAAGGAAGGAGTGGACAGACCCAGCCTCAAGAGATGATTGCTGGTGGAGTTCTTTGAAAGACCTGGCTTGTGACCCACCAGCCAGAAGTTCCAGGTCTCTGTCCTGTTTCCGTTGGGAGACCAAAGAGTGTAGGATTGGGGCTGCTACCTCAAGAATAAGTAATAAGTTTAGTAAGAGGGTGTGTCGGCCAGCAGAAGAGGAGGGAGAGGTCCCTTCCAGTTCCTTCCTCCTCTAATTAAGCTGTGCTGCACTCATCTTTCAGCCTCAGGAAAAAAAAAAAGACTTATCATCCTACCCTGGTCCTTCATGGCCAGCAGAAGGGGAGGTGAAGAATGCACCTTTCATGAAAGTCATAATAATGTCCCTGTTGTTGGCGTAGGGCCAGGCTGTTCAGTGATAACCCATGGACCAGAGCCACTTCACCAGGTCTTATATGGCTCCTATAAGACACCATCAATTGGCTGCAGTTACACATAAACTTACCAACGGGCATCTGAGCTGAGCTGCAGACACATCTTGGGACAGTTGCAAAGGCAGGAGCCGTGCAGGGAAGGCTCCGGATGCTCCGAGAGTTCTCCACCGGTCATTCACCTCCTGGCTCACTTAGGATACCCAGGCAGGCCAGGGAAGTCGAAGGTCTGAGTTATACTTTATGTAGCTTTTCATCCATCATACCCTCTTTATTGAAGTTTATTCAACAGATCCTATGAAGTCCTGTACTTCTTGTATAAGACCTTGTGCTAAGTTCTGGGGAAGGCTTCTCAGAAGGAGACAGTGAAGACAAGGGGAGAGGTCAGCAAGGTAATTGAGTGTTGTTAAATGTCATGAAGGACAGAAACAGAAAAGTGCGGTGCAGCATTGGGGAGGCTAGCCATTCTATAAGGGGAAGACCTGTGCAGAGGGACTTTGGCACCAAGATCTCAGACTAGCAGGGCAGGAGGAGCCACAGGAATTGTGTTCCAGGCAGGAATGCACAGACAAAGAAGAGCCTTAGCTTGTTGAGGAGCAGAAAGGCTGTTGCCGGAATGGAGGACAGAGAATGAGTTCAGAAAGAGAGCAAGAGCCGGGCGGTGGTGGCGCACGCCTTTAATCCCAGCACTTGGAAGGCAGAGGCAGGCGGATTTCTGAGTTCAAGGCCAGCCTGGTCTACAGAGTGAGTTCCAGGACAGCCAGGGCTACACAGAGAAACCCTGTCTCAAAAAACAAAAACAAAACAGAAAGAGAGCAAGAGCCAGGCTGTGTAGGACATTACAGGCCCTGACCAGAGTTAGGACTTTAGTCCAAGAGCGTGGGTGACACTGATTGTGTTAAGCAGAAGTGAGTGATATAATTAAAGATCACTGCCACATTGCTGCTAATAGATTAGAAACAGTTTTCATTAATGTGGGCCCGAGTAAATAACATTAGGTTCATTAGACTATATACAGTAGTTTAAAACTCTGAGACACAGCTATATGCACTACTATAGAAGGATTTGTCAAGCAGCTCCAGTAGAAGACAAAGGAAAAAACAAACCAAGAAACAGTATGGAAACGTGTGGCGGTTTAGAGTGATGCTCGGGGAAGAGCCCTTGTGAACCCCTGCATCCCCAATATTAGGGGAAATGCTTTATAAATGTATTTTAAAAGCTAGCAAGATGGCTCAACAGATAAGGGTGCCTGCCACCCAGCCTGATTGATGACCCAAGTTTCAATCCCTGGGTTCGTGTGGTGGGAAAGAGAACCATCTCCTGGAGGTAGTCATCGTGTGGTGGGAAAGAGAGCCATCTCCTAGAGGTAGTCATCGTGTGGTGGGAAAAGAGAACCATCTCCTGGAGGTAGTCATCGTGTGGTGGGAAAAGAGAGCCATCCCCTGGAGGTAGTCATCTGACCTCTACACAGTCACAGCAGTATGTACACACTATATATAGTTTAAAATATATATTCTTAAATATATATTTTAAAAGTACATCATATATATCATGTATATGTGTGTGTGTGTGTGTGTGTATAGTATTCTAAAAAGAGGAAACATCCCTGCCTATAGATGTACCTGCGTATAGTATTACATAACAGTCTTTTTGCAAGATGCTCCTAGGAAGGCCATGTGCAGCTAGGAGGAATGGAGACTAACTTAGTAGCATATTATTCTGCACATGTGACCAGCTTATACTGTGCCTATAGCACTCATTCAGCAAACAAAAGACATCACATCTAAGTTGGATCACTCTGGTTACTTTGTGGAGAAGGACTGAGCAGGGCAAGAATGGAAATGAAGAATGTAGAAGAAAGGCTCAGGCAGTAGTCCAGCTGCAGGATCAGTATGGTTTGACCTATGGAACTGGTAGTGGGCACGAAGAACAGGGGATGAACTCCGATACCCTGTGGATGAACTCTGATACCCTGTGGATGAACTCTGATACCCCGTGGATGAACTCTGATACCCCGTGGATGAACTCTGATACCCCGTGGATGAACTCTGATACCCTGTGGATGAACTCTGATACCCCGTGGATGAACTCTGATACCCCATGGATGAACTCTGATCTTGTGCTGGAATGTTATTGAGTGTCTCCCAGGTGCTAAACCACTCAGAATGCCAGAGACTATGTGAGACATCACAGTGTAAAGGACAGTTATGGGTGTGCACTACTGTCATATCTTCATGCAATTCATTAATCATCCTTATAATTATAAAAACAAAATCAAAAGCCAGGCATGGCGGTGCTTGAGAAGCTTGCTATTCAGCCAATCTGGCCGAGTCAGTAAGCTTCAGGTTTAGTGAGAGGTCTGGTTTCAAAATGAATGCAGTCCACATTGACCACATACACACACATACACATACACACACACACATATACACACACAAAATTCACCCTAAAGAGTTGCATAAAATACATATGTACACAAACACATTCATATACTTCTTATGCCACACACACACACACACACACACACACACACACACACACACACACATGTCACCCTAAAGAATACACATTTCTCAATGGAGCTTGCTTTCTTTGCAGAGAGATGCCAAAGGCCAGTACCTGTTTGATCTCCTTTGCCACCACCTGAACCTACTTGAGAAAGACTACTTTGGGATTCGTTTTGTGGACCCAGATAAACAGCGGGTAAGTCAAAATTCAAACCACAAACCAATTACAGGGTTAGTAAATAGCCCCGAATCTTCGGTTGCATGTAACTCCTATGCAAAGTTTAGCCTCAGGAGTCAGGGACTACCCAGACCCTAATTGGTATCATTGCTTCAAATCATAGCACTGAGCCTGAAAGTCACCTGAACCAAAGTTCAGCTGAGGAAACCTGGCATTTCACAGATGCCACAAAGGCAGCCCAAGAGCTCAAGCAATTTGCCATGGGTGCCTGCTAGAGGTATAGCGGGTAGCCAGTGTTGAGGTCATAGAGCCCAGTGCACAGAGAGGGCTTCTGTTGCTTCCTTTCTAGTAAACAGGCTATATATCCCTATATTTCAGGGTTCTCATCCTGGTTAGGTAGACCATTACTGGGCAATGTCAGTCTGGTCTAGGCAGGACAGAGAGCCAAACGGACACACGCCTTCAGCACCTTGCAAAGCCTGAGCCCTTCCCCTGGTCTGTGCAGTAAAGGCAGTTGTAGACTTTCACCAAAACTGGCATCACAGACAGAAACAAATTCATTTCCCTTGGGCTCCTACATCATCTCTAGCATCATCTTATCAACCTGCCCCTCCCTTCTGTAGTCAACCAGACATTATGACTCTCCAGACATGTCTGTCTCCACTTTCAGACCTTCAGTCCCTCAGTTCTCTGCCAGGAGCATGCTTCTCCTTTTCTTCCTCCTGGCTTCCTTTTGGTTTGTTTTGTCTTTTGGTTTTGTTTTTTGAAGATGAATTTTTATTTTATTGATGTATGTTTGTCTCTGTGTGCATATGTGTGGGTGTGTGGGTGTGTGTGCGCACACCATGTGTATGCTGGTGCCTTCAGCAGTCAGAGAACATGTTGAATCCCCTGGAGTTAGAGTTACAGGCAGCTGTGAGCTTCCTGACCAGGGTGCTTGGAACTGAACCTGGGTCTTCTCCAAGAGCAATAAGCACTCTTAAACACTGAGCCATCTCTCCAGCCCCAAAGCTACCTTCTTTCATACTTAAGATCTTTCGTGGCTTTTTGCTTCTTCCAGAAAGTCTCCCCCGGCCTTGCCATATACTGCCCTATAGCCCACTATGTCCTTTAATACCTACCCACGATAGCACTTCCTGCACTGTGCTGACAGCCTGTGTCCCCACAAAAGCCCAAGTTCCAAGAGGGGACAGACAGACTGAATCTCATCCATCACTGTCTACCATGGAGCAGGGCCTGGAGAGCAGCTGACGTTCGGTAAGCATTTGCTAAAAGGAGGTGTTGATGATTTGTGGTACTTGATGCTCACCTTCCCAGCCTGCAGACACCTGCATCTCTGCAGGTGATTCATCGTCCCTGGGCAGACTGAGGATGTGCTATTTGGCATCCCTAAGAAGTGGGAAAATACGCAGACACGTGCAGGCTGAGTGCTCCTGCTCACTCACCACCCGCGCTTCAGTCTCCACAAACATCATCACAGATCCTACAGAGCTTCACAAATCCTGTCGGGCCTCCTTTCCTAGGTCCAAGATTTCCTCCACAGCCCCCGACTGGGCTGTCTCTGCCATCGTCTCAGTTCTCAGGCCGCTAAAAAGGCACAGCATCTCAGTGCTTCCCAGAGTGACAGATGCTGAGTGTGAGTGGATAGATATACCCTTCCCCGTGCCACAGACAGATGCTGTTCATCTCTTGGTTGTCTGAGCCACTGTGTCCTCCAGATCCTGTTTAGGGTTGTGGACTAAAGACGTGAGTTTTAGAAAAGGTTCTTAAGATACCTACCATGCCCTTTTCCTCTGACTAACCCGGTCTCCACTCTTCATGTATTTATCTCGCCCCTCCCTGCCTGGCAGAGCTATGAGCAGCATCATGGAGACTTATCCTCAGATCTGCCCCTTGCTCTGCTCTGTTACCATGCTGCCCTTAGCTCTGGACCCCTGCAGCCATTAAGTGCTCAGAGAGCAAGAAGGTGTACTGTCCTCACTGCTGTATGTGCTCATTCTCCAGGAAGTGGTGAGGGGTTGGGGTGTTGACTTTTCTTTTCTCCCAGTGTTTGTTTGGGCTAAGCATTTTCTCCTTGGGGGAAGTATATACACCAAGATATCTTCGTCTCCCCCAGAGCTAGTGGTATAAAAAGTAAAGGGGCAAATGTGTCCTGTTGATCATTTCCTCAGAGTAGGATGTACTTGAGGAGAAAAGGATGACTCTGGAGTTGATCCAGATTAAAGGAGGGTGAACAAGAGACTGGGAAAGAAGAGATCATGACCCTTGACAGAGAATCTGCTATAAGCTAAGCCCAGCACCAGGCTGATGTACACTGAGCACCAAGTGGCACCTGGTGCTGAATCAAGAGCTGTACACATGTTCCATCAAGCAGCCCTTAAGGCCATGAATAGATTAAGACAGGTTGTCCAACCAGGGTAAGTGGCAAGGCCAGTCTAGAGCCCAGGATCCTCTGGTTCCGTAGACTGTGTGGTTTCTGAGGTATCATGCTGAAGTCACAAAGTAGCCCAAGTCGGGGTGATTCTGAACCTCAGAAAAGGAACATGGAGCACAGAGGCCTGGGAGAGTCCAAGAAGTCTTAGATGATGTATAATGAAGATTTATTCTAAATCCACTAATTCATGCTAGGGACACCGGAAGTGAACTCCTCGCTCCCAGAGCTGTGAGGAAAGCTCCTCCCCTGGCTCCAAGGTGCTCTCAACAGCTCCCACTGATCTCCACCACTGCTGCTCACTGTGTGTCTTGGGGTTCCCATCTCTCCACCCTCCTCTCCTGGGAGAGCTGCCTCATGCCATGTCCTCTGTTTCCAGCTCAGCCTGAGCCTCTGCCTTCTTGTCCATCCTTTTGCACCCTTTCAAGCCTCAGAGCATGGAAATTGTTCCATTTTGACCTGTTTCCTTCTGAATCTTGGCCCTTTTCCTGATCTGCCTCATGTTCTCAGTTTGCTATTAATTCTGGGACTCAATCTACAAGATGCTGTCACCATATTACGAGGACAATCTCAAGATTTCTCTACTGGATCTCTAAAATCCTTCAGACACCTGTGACAGCTTCCCCAGCCCTCCTGGTGCTCTGCAGCTTCAGTCCTGAACTCTCAGCACAGTCCAAATGAAAGCTGACTCTTGCTACTGCCAGGGGGAGGGGCTCCTCGTAACGCTCAGGAGCCCTCTGGCGATCACGGGTAACTCAGATCTTACCATCTCTATTTTCTTCCTCTTACCTGTCAGTCTGAAAGTCTGTATACTGTGTCCCAGACACTTGCTGGGTTCTCCTCGCTATGTAGGCCCAGCGTGCTTTGAACCAGACAGGCCTCCAGCACCGGCCCAGGCAAAGCTGCAGCTCCAGTCGCTTCTGTGGAATTGCACCTCTTACTTCCACTTCCCTGCGAAGCAGAGCTGCGGTGGGCCGTGTAATGTGAGAAGGGCCTCTTAACCACGCTGAGTGGCTGTAATAAGTTGCCAGCCTCGTGGGAGCTCGGATCAGAGGAAGCAAGAGACCAGAATGTCAGCCCAGATTATCCATGTGGAGCTGACAGTACTGGCTCTTAGTGGGTCCATTAACTACATGACCCACAGCCCAGCCCAGAAGGTGAGAGCTGGGAACTGAGGGAGGCCAGGATGCTGTCTGCACGGCCTTGGCTGCTTTCCTGCAGAAGAAAGTCTCTGCCAAGACAGTACACTAAGCAGAAGTAGCCAGGAAAGAGGGCACCCTGAAACCCAGCCCTTTGCCCATTCCACAACTATTCATTGCCCCACATGCTAGGCCCTGGTTATTATATAGTAAACAAGTCAGTTCCTGTCCTCCAGGAACTTGCAGCTAGCATCTTTAAGTGACTTCCAAGCAATCAAACCCCAAATAATAGCAGTTTTAGCTCTCTGCCAGTTGGCAAGTTACTTGCCTAATGTAAAAAGCAACAGGCATCAGTAATGAATGTTATCAAGAACCCACAGAGATTTGGGAAACTATTCTACAGTGATCTAGAGCTGGAGAGGTGGCTCAGCTGTTAACAGCACTTTCTTGCTCCTCCAGAGGACCCAGATTTGGTTCTCAGCATCCACATGGGGCAGCTCACAACCACCATTAACTCTAGCTTTGGTGTTTCTGACACCCTCTTCTCCTCTTCTTGCCTACACACACGCACGCGCGCGCGCGCACACACACAAATAAATATCTTTTTAAAAAGAGAGAGGTACCGGGCAGTGGTGGCGCACACCTTTAATCCCAGCACTTGAGAGGCAGAGGCAGGTGGATTTCTTAGTTCGAGGCCAGCCTGGTCTACAGAGTGAGTTCCAGGACAGCCAGGGCTACACAGAGAAACCCTGTCTCAAAAAAGAAAGGGAGGGAGAGAGGGAGAGGGAGAGGGAGAGGGAGAGGGAGAGGGAGAGGGAGAGGGAGAGGGAGAGGGAGAGGGAGAGGACCAGGTTCAATTCGCAGCACCCACACGGCCCTTCACCACTGTCTGTAACTCTAGTTCCGAAGGAACTGACACCTTTACACAGACATGCATGCAATACACATGAAATTAAAACAAAACATGTAGGACAGGATGTTGTCCTCCACATTGATTACAGGTAATTATCCCAAGAAACTAAGACTTTAACCATCCTTGCATGCCCGGAAATACTGAGTAACATAAGCATTGGCTATCTATGTTACTCAGACAAAAATGGAATATATAGCAGCCATCTCTACCCCCTCATTCTGAAATCTCCTCTTGTCAGTACTTTTTAGAGTTGCCACCAACACCCTCCACCCCACTCCTTTGCCCCAGGAAGTTGGCATCTAACACAGTGCCCACCAAACACTAAGTCCAGCAGCTCCATACTCAAGCCAAGCACACTGTACATACATGAATAGTTATCTCTGCCCATGGGCCTCCCGGGACCAGGGCTCAAAGCTTTGGTACCCTGCTTTGAGAGGTGTCTCCGGAAAGCCTGGGAATGGCACTTGAAGCTAGGACAGTTTTCTCCTTCTCGGCTGGTCCATAATGGGTACTTATTTCAGAACACGGCTTCCAGGAAGATTGCCTTCTGTCTCACCATTTCAATAGGATAAAACAGGTTGCACGTGTCACCACTTTTCACAAGGGTTGTCTTGTCTTGTGCTCTGTTTCAGCATTGGTTGGAGTTTACAAAGTCAGTGGTGAAGCAGCTAAGATGTAAGTACTCAAAAAGGAGCTAAGGTTTTCCCTTGGGAGGGTGGGAGGAACCCCCAAGGGTAGTAAGGTATGCTGTACATATATAACTTCCTACTGTTCTAGTGTGCCACAAAAGGGTTTTAAGTTATTTTATGTGTATGGGTGTTTAGCCAACATGAATGTGTATCTGTGCACCATGTGTGGGCCTGGTACCTGTGGAGGCCAGAAGAGTCCCTAGTCCATCAGGTCCCCTGGACTTAGAGTTATAGACAGCTGCAAGCAACCATGTGAGTGCTGGGAATTGAACCAGGGTCCTCAGCCAGCGCTCCTGATGCTGAGCCTTCTGTCTAGTTCCACAAAGGGATTTTTTTCCCTAATAGTTTGGGGGCCTGTGCATGCCAGGTGGGATGGGAGGGATGGAAGCCCAGTTATCTCCTTGTGAGGGTCTCTCCTAACAGACACCTCTTCTTCTGCAGCCCAGCCTCCATTCACCATGTGTTTCCGTGTGAAGTTTTACCCTGCTGACCCCGCTGCCCTGAAAGAGGAAATAACCAGGTGAGGCTGAACGTACAGTTCTGTTGGGCCAGTGGGAGCCTTGGCTCTGGAAGTACCCAGCTCTCTATGGAGGAACGCTTTCTGGGTAGAACTTGTTTGTGTGTATTCCCCCCCCCCGCAGCAACACACATACACACACACACTTTCTTTGCTCCCCACCTCTGGAGGTGGAGCAGTGGGAATTTTGCACTTTCTTTTGCGTCTCTCATTGCTCGCTCTACAAGGGATCTGGAGTAACTAATTGCTCAAAGGCTGTTTTTCTTTTGCCTATAAAGTGGCTCTCTTGATGGTTTTGGAGACAGCTCTGGTGTTGCTGCTTGATTTCAGGTTTGGACATAGTGTCTAGTGGCCCAAAGGACTTGAGAAGTACTAAGGTGTGACATAAAAGGCAGGGTGGGAAGCACTGTGAGTCTAAATCCAAACAGGTAGATCCTACTGTGCTGTTTGAACAAGTGCATGTGTTAATCGCACTGGGCGAGAATAAGACCACTGCCACGATTTGTGAGACAGATTTGAAGCAAGCTTTATTAACTACTGGCCAGGACAATAGCAACTGGCCAGGTCCATACTTGGGATTCCCAGAGAATCGCTGCAGATTATGTTAGCCCAACCCACGAGGCTATATACTTCTGTTTTCATCCAGTCAGGGGTAAGCATACATCCTGACGTACCTCCTGCCTACACACCTCCCACCTGCATGTGATCAAGCACATCCTATACAGGTGGGGCAACCAATCTTGTTTACAGACATGAAAACACCTGATTTGTTATCTTACCTAACACCAGCCTCCAACAATGGGGGGAATTGGGCAAATGGAGCTTACAGGTTAGGGGCATCTTTATTTTATAGAGCCTTTAAGCACAGTAATTTAAACTTAAAGCATAACCTTAGCCTTCACACATGAAGCTTTCTTCTTTGTGAGAATCGTGTTCTGGGGCAGACATACTATAAGCCCTGTCTTTTCCACTGGAGAAAGAGAAAAGGCCTCTATCCCACAACCACCCTACAAGAGGGTCAGTGAATAGGACTGGCCTAGCTTCTCAGGCCCTTATACAGCCGAGCCAGAATCGTGCCAAGCCTTGCCTCAGAAGTTCAGAAACTGTGCTGCTGGGATCCCTTATTCTGTCGTCAGCAAAACCCCTGTGGCGAGTGGGAACATTAACGAAGAAAAGCCACTAATCGCTTCCCCCTGCCTTAGAGAAGGCAAAGTCAGAAAAAGAGGTGAGATCTGTTCTGGGTCCTGAACTTTGTTTTCTCTGTGTGTACCCAACTATAAAGCACAGGGGACGTTGGTGTGAGTGTGAGAGATGTGGGTTCACTCCCACTGTCTTAATGGACAGCCCTGTAGCTTCACTGATCATGGGGACAGGACCACTATGCTCATCAACTTGAAGAGCATTTTGTCAAAGCATTACTCCCTCTCATGACCTGAGCCCGTTCTCTCTGCTGAGAGTGTTGGAGCAGGCCCTGTCCACTCCTGTCCAGGTCACTTGCTGTTAAAGCCAGCACCCCGCCTCCTACCACCACCAGCGTTACCTGCTCTGCATTTTGCTGGCCCCACAGTGGGCCCAAAAGGGATTGGTCTAACAATTTCTGGGCTGGCCCCAGACACAAAGTTTTCTAATGGTTTTCTTGGCTTTTAGGAGCTCATGATCCAATTTTTTAAAAATCAAATGTAACTGTGTTAACATTCTGACCCTCCTACCAAGAAGCCACATGGTCCTAGTGGCTCAAGTCCAGCCTGTGCTGCTTCTTGGCTGCAAGGCTTGGCCATATATTGTCCAGCTTCACTGTCCTCTGGACAGCTCACAGGATGAGGGTGGTAATATCTGCATCTGCAAACTGTTGGGAGGATTAACCAGTTTACTAGCGTGTGTGTGTGTGTGTGTGTGTGTGTGTGTGTGTGTGTGTCTGTGTACATGAGTGTATATATACAAGTATGTGAGTGGGTACACGCCTGCTCCCATGCAGAGGCCAGAAGAGATCACCAGATCTTTCAGTGCCAAAGTTACAAGCTTGTAATATGGGTGCTGGAATCTCAGTGCCAGTTTTTATGACTGAGTAGCGTGTACCTTAACCACTGAGCCACCTCTTCAGCCCTTATCATCGTTGTCATTGTCGTCATCCTTGTCATCACATCTCCTTCCTCTCCCTCTCCTCTTTCTCCTTTTTGTCATCGTTATCATCTTCCTCCTTATTGTTTACAAAAGAAAAACAACAACAACATCATAATAATAATAAATAACATTTCAGGCAGTTGTGATAGCTCATGCCTGTAATCCTACCCCTTAGAAGATGAAGGCAGAAGGACCAGGTATCATACTTGGCTACATAGAGAAACTGAGGCCAGGGCTGGAGAGATGGTGCAGAACTTAAAACACATAGTGCTCTTGCAGAGATCTGCGTTTGGTTCCCAGAACCCACACTGAATGGTTCACAACTGCATGTAACTTCAGCTCCTCCGGGATCTGACACTTCTGTCCTCTAAGGACACCTGTATACACACACACACACACACAGAGAGAGAGAGAGAGAGAGAGAGAGAGAGAGAGAGAGAGAGAGAGAGAGAGAGAGGAGAAAATTTGGAGGCTGGATGGCTTGGTGGTCCAGAGCACTGGCTGTTCTTCCAGAAGATGTAGATCTGATTCCTAGACCCACACAGCGGCTCACAACCATCTATAGCTCTAGTTCCAGGAGATCTGATGTCTTGTCTAGCCTCCTTGGGTATCAGGCACGCATCTGGTACAAAGGGGCACTTGCAGGCCAAACACCTATACACATAAAAACTTTAAATAAAGACAATTAAATTAAATTTAAAAAAAGAAAATGAAACTTTGAGGTCAGTCAAGTGGAGGAACTTGGAGGGAGGTAGTTGTGGATGGGTGTGATCAATAAAGACCCCTAGCCACAAAACCAAACAATCAGACATATAAATAAACTAAGCACTTATTATCACAGATTCTATGCATCATATATAAGTCCAAACAGGGCTCGGTTTGGGCTTAGGTTTGTTTTTTTGTTTTGTTGTTTTTGAGAGTGTCACTATGTAGCCTATGCTGGCCTTGAACTCACAATTCTCCATACCTCCACCTCCCTAGCACTGAGACTACAGCCTTGTATCTCCATGTCCTGTAAAGGGTCTTCCACTTCTGGGTACACTTCCAGCTCCCAGGAAGCCTTGCACTGAGTGAAGTCAGTGTGTTCCCTGCCACACTGATTACATGGTCCATGTCAACGCAGCCTTGGGATCCTGGCCAGGCCTTGCACTAAGTCAGTAGACTTCAAGGGCAGTGGCAAACGTGCCAGCATCTCTGCCATCTGCATGTGTCCCCACTCACATCTCTGACAATCCCTTCTCACTCTCCCTCCCCAGTCTTCCTTCCCCAGAGTGCAGTTTCCTTGGGGTGCCTGGCCTGATTTGTAGGTTTCCCCCTCCCCTCTCTGGAACGTTCCATGAAGCCACAAAATTAGCTCTAAGTTCCTCACTCACAGCCCTACTGCTCTGAGGAGAGCAGTACCTGCCCCAGCCTCACTCAGTACCCATAATTCATTCCTGGCTCTGAGTCCCTCATCGCATCATCCTACCTTGCTGCCAGACTAATTTAGTTGTCAGTGTGTCAGGTCTGGTTTTTTTTTTCCCCCTGGCACTCTCACTCCTAAATTTCACTGCCATCTGAGCCACTCCCATGGAACGAGGCTAAGGAAGGAAGGGATGAGCCGGAGAGTGAAAACCTCCACCTCACCTTCTCCACTGAGCCCTTCCCACAGCACACAGTTTCCAAATCCTGCTTCATTTCCTTTGTCTTTTTTTTTTAATATAATAAATAGATTTTCTTGTCTAAACTGGTGATGGGACCAAGACAATGGAGGCTTAGGCACCAGGTGTTGCGTTCACCAGGGGCCACAGGTGGGTGAACTCTGAGAGACCCAGTACAGAAGGAAACAGTGTGGACACAGCCACACCTCGCCAGGAAGCAGAGGGCCTGGCACACGGCAGGCGTTAAAAGGTTCAGTAGAACATGTGCATCGGCGAGTTCATGGAGTCCCCAGTCACTTATTCTTTCAATTAATATTATTTGAGCCTCTATTAGGCTAACATGGATTGCCAAACCTTTCCGGAAGGGGACAGAAAATGAGTGTTTTGGGCTTTTGGAACCATATGGTCTCTGTCACAACTAACTCGGTTCCATCAGTGCCGTTCGGAAGCAGCCGTAGATGATGCATGAGTGAGTGATCAAGGCCGTGTTCCAGTAAAACCTGGTTCCATTAGAAAGTACACGAGCAGGCCCTATGTGCCAACCCTGCTAAGAAATCAGGAAGAGCAGGATTTAAATCTCAGATTATTCTATGAGACAGGGCAAACAGCAATCCTGTCGGCCCTCAGTTTCCTCATGTATGAAAATGGGACAGAAACGGCAGTTACTGGTGGGGTTCTTGACGCCTGTATGAGGCAGTGTGTGTGCAACAGCAGAGTGTGGGGCTGGTGTGTACTCAGGGCTGGATAGGGGCTAGCATTAGGATTTTGTTTCCTGTCCATCTGTCTCTCTTCCTTTATATGTAACTGTGAGAGGGGTGACTGTGTTCTGTGCTCTAGTACCTGTGATGTAACTGGCCTTATGAAGGACTGAAAGCGATAAGCAAAGCTCTACAAACAAAACAAGCAAAGCAAGCGCAGGCCAATGAGATGACTGGGGTAAACATGCTTGCTGAGCAACCCTGACACACTGAATTCCATCCCGCTGGCATCTGAAATCCCAGGCTCAGCACTCAGCATGATAGGTGGGAAGGTCTGGCTAGAGGCTTGCCTAAATGGTACAGCAGCAGCAGTAAGAAGAGAGGCCTGTCTCAAATCCAAGGTGGAGGTCAGCTGTGGGGTTCAACAGGGAAAAGCACTTGCTGACAAGCCTGGAGGTCTGAGTTCAATCCCTGGTACCACATGGTGGAAGGAAAGAACCAGCTCTCACAAGCTGTCCTCCAATCCCAACACACACATAAATAGAAAATAAAATCTTTGTCTTAGAAATTAGTGTGTGTATGCCCATGGAAACCAGAAGCAGGTATTGAATTCTCTGGAGCTGGAGTTTCAGTCAGTAATGAGCAGCCTTGTAGGAACTGGACTCAGATTCTCTGAACGAACAGCCACTCTTAACCACTCAGCCATCTCTCCAGCCCATATATAAATTCATATATACATACATACATACATACATACACACACACATTTACACACATGCATACATGTATACATTTATACATATGCATATATATTTGGTAGAGAAACTATATATTAATGAACCATGACCTTTTTTAAAAAAAATTATTTTCTCTGATTTCTTCTTTGAACCACTGTGGATTGCTCTCTGATGATAGTTTGGTGCTTCTCTCTCCTCTGATAGAAAAATGAATTACTGCATGGTAGAAAAGGCTCTGGACCCAGACTGAGAGGCCTGAGCTGTGACTGATGGGTAACCCTGCACAAGTCATGCCACACTTCTGGATATGTCTCCTCAGTGATGAATTGAGGGAATTCTGCCCCTTAGCTCTGGCTCTGAGGAGCAACAGCACTTGGCTGGACTAGGCAGGCACCTCATCTGGCAACCATAGTTATCTTGATGGCAGAGCCTCACACACCAGGATAACCCATAGGCCTCGTGCGGTGGGAGTGCACTGGAGTCTCATGGGCATGAGCTTAATGATGCTGTGACCATGTAGGGTATGGTTTCAGCTCCAGGTCAACCCAAAACTTTCTGGATGCCAGTGTGGGAGAAAACCAAGGGGACCTCATGAAGATGTTGGTGGCTGATTCTGTGAGCTCATCCCTTCCTGCGTTCTAATAGCTAGTTTTCCTTCCCTCCATTTGCCTGGCATTGCAAGAGTTTTTGTTGCCTCACCCCTGAGGCTCCTACAGCTATCTTAACAACATCAGAAGCCAAAGGACTGCCAGCCACACAGAGATGCATATATCCCAGCTCACCAGAAAGGTCTGCCATGGGCCTACCCGTTGCACTGTAAAGCAGCAGTCTTCCGTGTGAGGAAGCCTGACGCCCTGCATACAGTGAGGATCAGAAACTCTAGAGCAGGTCTCTCAGCCCACAAGCGCACCTCTGCCGTGCTTCCCTAGGGGGGTGTTCTGCAGTCTAACATGGAGAATCACCGTCCAGATTTGAGGGTTCTGTTTGAAACGCCTCCATTAGTTCAGGATGTCCTGTCCCAGACTTCAGTCACAGATGAGCAGAGGGAAGGAATGAGATATGAATCTAAGCCCAGGAAGTGAGCAATGGTTGGGGGCAAAGGTTCGACCAGCATCCTGCCAAAACCTGGAGAAGGTAGGAGTTGGAACGGAGAGGCAGGGAAGTGCTCGCTCGCTCGCCTCTCCCACACTCCGTGTGGCATTTCACTGTGGGAAGCAGAGTGCAGACAGGCTGGGTTTGATAGATCTGTCTTAAGTAGTCATTCTGCATGACGCCAGTTTTTCTTGGCAAATATTTGGGCCAAGTGGGTTTGGTAAAGGAGAGGAAGGGCTCTTACAAACTCCCAGGCAGAACTCCTTCCTTTCCTTTGGCTTGGAGAGGGACCACATATTGACATGGTCACAATGATACTTTGGTCACAGGGGATACTTCTGCCTCTTATGTGCAAGTCACATGAGGAACTTGTATAAGGTACAGGCTCCATGTAATGCCAGTACTGCTGGTGGGGGCTGTACTTCAAGTAGCAAGGCTAGAGAGGGCCTTGGATGGCTGCTCGGTCTGGACAGGGTCTCCATTCTCAGTGCCCAGGGCTCACCACTCTCTACGTCCTCCAAAGGTTGTATTGTGGATGATTCTCTCTCTCTCTCTCTCTCTCTCTCTCTCTCTCTCTCTCTCTCTCTCTCTCTCTCAACCTCTCTCTCTCTCTCTCAACCTCTCTCAACCTCTCTCTCTCTCTCTCTCAACCTCTCTCTCTCTCTCTCTCTCTCTCTCTCTCTCTCTTTCTTTCTGTCTCTCTCTCCATTTTTACATGATTAACTGGACTCGTAATTCAGGCTGAATGTAAGACAGAGGAAATCAGTTCTCCAAAGAGGCCCTAAATTCTGCTGATCGAAGTCAGTGGGACTGAAGGGTACACAATAGTTGCCTTTGCTCCCCAGGGGTGCTGTAGTCATATGTGGCTCTAACAAAGTCCATCAGCCTTAGCTTAGGGTAACGGGCCGTCTCAGAACTTGTACGGGTTGAGAGTCCAGTAGCGTCCAGCTCAGGATCAGTCGTGAAGTGGCAGCAATTTTACTCATCTGAAGGCATTCAGGTAACTGATGGCAGAGAGCGTCTCCTCTTCACCAAGGGCCTTTCTGGAGGGGAGTGTGGGTATTCTCAAGAGAAGGAACAAAGTGGCTGTGTGGACTCTGTGATGAGCCACTCACTCCCGTTTTGTTGTGTCACTAACAGCAGATCACTAAGGCCCTCATTTACTCAAGAGGTGAGAAGTAAGCACTGTCTCATGAAACAAGTGTGTGAAAGATCCGAGGTTGTATTCTGGATCCTCCACAGGGGCCTCCTGGCCACGGGACTCAAGGGGCCGATGTACCTTGTAGCCTTGGGTCTGCTCTTGTTGGGAGACTTGTGAGATTGTGGTCCTCTGTCAGTACGCTCTTGGTAAAGACACTTCCAAACCATCCCACTGTGTCAGGGCCGTCCAACTGCTTAAGATACTTCAGAGCAGGTATAGAGTCAGAGGGCAGAATAATGCGGTGTTAAAGTGCCAGACTCAGAAGTCCTGACGTCATGACTGTGGATCTGGCCTTTGCCATTTAGTTGTGTGTCTGTGAGAAAACCACTAAAGCCTCAGCTTTAACTGGACAAAGTGGAGGTAATAATAGCGCCTATTTCAAAGTGATGGGTGTGAATTAAATGAGATACTAGATGTGAATCATGCAGCGTCTGCCCTACCAGATAGGAGCTCAGGGTAGGCACAGGCTCCTGGTCTTGATACCCTGCCTCTACCTCACACGTACATTCTGTGTTTGAAGAGATGTTAGCCACAGGCTCCTGCTTTTATGCTCTGACATGAGTACTACTCCTTACATTTTTAATTAATTGTTTTATTTTAAAGTGTGTGTGGGGGGGGTGTGGGGGTGTATGTATATGTGTGTATAAGAGGGTGTCTGTCAAGATGTCAGATACCCTGGAACTAGAGTTCAACAGGTTGTGAGCCACCCAACATGAATTCTGGGAACCAAGCATGAACAGTAGATGTTCTTAACCACCAAGCCATTTCGGCAGCTTCTCACGTCTCACTTTTATTTGGATTTGGAGAGAACTGATTGGCTTCTGTCAATCATCTGCAGGGGGACATCTGTTGAGAGCCCTGCCTGATCTCTTCCTTTACCCACCATTCCACTCTAGAGGCCAAGACAGGCCCAATTTCCCCATGTCTGACAGCACAGTTTTTCCTGGTTGTAACAGACCACCAGAGGCTGGCTCCCTCTAGATCCCAGCACTGTGGAGGTGGTGTGGAACGGGGGATTGGAGGACACTTATACCCGGAATTGATATGTCTATGTTAAACCATAGAAGAAAGTTTTTGATCTGAACCTTAAACAATTAACAGCGCAGAGCAAAGTATCTGAGAGCCTGCAAGGAAATGTAAAATGCATTTGTTTTATGGTATGAAAAAAATTAATGTAGGAAAAACGCCCTGACAAGGATTTTGATGGACTAATATTACATATTTGTGTCTTTAAAGCAATGAAAGCAATCCTTTCTAGTTCATTCTCTGTTGTCTCCACAGGTACTTAGTCTTCCTGCAGATCAAAAGGGATCTCTACCACGGCCGTCTTCTCTGTAAAACGTCGGATGCTGCCTTGTTAGCGGCCTATATCCTTCAAGGTAATGACTTTGGACAGAATAAATTTGCTTTTCATGCTAAGTCCTGATTATATTCTTCCATTTACCACAGATGACGATTTCTTAGATCAAAACAGCTTCTAACTTGAAGCAGTGTCTGAGTTAAAGGATTTTGCTTGGGCCATCCAGAGCCAAAGAGCCCAGCGCCCTCCCACACCCAAGGCCCCATGGCTAGTCCCCTGAGACACCGTGACCTTTGCAGGCTTGTGCTGCACCCTGCATGCTAATGTTTCTGCGATATTGAGAGTAATCGAGAATCACCTGCTCCCACGCCCCTGTGACTCACTGAGGTCCGAGACATTATGGGATCCTGGTGTCTATTTTGCAGAGCTCTCAGCTGAGAGTGTTCAATGTTTTGAGTATTCTCAAGTGAGAAGCCATTTCTTGATGCTAACAAGGAAGAGCTGAGCCCCTTGCTGCTGGTTTCCAGACCAGCTGTGGTAACCTGTCAGGTGTGTGGGCCATCTGCCAGGCCCTTCTCTCACAAAATGCTGAGGGCACTCAAGAGCCACCTCAGAATCATCTTAGTCCTCCTGCCTAAAGCTGTCATTAACCTCAAGATTGTTTTGGATGTAAAACCATGAAGTTTTCATTAAAAACATGAACCCCAGATTATGAGTCAGGGTACTCTCAGAAGCAACTAACGGAGAACCTGCAAAGAGCTTGCTGGCAGGAGAAATGTCAGACCTGTGGTAAGAGGGGCTCCGGCTCTGAGGGGGCCATTCCAGTACCACTCTCATGGGGACTGTACCAGGAGCTCGTGCCTCCTGAGGCACCCAGAGAGTCCCCCTTTCTTTTTGAAAGGAAGCCTGGCCTGTTCTGGTTGCCATATTAATTTTTTTTAACAAAGTCATTTCCTCAGGTCCACCCTGATAATTATATCAAAATTTTTTTTTTCAAAAAAGTATTTGGTGGCCAACATCAACATTTTCCCCTTGAAGCTTTTCAAATAAAATCAAAGTAAATGACCTCAAGGTTCAAGGTCACTCTTACCTCAAGGAAAGCAATCTCTTTTGTTAAACAACAGAAATATCCAAGGAATTTGGAGTTTGGCTGGGTTTTTGGTTCGTGGTTTTTGTTTTTTGCTTTTGAATTATAGTCTCACTGTGTTGTCCAAGCTAGACTTGAATTCCTGGGCTCAAGTGATTGATTCTCCTGCCTCAGACTCCCCAGTACTTGGGGCTACAGACATCTATCACTACCCCACTCAGCCCTGGGTAACTTGGAATGTGCCATAATTGCAGTGGCAAGCACTGTGCCCAGCTGTGACATGGACTGGACTGGTACTAGAATGGCCCCCTCAGAGCCGGAGCTCCTCTTACCACAGGTCTGACATTTCTCCTGCCAGCAAGTTCTTTGCAAGTTCTCTGTTAGTTGCTTCTGAGAGTACCCTGACTCATAATCTGGGGTTCAGGCTTTTAATGGAAACTTCATGGTTTTACCCCGACTCTCAATCGGTGTAAGCACAGGACCCAGAGCACTGTGCCTTGCTGTCCTCCCAGTATTCGATCTGCCTCAGCTGTGGGATCTCCAAGAGAAGGAAAGGGACAGCCAGGAAGCTGCTGAAAGCTCCTCTTTCCTTTTCTGAGCTACCATTCAGGTGGGGCACCTTATGTGGAGAAAGCTGGTTTCCAACTGGGTGAACAAAAGACAGTGTTCACATGAGCTCCCAGAGACCCCACAGCTGTAGACATGAACTTCCTGGGGGGTGGCACTGGGCACAGGATTGGAAATTTAACCGTAGAATCCGGTGCTCCTGTACTTGGTTCCTGGGTTATAACCACTTCCATAGCGGCAGGGTCTTAGAAGGGCCTGCCTGGTGAGCCCATCATGACCGCCTGGTGAGCCCACCGTGACCGCCTGGTGAGCCCACCGTGACCGCTGAATCCATTCATCATAGTCTATGTGGACTGAGGGTTGAGTGCTGGACTGGGATGGAGACTCAGCACCTTCTCTTGCGCCTACTAAGACCTTCAGGATGGGATCTGGATATCTAACCTGGCTCACAGGAGTTCCTGTCATCCTGGCCACGCCCACTGTGTGCTGCTGCCACACAGCGCATGGCTCCCAAGCCTTCCTGAATGGCTGAGGAGCGTACTACGGGCTTCTGCTCCTTTGTGACACATTTACTTGTGGCCTCAGAGAACAGGGTCCGTCGTACTATCTCTGCTTTGACTTAAATATCAACCCAGAGTGTACAGTGGAGAAAGGAAGGCACACGTCCCCTCCCTGTGGACCTGCCTTCTTACCTCAGCCTCTGAGCTGTGTGCTAATCTTGTTGTTTTCTTTTCCCTGCCTTTGAAAAGCGGAGATTGGGGATTATGACCCGGGAAAGCACCCTGAAGGCTACAGCTCCAAGTTCCAATTTTTCCCGAAACATTCAGAGAAACTGGAAAAGAAAATTGCCGAGATTCACAAGACGGAACTCAGGTACGTGACACTCTCTCGGGGCCCTGGCCACTGGGCATACAGCTCTGGGCATTGTTCTCTGCTCTCAGAGAGTGGTGCTCCCAGCAGTGGTGATCCAGGAGTCTAATTTTCAGGGATCCACTGTCAGCACAGCCTTCTCCTAGTGAGGCTAAACTCCTCCCCAAGAGCAGTTTAGGCTAGGGCTTAAATACAACACTCCAGTCTACAGCCAAACCATTTTTAATGTGACCTATCTTGTCTCCTCTTGAAAGCTAAGCATGATCAAGCCTGGCTATTGTCTTAGACGGGAGATGATAAACTGCCTGGGCCTCCCTGACTTATGTCTAGGACATTGGTTTGGAGATTATAGCTTCAGCACACCCTGAGACTCCTGCACCAGAGATGCAGTGGCTGTTCTTCAGCCTGGCTTAGCCTACCCATATTATGCAGAACCATAAACAACATTAATGCAGCCTTTCACCCACGTGAAGTAGGCTTTCTGTAGAGAGTGATTTTAAAGATCAACGGTAGAGTGTCTGGACGCTACATCATATATGATGATAGAACACAGGTTTCCAAGACAGAAACAAAGGAATGCTGTCAACTAACAAGACGCTGGCTCACCATTTTAACATATTACAATTTCATTTTCCTTTTAGGACTTTGAATTTATTAAGACAATTAAGCAATAATCAAAAAATGTATTAACCATCATATAAAAGATAGATTAAATTTAAACTACACTTAAGAATTTTGTTTATTTTTATTTTTCTTTATTATTTTCTTAAATAAAGAAATAAAGACACTATAAAAAGAAGCAAAGTAAGAATAAAGTCACAAATTGTAGCCACACTCTGAGTCACTCACAGAAGAATGTCCTAGGAGGAAATAACTAAACCAATTCTGTGTGTCTGTGGGAGAACTGGAAATAGAGCAGTGGATAAGAATGGGAATTTATTCACTGCAAATTCTTAACCTGTAGTAAGGTTCATGAATTTCCTGTTCTGAGACAGGACTGTGCTGGGGTGGGGCGGGGTGCTTCTCATAATACTGAACTTAAGCCAGAGTCTACCACACCAAGACCTTGCCCGTGCCCCCAAAACCTTCATCTTCACTCAAAGGTTTTATGAACAAACATAACCCAAAGCCTCCTTAGCATTTGCAGACTGTCAGTGTCTGATGTGACCAGACCTTCTCAATGTAGAGCCTAGCGGTTCATGCTTTCACTGTTAGGGAAATGGTGACCCCTTGTGGTAAACATCAGAATGACACAGACCTGCTTGTGGGCTCTCATCAAGGATGTGTGCTGGCTGCCCAGAGGGTAGGATATTAGGGTAATGGGGGCCTTTCTGCAAGTAAGTTCAAAGCAGGGGATTCCTCAAGAAATGATGCCTACTGTGAAGATCCTGGAGATCTGAGGTTAACCAGTTCCTTCAGCACAAATGAAGATGCTCCTAGAACACAGCCATGTGCCAAGCCATGTGCCTGGCACTCGGGCATTTTCCAAACACCTCATTGCATCTCAGGTTTGTTGGTAGATGTAGGGGGTCTGCCTTCACCCTGATACCTACAGACACAGGTTCTGCCTCGCTCTCACAGTGTGAAAATGCCCGAGCTGTCTTACTTTCTGCAACTTTGGCAGCTCCCGTGGGCACAGGCTGTGGACTTGTTTCTTGATCTACTTTCCAGAAGTGGCACACAGGCTGGCACATCCCAGCACCATGGGACAGCTGCCTCCTCAGGGGAACACCTGAGGGAGCCTGGCCTGCTTCTCGCTTGGGTGGGCTTGCTTCCTGCCCTGCCATATGACTTTAGGCAAACGATATATTTAGTAATGAACAATTTCTGTTCCTGCCCACCAGCCTTCAGAGCTGATGACTTCACAAGCTGCCCTCCCCACTCAGTCTGCTTTCCCAGGACTCTGCATGAAGATGAGCCCAGAGCCACTGCCACCACTGACTCTGTGGTAGCTTCATCTACATGTTCCAGGAGGCAGGCAGGAAGAGGGCCATGCCAAGGCCTCTTCAGACAGCTAGAGCGGTTTGTTTCCATTAATAGGATGGAGAGCTGTGGGGTGTAGAAGCATGGCAGCGCCTCCTACCGCTTCTCCTGAGAGCCCCACATTCCTGTGCCCTTTTGGCCGATAGATAGGGTTGAGTGGTACCCCAGTATACACTGAACCCTTTGTATGCTGGCCCATGTCACATCACTGATAAGAAAGATGTGTGCAGTAGCCAATCTACAGACATGCTGTCCCCTATCTCTGCAGTACTGCAGATTGTAAAATACCACAAAATCATTATCTCTGAAATCTCATCCACTGAGTATGGTAACAAATGCCTTTAATTGTAGCACTTAGGAAGGAGAGGCAGGCAGATCTTTATGAGTTCAAGAACAGCCTATCCAAAGTGAGTTCCAGGACAGCCAAGAACATTGTGAGATTCTGTCTGCTCCAGCAGACTGTAACCTCAGAGCAGTCCCTCCTGCTCCTTGCTCTTCATACCGAGCCTACTCAACTCATGTAGCCTGCTTCACTTTGAGTTGTTTTTTTTTTTTTAGTTTTAATTTTTATTTGTGCATGTGGATACTTTGCCTGCATGGATGTCTGTGTACCATGTGTGCACAGAGCAGTCTGAGGTCAGAAGACACAAGATCCCCTGGGACTGTGAGCTGCCATATGGGTGCCACCCAGGTCATCTGGAATAGCAACCAGTGCTCCTGACTGCTGCTATCCCTCCAGCTCTCACTCTGAAATTTAACCTTAGACTTTGTTGTGCCAGGAAGCAGTCATGAAGCTCAAAAGACCACCAAGGAGCTGTTTCCAATGTAATAGCTTTAGGGTCCTTTATTATATATAAGCTCGGGCTTGGACTCTCCTCCCACCCAACCCTGACACAGCAGGATGGGAAGGGAAGAAGGAGCCGCCTTGAACTCTCAGCAGGACAAAGTTTTACAGGGAATGGGAATAAGTAAGGGGGGGGGGGAGATCCAGCCTGGCAAGTATCTAACTGAATGTCTATTGTCAGCAGACAGGTGGATGCTCTGAAGCAAGACCATGAACAATCACAAACGGTCTGAAAGTACATCGGAAACAATCAGACTAATCTTTGATTAACTGTCGCTAGGAAGTAGCTAAGGAGTCACTCTGGCCAAGGACAAGCTGTGGAGTCCTTCCTGTACTTGGGTGCAGCTTGAGTTCAGCTGCGGATCAAGTTCTCAGACTTTTTTTTTTTCTTTTTAAGAAAGGAGGCCCAGGATGGAGTAGGTTTGGCCTCTCACCTCGAGTCTCTAAAGTCAGTCCTACAACCAAGCTGAACACTCTGTGGCCAGAATGAGAGTGTGTGGCCTCCTCGCAGTGGGAGTGGCAAAGCCTTCTCCCACCCAAGGAGAGACTCGGAGAGAGGGCAAAGCTTTCCTCGGGGTCAAGTGAAACTGTTGACAGTGTGTATAGAAAATGTCCCCAGTAGCTTTCTTCCACGAGGTGTTTACAGCCTGAAAATGGTCCTCCTACAGAGACTTCTCCTAGCAAGACTAGCTAACCTTGCCTCTACCATTCAGCTGTATAGAATAAATAGGCTGCGATTCCAAGGTGCTGCCGCTGCACCACCAGAGAGCCCAGCCACTCACTTCTTAACAGGGAGTTCACCCCTGAGGAACTGCTGGGACCAGAGCTCTGAGACCATCTCCTTTTTGTTCCAGTGGTCAATCACCAGCAACATCTGAGCTGAATTTCTTAAGAAAGGCCCAGACGTTAGAGACCTATGGAGTGGACCCTCACCCATGTAAGGTAAGACTCCCCTCCTTGGTCTTCAATGACTGTGTCTCCTGTATCGAAGCACAGAGAGTATCTATGGGCCCCTCAGTGTACAGGAGCACCTCTGCCTGCGTTGATGCCCTGTTAACCCCTCCCCCCACCCCACCTCCGATTCAACACTGCTACATCACTGTCAGAAGATCCCAGAGAAAGGCAATCTAAATAACAAATCCAAACCCAGTGCCCAGCTTTGGCAGCTGTGGGTAATTTGGTGAAAATCAATAGAAAGGACATGGGGAGAGCCCCCCACAGGGAACAATCAGCAGCCGTCAGCAACTGTCCACCCTTTACTGACCCATAATCTAGTTTCTTTCCGAGAGTGGGTTTTATTGTCGATAGTGGCACAAGTCACCACATGGGACTGCAATTTGATTCCATTATGCACCTGTGAGAGTAAAGCAGGCCCCAAGCAGGGACAGTGCACCCAGGAAACTTCTTTAATTACTCACATGTTCCCCGGGTTTCAGAGATGAATTTGGCAAGCCCACCTCTGAAAGCAATGCGATCCACAGCCTTTCCCGGCTCTGGCCACTTCCACTACGGCTCACATCCCTGTTGTTCTACATGCTGATCACTGCCTGTCTTAGCTCAGTTTTGTATCCTTTTCATTCCGGGAAAGGCTGCAGTACCAGCAGAGCAGCTCTAAGACTGAGTGGAACAAGATCAGGGGTCTTCCTCCAGCTGAAGGGACGCTGTAACAAAAGAGCGGATGTGTTCCTCTCTTAGGGCCTCTGTAACAACGTTGCAAACATTGACTTAAACAGTGCAGACAGACACATTGCCTCTGTGCAAGAGGCTGCAAGTGTGGCTCCCTGGTGCTGATGGGGTCAGTTCCTTCTGAGAGCCCTGAGAAAAGCATGTATTCCAGCCATCTCAGCTTGATGACAGTCACCCTCCTTCATCTTGGGTCTTGTCTCCCCTCCGCTGTATCAGTGTCTAAATCTCCCCTCTTTGAGAAGGACACCAGTTAATACTGGACTGGGGCTCCATCTCACAGCCTCAGCTTAATTTTACTCTCTAAAGACCCTATCTCAAAATAATGTCACACTCCCAGTCCTTGGAGCTAGGAAATCTGAAGCTAATTGTGTAGCCCAGGATAGTCTCAAACTATTGATCACAAACCTCCAGCCTCTGCATCTTCAGCATATCCTACCAGTGTGAGCCATCACAACCAATGTAACCAGTTTTGTTATAGACAGGACATATTTAGGAAGCCTTGATAATTCTTATATCATGATTAAATAAGGTCTTATATCATCTATAAATACATGTGTGAATGTGCCCATGACTGCTGGCCCTGAGAACATAGGCCTGTCTGGCAGTGAGCTGCCTAGTGGGAAGGGGACTAGGTGGGGGGAGAAGGTTTGCATTTCAGAACCTTCCCTATTGCACAGAAAAGCTGTCCTAAAGATAGGTGTGGTCGTTAGAAGGTAGCGGATCATCTCAGTGTCAGAGTCTAGGCCCCTTGAGGAGTCCTTGAGGAGTAAGACTCACAACACACAGAGGTAGGTAGGCAGTGCCTCAGAGCATGTCAGTTGACCTCGGTCGGGTAGGTGCCATGGACTCCTGGCTCAGCCTTGACTTTGACATGTTTGTCCATCATGGACACTCAGAGGTTGAAGAGGCTGCAAAAAGGAACCAGCCTCTCTTCTCTGTGTGTGGCCCAATCCCACGTGCCATAGCTTTTCAACTCTTATAAAGAAGGGAGAAGAGAATGTACATGAGCTGCTTCCTATCCGGAGTTAGTGAGTCCTTTTCTGTTAATCTTTACTGACTCTTCAGCCAGTCTTGGGAAGGCAGTTTTCTCCCTGTTTTATAGAAAGTTGATGTACTAGAAAGCCATAGTTCATAAGGCCCTAAGAGACAGAGCAAAACTTTGAACTCGGATCATTTCCACTGTTGTGTAGCTGTATAGGAGAGAAGCCTGAGAGACTTTCTGTGGGGAAAGGGAGAGACTTTTATCCCACATTCCCAGTCCTGGGCCTCCTGCTCATCTGGGTTATCCCAGGGCCCCACTGCAGACTCCACACTTGACCCTCAGGTCCCTTGATTAGGCCCTGGCAGTGTTTCCTCAGTCCTCCAAGGCAGGGAGCAATTCAGAAGTCCTCACTTTTATCATTAAGTGGCCTCTCTTCGGTGATGTGCTACGAGGCACCCCCTTAATGTGGCTACTAGGAGAGCTGGAATAAGCTGGCACAGTCTGCGTAATAAATTCTGATGATTTCTATTAACAGGGAGGCAATTACTGGGCCCAGGGAATCTGGGCCATGCAGCCCCAGGGAGGACTGCAGAGGGATCGTTTTGATAATTAAATGAGAGTGGACGGCTTCGGCCGGGCTCTGCTCTCCTGCACCGATTAAGAAGCTAACGTTGGTCTCGTGCTGATGGTTGCTTTCTGCCCGTATCCTTGTCTGATCCTAGGCCCAGAGGGAGGCTGCCTCCGGGTGTCTGGATCAAACAGCCTGGCAGGCACCACCCACCTCTGACCATTCCCTGGGTCTCACCTCCTACTGTGTCACAGCCTCCAACCCCTTCCTTAATACCCACTTGAAGTTCATGACCATCCAGAGCTTCCTGCTTGAAGATCTGCATCTACACTCGTTTCTTAACTACAAAACCTTAGCTGTCAATATCAAAGATCAAATGTTGGGGTTCTGTCTGAAGTTCAGGAGTCTCGATAGCTGTGCTCGTGTTGACACAGCCACTAATGTACATGGTCACCCACTATGCAGAACTTCTGAGGTAACAGCCCTACCTAAAATGTGGAGAAACTAAGGGACTTAGCTACAGTCACGCAGTGCAGCCAGACCTGGACCTAACAGGGCTGTGGCACAGGTGACTTTCTGCCCTATTGCTGATGTGCTAGCAAGGACAGAGACAGCAGAGGCCTCCCAGCCACCCGGCTTCCTCACTCCACTTTCTTTCTCCAGGCCTGACCCTCCCATCCCGCGGTTTTCAGCTTGTGGGTCACAATCCCTTTAGGGTGACCCTTTCATAGAGGTCGCCCAAGACCATTGGAAAACACAGATATCTGTGCCAGAGTGGCAAGCTCTAGAGATTAGTAACTTACATTACAATTCATAACAGTAGCTAAATTATAGTTGTAAAGTAGCAACCAAATGACTTTATGGTTGGGGGTCACCAAATATGTGGAACTGTGTTAAAAGGTCACGGGGTCAGGAAGGTTGAGAATCACTGCCCTAGCTGTTCTTCCTTCTAGACCCTTCTGTGCCTCGGAATGCTTTATGAGACGCCCTTTCCACCTCTACTCCAGCCTTCCCTTATCCCTATAAATATGTACTTCCCCTGCTTAGCCCAGTGTCCACACTGGCCCACATCGCTGTCTTACACTATTTCTGCTGAATATTCCTGTAGCCTGTTCTACACACGTGCAGACACAATGAAGTCATGCCTCTTTCATCCCTTATCTGTGGGTCCACCCTGCACAGGGACAGAAAGCTTTCCAGTATCCACCCTCTATCTTAGATTGGCTGCCATGTTTATGCCAATTCACTCAAGTTAGGCCTGCCACCTCGTTCGTGGCAGGCAGGAACCATGTTTGTGTGCTGTGCCTTGTACTTGTATGCTGTTAATCACCTCCAAGCACTGGTGACAGGCAGGAGGAAGCCTTATGTCTTCTTTTAAAAGCCCTTCGCTGAGCCCTTGAATTAAATGACCCTGTGCTTTACGGCCAAGTGTCTGGCTCTCCACAGCCCAGAGGAAATGATAGTGATGAAATTAGTCCAAAAGCCTTGGAAAGCACAAATATTCCAGATGCTCACACTTGCAAACCTGACTCCATGAGGCAGCTTTAAGGCAAATGCTTTTTCCCTTGAGGTAAGGCTCACTGGACCCTTCAGAGGATCCCCTGTCTCTCAGGCCACTCAGGCTAAATATCTGTGCCAGGATGTCAAGCTCCGAAGCTGAGAGAAACCAGAACTGCCCACTTGATGGCAAGGTTTTCCAGAAATCTCCATTATCACTCACATATCCTAAAAGCAAATGCTAACCCAATGTCTTGATCCAAAGGAAACTGAGAAGTCCTCCACTAAGCAACCTCTTCCACTGGCATCCTCCACTTGAGGGTACCAGGCCCCATGTTTTCTGATGCACCTTCACCCCGCTTGCTCAGCAAAATCCCCAGCCTGGTGCTGACAGACTTGGGCAGTTCTGCTCAGCCAGTTGCTGCTGCTTGTGTCTTCATCTAAACTTCCCTGACGTATTAATCCCATGGTATTATGTATACAGAGACAATGATAAGCTGCCTCTGTTAGCTGGTTTGTTTTGGCAGTGCTTGGGATGGAAGCTAGGGATTTACACATGCTAGGCAAGTGTTCTGCTGATGAATTGAATCCCCAATCCTCTAACTTCCTACTAAGTTACCCACACTGTCTTGAAGTTACTCTGTAGCCTAGGCAGACCTTTAATTTAGGTTCTTCCTACCTCAGCCTTGGATTACAGGCCTGATTAGTAACTGTTTATACACACACACACACTTCACCTACCATAAAATTACACCCTTTTCAGTTTTGTAGTCAGTGGTTTTTAGTATATTCACAGTCACCCCTACCATCTAACTTTAGAATACTTTTATGATCCCCAGAAAGGTCCAGCCATGTTGTATATGTGAGTACCTCAGTCGTCTTTACTGCTGATGACTATCGGCACCACTATCTACCGCTTGATTATCTGCCTATTGACTGATGAACATTTTTCTCTGCAGCTGGACTGGGCTGCTCACATTGTTTGGCTACCCTAAATAGCTATAGTATTAACACTCATGCACCTATAGACATGTTAAAATTCTCTTGGGCATATCCCTAAAAGTGGAATTGTTGGGTCATGCAGTAACTCTGTATCTAACCATTTGGAAAAATTTCCCAACTATTTCCCAAAGTGACTGTGCTATTTTAAAAGCCTGCCAGCAATACAATGGTCTTGACCTTCTCTCTGGCTGTGTATATCAGCCTACAGAGGCTGATTCATTACCACACACTGTACAATGTCACCCATTGTACAGTACAGTTGCCATCACACTGAGGGTCATCTGGCAAGCAGCAGGACTGGTTCTGCTCTGAAATGCCCTGCTCATCCTACAGTGACCTACTAAAAGGCAGTTTCCCTGCTTCAACTACAAATAACATGGGTGTCTATCTATGGTTTTTGAGACTGGTTTTTCATGCAGCCTAAGCCGATCTTGAACTCAGTATGTAGCTGAAGATGACCTTGAACCTCTGATCTTCCTGCCTCCACCTCCTGAGTGCTAGCACCTAAGGTTTTTGCCACTACCGCAGACACAGAGAAATGTGTTTTCTGTCCTTTCTCCTCTATTCCTGTACCTCTATGGCCCAGTGAGAAGTCTTTCTCTGTTACAGGATGTGTCAGGAAATGCTGCGTTTCTGGCATTCACTCCTTTCGGGTTTGTTGTTCTTCAAGGAAACAAGAGGGTTCACTTCATTAAATGGTGAGTGTCTGTCTTCATCTCCAGAACAGGTTCCTCATGCCTCACTAACGGGGAGGGGCTATGGTACCCATGTGCTTTGTCTGTGATGGGCAGCTATGGTTTGCAGCCTTTCCCAAAGCCTTGAGTTGAGAATGAACTGATCAAGGTAGTGGTCTTCTCCGTGGGATCCTGTCCCTTCAAAGGGTGTCCCTGAGAGTCAACAGCCTCTGCAGACAGAGAGGGCACTGGGGTTTGATCTTGAGGGAAGCCTGCAACTGGAGCCAATATAAGGGAAGGGAAGTCCCCAAGTGAACTAAGTCTTTGGGTCCATCACTCGCTGAGGGCCACTGCCAGCTTACTTAAGGCCATTCATCTCAATTCATAGCCCAATGCTCTCACTCTTCTAACAAGGGAGGGGTTCATAGACAATTAGACGTCACCTATGACATGTAAACCCCCCTCTGGGCTCAGTCTGCAAGAGCTCAAATACTGCTGTCTCAGGCATCTCCACCCTTAGGGCTCTATGTCCCTTGGCCTCTCAAAGTCACATCCCCACTTCTCCCTCCCTCTCCCTGCCACACCTAGTATGCAGGAGCCAGCGTCTCGGTTGCACCCACCTTGTTTCCCCTCCGTGTTTCAGTTGGGGATGTCTGGCACTTCTCTGTGCTGACATGTGGATGTCTCTGTGCTGACATGTGGATGTCTCTGTGCTGACATGTGGATATCTTGGGACCTAGCTGCTGCCTTGTCTTTATACACATCTGTCAGTCTCACCAAGATACTCTGCATAACTGAGTACCTGTCACTTTTTTCTTAAAATTATTTATAATCTTTGATAATTTTGTACATATATACAATATATCTTGATACTATCCACCCCAACTTCTCTGGCCACTCCCCTAAGACTCAACAACTCTCCCCTCACTCCTGTACCTCTCTTTCACATCCTCTCTTTTTGTTTATGGCAGGTTTTTTTTTTTTTAAGCAGCATCTGTCTTCATAACCTCAGGCTGTCCTGAGACTTACTATATAGTCCAGGCAGGCTTCAAACTCACAAGGATCTGCCTGCCTCTGCCTCTCTGAAGGATTAAAAAAAAATCTACTGGGATTAAAGGTGTATGCCATCATTCCTAGCCCTTTTCATGTTCTTTTTTTTTTTTTTTTTTCAAAAAAAATTTGTTGTTGTTTTGTTTTGAGGGGGGTTGTTTGTTAGTTTGTTTTGTTTTGTTTCATTTTGTTTTTGAGACAGGGTTTCTCTGTGTAGCCCTGGCTGTTCTGGAACTCACTCTGTGGCCTCAAACTCACAAATCTGCCTGCCTCTGCCTTCTCAGTGCTGAGATTAAAGGCATGTGTCACTACCACATGGCTAAAACAATTTTTTACTACATTTATGTATTTTGTATGTAGTGGGCACACATATCGTAGCATGTATGTAATGGCAGAGGACAGTTTTTCACAGTCTCTTCCCTCCTTCCACCATGTGGGCACCGGAATTAAACTCAGGTACCAGGCTCAGCGCTGTATCTTGTTGAGCCTTTCAACAGCAGTGCCCATCCCATTCTAAATATAACCAGAGTCCACTGAGCGCTGCCTACATGTGCAACCTACCAGTAACCACACAGCCCCCAAAGAAAAATGACCACACACACACACACACTCACAGAGCAGCCATCTGTTGCCAATAGGTCCTCAGCTAGTGTTGGATCCTCATGTGCCCCTCCCCCATCTGTGCTGGAATCACTAGCTGGTTTGATCTTGCAAAAAGCAGCTTCACTGACCAAGACTGAGCACTGACCTAAGGTATAAACGCAGATATTTAGAAAACAGTCTGTTCAGCAACACATAGATCCAGCAGAACCTATGATCTCACCAACCATGGCCTTTTGACTACTTTTACAGCATCAGGACTCTATTCCTGTGGGCAGGCCTCAAATCCAATCAAAGAGCAGTTAGTTATGCCCACATAACATTTCTACCACTATCAGGTACCGGTGGGCACACCCTGCTTGGCAAGTTAGTATTGTAGCTGCAGGGGCCATCACTGAGTAAGTGCATTGGTAACTCTCTACACCTTTCAGCACTATGGAAGCTACCTAGAAGGAAGTTTCCAGGTATTTCTCCATGTCTGGCAACCAGAGTGTGTTAGATCTTCGGCAACACAGCCTTACCATGTAGTTATTGCGGGCAACAAGAGCAACAACAATACCCTGTGTGGTTTGAGGGGCTTCTCGGAGCCTCCCTAATCAATAACTAGTAGGGGCCTATCTATCCCACACTGGCATTGAGATATTCATTTAATAACTAATCTCTTTGGGGAAAGGATTGTCTACCCATACAAAGCACCTCTGTTCAAATTTGATTTTTAAAAAATATATTTTTTAATTTATTTACAAAGTAGTAGTATTCCATAAGATTTTTTCATGCATACTTAGTTTTAGTTAACTCACCCTCCCGTCCCCTCCTCCCTTCCCACCCCCGTCCTCTCCCCCACTCTTACACACACACACACACACATACACACACACACACGCATGCACACATGCACACACACACACACATACAGGCACCATACATACTCTACCATCCTCTCTAAAGGTTTCCTCCCCTCCCCTCTATCATGGGCCCTTTCTGGCTTCCTAATTTGTGCAGACACTCCATAACAAACACACAAATCTAAAAATTTTAAAGTAGGGTGAACATCTGAAAGAGAACACAGTTTGAGCCTCCTGTGACTTCAATTCTGTATCGGGCTTCAGCCTGCCATGCCTAAGCCAGCTAGCCCTTCTGACAGATAGGTTGGATACATGGCTTCCTTTGGTCTGGGAGAGTCTGGTTAGGATCAGAGCCCTTCCCTCGCTTCGGTAGCCCTTTCTAGACAAGTAAAGTATAGTGTGAATGGAGCTGTTTTCTCATGAGTTTTCTTCTCGGGATGCTGTAGTCATCTCTTCCCATGCTCTCTTACTCAGCTGATACACGGCCACCAGCCACCTTCCTGCCCCAGATTGCTCTGGTGGAGTCTGATAATATGATTAATGAGTCCTCAAGCAACTACTCCTCAGACATATGGCACTGGGTCCCATTCCCAAGGCATTTGGTAGCATGGAGTACCCAACACAGCTGTGATCCCCCAAACTGGCTCCCATCTTGGTACTTTCTGTGTGACAATGTAAGGGTTTGCTGTCTCCTAGCCAAGACTGACTGGGATTGGGCCACAGTTCTCCTTGTGCAGGGCATTTGCTGCCTGGTGCTGTCTGGTGTTCCTTAAAGGGTTGCACCCTTCACAGAGCAGTTGTCTTATGTCTAGAAACCAGGTCATCCCTGTAACAGACACTCTCAACCCCTGAATTATCCCTGCCTCACCCACTTTTTGTTCTCCCATGACCCTCTCTTCCTGGAAACCATCCAACTGTCTCAACTCCAGAATCATAGATGTAAACCCAACCTCACATTCAACAGGAAAAAACAAACTCGTAGGCCAAGTGAGATGGCTCACACCTGTAATCTTAGCTCTCAGGAATCTGAGTCAGGGGAATCACTTTTGTGTCAAGGCCAGCCTGGTCTACACAGTGAGTTCCAGGACGACCAAGGCTACACAGTAAGACCTCATCTCAAAAAGGAAAAAAAAAAAAAAAAAAAAAAAAAAAAAAGGAAAACTATCCTCCACACTTACTGGAGGCTGTATGTTCATTGTATTCTGAGTGTTGGCCAAAAGCAACAGAAAGGGACACAAAGAAGCTTGCACTAGTTCTAAACCTGTACTGGGAAATTGTAAAGTGTCACTCTGATCCAGCCATGACTTTTCAGTGAGAGCGAGTCACATCCCCGATGCTGTCCAACAGTGAATCAGGTACCTGGTGATTACTGCTTTCTTACCACTTACTGGGATGGCGAGGAAACCTCTCTAGAGATGACAGGAAGCCACTGGTGTCAGATGTGCATGACCAGACCTCCTTAGGGGTTTCAGACAGAAAAAGGAAAACTCCGGTGGGGGTCAGGCCCTGAGTTGGGCATACAGGGCTGGCTGATGGGGAGGCCTGGTGGCTCTCAGGGACATCCAAATAAGTCCCGGGTAGTTCCCCCACTTTGTAAATGTAACCAAGGCTGTAAGCAGTTTGTGGAGGTGAGGTCTGGGCTGTGCCATGTACAGTAACCATGTCACTTCTTCTGATTTGTGTCTGTCCCACGGGTGACGTACCCCAGTATCCTGTTTGCCTCTTTTACTGCAGCCATTCACTGGGCTGGTGGCTTCAAGGATTTTTCTACAATAACCCCTAAGCCCCTTTCCTGGTCAGTACCCTGCATGACTGTTCCATGTAATCTGTTCTCTCTCTTTGGTATGTCGCCCCACCCTTCCCTGAGATCGTTTGACATTTGTCTGCATTAAACTGCATTTTCCATCCAGTGACACAGTCACCTGAAAGACAGCACCCTCGGCACCTGGATGCGTTGTATTTCATTATTTGCTGTGATCTTCAGCTTTGGCCTCATCAGCTACCTGTGGCGTCTTCTATCCGACAGTCCCGTCAGATAACGTACCTGGGCTGTGAATCAAATCTGGCAGCGATGCCTCTTCTTGCACTCACTTTCCGTGCAGATGTTGCCCTTTTCTAGCCACTGTTGATGAGCCCGAAATCCTCCTCTCACCCCAATATTACAGTGTGATTGACTGGAAAGCTGTGGGCTGAACTGTCTCAAAGACTGTTCTCTAAGGCCACCGCGCTACTGTCTTGTTCTCAGTTCTAATTTTGGCTAAAACTGTGTCTGTGCCTGGAGCCCCTTCCAGTCGGGTGGGCTGTGCATCTACATTACTGTGAACAACCAGCCTGCAGCCAGGTGACAGACGAGCACTCTCTTTGTGCTTCTAGGAATGAGGTGACCAAGCTGAAATTTGAAGGAAAGACTTTCTATTTATATGTAAGTCAGAAAGAGGTGAGTGCCAGCTTCCTTCTCTTCAGGGAGGGCTAGGGCACTGTGACAGTCCCTCATAGGTGCAGCCAAGAGTAAGGAGTCCAGAGGAGGACATCTGCCTCCTCGGCTGGGGCAAAGGTGGAGGTATGTGGGGGCAGGAAAGCCTGGATATGCTGGTAGCACCCAGAGGATCCACTCGAGAAAGATGGCCTCCAGGAAACAGAGTTAAATGAGGTTCTCTTCCCCCACAGAGAATGCCAAGTGGATGGAAGTTCTGCTTCTCACCAAGAGCCACTAGGCTTGCCAGGTGTGAGGTGGTAAATTGTTGTGAACCCCTCTTCTAGCTAGCCAGCTGCTAGAGGGCTTCCCATATCACAGGACACAGGGTCCCAGGCTTCTCCACCCACCTCAGCTGTTTCTCTATGGAATTTTTTGCAGGAAAAAAAGATTATTCTCACGTATTTTGCTCCAACTCCAGAAGCCTGCAAGCACCTCTGGAAATGTGGAATTGAGAACCAAGCCTTCTACAAGTGAGTGGACACATGTTGGGGACCACAAAGCTGCCTCCAGAGGATAGGCAGGCCAACCTTGAGAAACAGGAAACCAGCAGAGTGATTCTGGTGTTGTGGCAGGAAAGCCCAGTGGGTGTCTTAATATGAATCACTGTCTCTGTGGGACCCTGGAAGGCCTGGAAGACAGGAGTTCCATGAAAGACCCCACACAACCCAGAGCAGTGTCCCAACCTCAGACCTCAGCCTTGGGGAGAAGTTGGGCTCTCCCCCCGGCGAGCAGCTCAGAGCCGAGTGCCTGGGAACTTAGAGTAGGAGAGCCAGAGATGGTGGCCCTTTGGCCTGCTGCTGAGAAGCTAGGTTTGAGCCAGAGATAACTCTGCTTGCCAGAGAGTTTGGAGGAGTCTGGGAGACTTTTGCATCCACTTTTCTCTGATGAAGAATGTAGGTCTGAACTGTGACCATGCACAAAGAGATGGACCAGAGAGAGGCTGAGGTGCTGCTGAGTAAATGTCTCACCAGACCCCTTGGCATTGCTTTAAAACAAAACAGTATGATTCGTATTTTAATAGATGTTCTGGGCTGCAAATGAAGTTCACTTGCTATTGAGTACTTGGGCTCAATACTCTGCACTGCATAATCAGGGCACAGTAACAAATGCCTGTAATCCCAGCTCTCAGGAGCTGGAGGCATGAGAATCAATTAAAGGTCATCTCTGACTACGAACAGTTGCAGGATAGCCTGGGCTACATGGGACACTGTGTCAAAAAAAAAATCACAATGCCAAGCAGTATGATATATTCCAGTTAAGGTGCTCTTGCTGTCACCAAATATTGTGATAAGCCAGCATAGGTGATAGCTCTACTATCTTGAAGGAGTTTGGGGAAAGAGCTGACTCTAGCCAGCAGAACTGATTTGCCAGTTGCCAGGGCCACAGCCCCAGAGCTGTGTCTGGGGAAGGCACTCTGTCTTTAATATTCACTGTGCACTTGGTAATAGCACCAGGGTGAACTGAATGAACAGTGTGTATTCCACCCTGTGTGGGCTTTCTTCTGAAGGGAACGCTTTTGGGAGAGGCTTTAGCAAGTTTGAATTTCCCTGCTGTTGAGAAAGCCATGTTCTTCAGCTACTGTCTTCCTTTCACCTGTGAGGACAAAGCCCAGGTTTGGCCAGTTGCATGAACCTAGAGAGAAGCAAATCTGAGAGACAAACTCCTGTTCATGGGCCTTAGAAACAGCCCAGGGAGTAGAGAGAGGAAAGTCCTAAAGGTCCTCATTGCCCTGGGAATTCAGAAGTGTCCGCATTCTTTCTGCCAAAAGAAAGAATGCATCATCAAAAGAAACCAAGTGCCTGTCTCCTCTCTTTTTCTTTTCTGGGGCCTGTGTCCTAGGAAAAAATACTTGTTTCCGAGCCCACGTGTGGCCACTGGCTGCTGAGTCTTCCTCCTTGTGGGCAGCACTCCTGTTCAGATAGCCAAGGGCTTTTTCTTGAACCTGAAAGGAAGTCTCAAGTAGCCTTTTCAGGCTGCACTACCCACCCTCCGTTAATCTGTGAGGTGGTTTGGGCCACGTGTCACCCTGAACTTTGCTTTGCCACAGGCTGGAGAAGTCAAGCCAAGTCCGCACAGTGTCCAGCAGCAATTTATTCTTTAAAGGGAGCCGGTTCCGATACAGGTAAATAGTGACAGTAAGTAGCTATTCCAGATCTTTCCAGACCCTTCTCTAGAGAACACTCTGTGCACCTTATCCTGAAAACAGAGGAACCAAAGCTTGCGGCAGGGCCTAGCGTTTCCTCCCAATTCCTGAGCCCTTTGCTCCCTTCTTCTCTAGCTTTCTGCCTGTCTGTCTCTTCTTCCCCCATAGAGCTTGTCTCACCAAGTGAGAATAAGACTACTACCACAATTTCTGAGCCAAATTTGAAGCAAGTTTTATTAAATACTAGCCAGGTCCATACCCAGAATTCCCAGAGTATGGTACCAAATTCCATTAGACAGGGATTATAAAGGCAAACCTCACAAAACTACAAACTTCCTATGCACCTCCTGGATGCATGTGATCAAGCACACTCGGTGTAGTTGGGGCAACCAAGCATGTTTATGGAAGTGTTTATTAGCTTATATGAACCACCCCCAGCCGTCCAGGAAGTTGTCTGTCCTTGGGCCACTGGGGCTTACAGGTTAGAGGCATTTTTGTTTTATGGCTCTTTTAAGCACAGTAATTAAAACTTAAAGCATAACTTGGGGTGTCTAATGGCTCAGAGCCTCCTGGGCTGGGAGAGTATAGTATGAGCTGGAGCTCTGTAATGTCATGACTAGGGCGTCTCTTTTCATAAACCTGCCATTTCTAATTGTAACCTGATCCAGGAGTCAGCCATCACAGTAGCAGGAGCAAACCAAGAACTGTGAAAGTTCTCTGTGTGTCCCCTCTCTGAGGGCTTTTGGATTTTTTTCTGGTGATTCATAGAAACTAGAGGAATCCTTCCCAATTAAGAATGGAACTGGGCTTGGGTAGTCATGTCTTTAATTCCAACAGAGGCAGAGGCAGAGGCAGGCAGATCTCTGTGAGTTTGAGTCCAGCCTGGTCTACACAGCAAGCTCCAGGACAGCCAAGACTACATAATGAGATCCTATCTCAAAAAGGGGGTTGGGAGCAGGAGGATCCCAAAGACTCTAGCCATGAAGAGCTAAGCTAACCATGATGTGCTAGAACGCTTCGCCTCAGCAAGAAAGCTTTCTGCAGAGACTGAAGCCTTGGGGGATGGATAGGCCAGAGGCCATTTCTTTTTAAACTTTTTTTTTTTTTTTTTTTTTTTTTTTTTTTGGTTTTTCGAGACAGGGTTTCTCTGTGTAGTCCTGGCTGTCCTGGAACTCACTCTGTAGACCAGGCTGGCAGAGGCCATTTCTTGACTCGGCCAGAGCTCCTGAGATCTTGGAGCCTGGTCCTGATTACTGCCTTTCTTGCTGTTTGTTTTTATTTTATCACTTGACAGTGGCCGGGTTGCAAAGGAAGTAATGGAGTCAAGTGCCAAGATCAAACGGGAACCGCCAGAGATCCACAGGTGGGCTGTCGGGCCCTTCCAAACCAACTCCAAATCAGACCCCAGACGCTTGAAAGATCTAGCAAGCCAAACCCCATGAAGATTCTGGCCAGATAGATACAAAAGAGGAGGCAGAGGGCAGAGGAGTCAAGGGACCCCTGTCAGCTGGGACTCAGGACCCGTATACAGCCGGTAACAGCACAAGGGAAGACGAGCCACAGCTGACAGTGCGTCTGAGCCGAGCTGCAGTTCTAAAGATGTGGCAAACTGAAGACACTTAGCTGTTCTGGAATTACTCCATTACAGAAAGCCTCAAATAACCTCACGATTCTGTCATGTGTGTCCATAAATCATGTATTTCTAGAAGCCTGCCTCCCCCAAGCCCAATCAACTCACACAGACTGGCCGAGAAATCTAGGATTTGCCCACCAGCCTATACCTTTGGAAAGAGGAAATTATTACCTGCCCCTCAACACAGCCTCCCCTAAGCAGCCCACGGGAACTAAGGAAAGTGCTGGTACCATTTTCAGACATTTCAGGAGCATGTCTCATCCTGAGGTTCTATTCCCTAACAGTCTTGTCTGGCCCCCCAAGACACACTGCAGAAAGGCTAGGTGTCCAGAGAAAGAAAGTGAGGGAATCTAACAGAATCGCTGAGACTCGGGGGCCAAAGGTCAAGAGAATTTGTTAACTATCTAGACACCCCTATCTGTGCACTGAGGTGGTTCTCTATCCATTCCTTCTCAGAGCAGGGATGGTCCCTAGCCGCAGCTGTCCTTCCATAACCCATGGCCCACGACTGAGCAGTGTCCCCAGGACACGAAGAAGAGCTGTGCACATCTCTATCATGGAAGGTGAGTGTGAGCTCCTGGAGATGACGCAGGTCTGCACGCTGTAATGTGGCTAACTAAGCTCCTGTGCAGGAACTGTATTAGTTACTTCCTGATGCTGTGATAAAATACCAGGACCAGGGGCTGGAGAGATAGCTCCACGGGTAAGAGCACTTCCAGAGGTCCTGAGTTCAATTCCCAGCAAACACATGGTGGCTTACAACCATCTGTAATGGGATCCAGCGCTCTCTTCTGGTGTGTCTAAAGAGAAACAGTGCACTCACATACATAAATAAATAATTCTTAAAAAAAAAAAAATACCAGGACCAAGACAACGTATGTAGGTGTTATGCCCAGTTTGAGGAAACTCCAGGGGACCACCAGAAATTGCTACATCAATGTAAAAACAAAGAGAGTCTTTATTGTATGAGTCTGGATCTGATCGCAGCCTTTCCTGCTCTGCAGGTTAAGAATGCAACGCTCGAGTCTAGGGATTTGGGATATATATAGGAGAATGCATAAGTTCTCGAGCCCTGGCATTACATGATTGGATAAGGGGTAAAGGACTGACATCCTTCAAACCTGATCAGACAGCAGCCGGCGACCAGCGAGGCAGAACCACGCAACTGGAAAAGGACCTCCTTAATCTGGGAAGAAGTAGCTCACTCTGTTCTCAGAGGTCTGCGTGTGCTTACAAACCAGCCACAGCTGTCCGGGAACCTTAATTGTCCCTTTCCCACTGCTCAAGAGCGGGCCTTATCACCTGAAGGACACTAAGTCCTGCCTCCTTCAAAGGCAGGAGCCATCTGCACTGGGGAAATGCTGGCTGTTAAGATTTATCACTAAAGGGAGTGCATGGGTAGGTGCTGAGAAGGGCTAGGATGGACTGCCTTCTGTATTCATAGGCTGGTGACATCTGCACTGGGGGCTGGGGAGAGTACTGGCCGTGTTGGCTTAGTGCAGGGACAAGAGAGTGTGGGATCCATTACCAAGGATTAACGCAGAAGTGGGGCAGGTCCTCGAGTCTCTTCATAGGAAAGTTTATTTTGAGCCAGGCCTTTCTTTAATCCCAGCACTTTGAGGCAGAGGCAGGCTGAGCTCTGAGTTCAAGACCAGCCTGGTCTATAGAGTAAGTCCCAGGACAGCAAGAGCTACACAAAGAAACCCTGTCTCGACAAAAACCAAGTCTATCATGGCAGAGAGGCAGGGCAGCAAGTAGCAGGCTTGGCAGTGGAACAGGAAGCTGAGAGTTAACATCTTCAAACAGGCAGGAGGTAGAGCGAGAACTGGAAGTCGGGCAAAGCTCTAAAATCTTGAATCCTATCCCAAGTGGAATACTTCCTCCAGCAAGACCACAGAGCCTAAACCTCAACACCACCAACTGGGCACCAAGTGTTCAAACATCCAGGATTGGGGGGGGGGCACTCTTCTTCAAACTAGAGACTTGAAAAGAATCTTATTTACTTTAGAGATAACAACAGTCTTTTGGGTGGGAGCCAGTGGCAGGTAGAAGGTTCTACACAAAGGGTGGGGACAGTGCTGGGGAGTGTTCAGTCCCCAGCAATGATGTGTGGTGATCAGTACTTGGGAGGCAGGGGTAAGAGGACTGTGAAAACACATGCCTATAATCCCAACATTCAGGAAGCTGAGGCAGGAGGATCCTCCCGAGTTAAAGGCCAGCATAAAGTACATAGCAAGACGTCATTTCAAACACAGAACTGCTCAGGTAAAGATGAGTATCATTCTGTGAGAGGGTCTCTGGTTCCTATCAAGTTTTAGGGTGTGATGCATGACTCTGACCTGAATAGTCACTTGTGGCTGATACAGAACTCCAAGGAGAAGCCTGGATAGGAGGCTACCACCAAGGCCGGTGGTTGCTTCACTTGTAAAAAGGAGCCCCCTCCTTGCCCTCTGTAACTCACAAGGAAGCTAATGCACACGGAATGCTTTTTGGTTTGGTTAGGGTGAGGGTGGCAAAGCTTCATGCTGTAGTACAGGCACTCTTCCTGCCTCAGCCTCCCAAATCCTGGGATTCTGAGTGCAGGGTACAGAGGTACAGCACTTTAAAGAGAAGCCCTCCCACCTGGCCTTTTGCAACTGTGTGGAAACAATCAGCTGCTAACAAACACAGCCGACTGGAGGGAGGAGCCATGAGGAATGGGCCCAGGGCCTTCAAAAACCCCAAGGAACGTGCTTTTGGCTATGAAGTCAGTTCATTCAAAGGCACATCACAGAAGCCCTCTGACATTCTAGAAAAGCTTCATTTGCTTTCTAAAAACTGGGGAAAATACAAAAAATAATAAATAAATAAATAAATAAATAAATAAATAAATAAAATAACATATCATTACAGTTTGAATGAAGCACAAAATCCCCACAAACAGAGACACTTCAAAAACAAGGACTATGGCTTCTTTTGTTCTAGTGCTGCTATAGAGGCCCAGAGGGCACTCAGGAATGTCAGTGTCCTTTACCCACTGTGTCTATGGAGGGACGGAATGTGGAGCTCAGCAAAGGGGGTTGTGGGGAAGAGAGACCTGGACTGACAGCCCATTCCCAGCCCTGGAGCCACCTCTTCCTCAGTTCCTGTGTGACTTCAGTGCATGTGGCCTAGATAAACCCTGCCTGTGACTTCACAGGGGTCCTACTTTCTGGGACAGTTGTAGTTGGTCCATAGCCTTCCCCTTTCCCTCTGCGAGCCTGGGCTGGCCATGTAGGGCCTCAGGGAATAAGCTGCAGGCTGGAAAGCATTTCTTTTTATGGATGTAAGCACTTCTGACTGAATCCAGTCCCCTGATAAGGATGGCCTCTCCTCTCCAGACTTCTCCCTTATTGCAGCTCAGCCTGACATGAGGCCCTGCAGAGCCAGCTCTCTGTCCAGGTGGAAGGCACTGCTGGAGGGGGCTGACATGGCATGGAACTGGTGGATTCTTTGTCCCTAGCTGGCCATTTCCTCTCTGTACCTCCCGTGCCTGGCTGGTTCCCCTTGAAGAAGGAACTGGCCCACCATGGGAAAGAGTCTAATTAAGATTCAGACCAGAGTCCATGTGCAGCTCCGGCTGACTAACCACTGCCTTCGGCCCCTAAGCATCCGCATCCTGAGGCTGGGACCCCGGCTTCAGGGTAGGGTCCTAACAACTGTCCCCCTTGGCCCACTGGGAGCCACTTCTGGACAGAGGCACCAGCTAGAGCACCTCAAAGGTAAATACACTTGTCTTGCTGTGCACTTCACCCAGCGCCCCAAGACTAACGGGTCTGACGAAGGCCAGGGTGAACGGTGGTTCCTATAGCAGATGAATTTTCTGAAATATGAAACTCGCAGAAAATGGATATATCGGTAAACTATTAGGGGAAGTAACCCAGACGCAGAGACAAATACTATGTGTTTTCTCTCATGTAGATTCTACCTTTTAAATCCTGACATATGTGGGAGTGGTTATAGGTCATGAAACCAGAAAGGAGACTATGGGGGTGGTAAGGGGTTAGGAATGTCACTCAGTTAGGAAAATGCTTGGGTAACATGCACAGGCTGAGTTTGATAAACCAAGCATGGTTGCATCCACCTGTACTCCCAGCATTTGATGACAGGAGGAGGGTCAGAGTTCAAGGTCATCTTTGACTACTCAGTGAGTTAAGCCAGAGCGGACTCAAGAGAGACAAATGAGCCATTTTGAGAAAATAGAATATGTGTGCTCTGAAAGTGCACAAGTGGGTACTGGGGTGGGACAGTTCAGGGGAGCAGGGGCAGGGTGTGCGAGGGGCAACAAAAGATTGTTTAGAAATGTTATAATGGAACCTAATACTCTAAATGGTAACTTACAAGAGAAACAAAAGCCATGTATTTAATTTAAAATACAAAACAATTTGTTTAAAGTGGGATGTTATTTTGTAATCCATGCTAAAAGTTTATGGTGATAGTTCTGGATAATTTAAGTACACATAACATTTTGAATGAGATACATTTCATATATAACAACAGAGATAAAAATCAATCGATAACAAGGTTTTGAACTGAAGGAAGAAATGGAGGGAGAAAAAAGGAGAGGGTGGAGAAATGGGGAGGGGGTGCTAACTACATTTTCTTGTTCAGACTAGCCTGATCTGGAATGAGCTCACAGCACTCTTGTGTTGAGAAAACAGAACATTAACACCCTTAGTGAACAACCATGGTGGGCCTGCCTGCCCATTTTCATGTATACTGAAGTCACCAACAGCTTAGTATGCCATGGCTTCTGACTCAATGTTCCTGATATCAGCCTCTCTCCTTCCAGCCAGTTTAGGGATTAATCACAAGCCAAGATATTTTGTACTCAAGTGGCTGCTGGCACCAAAGCTAGTCATACTTGGGAGATCTGGCTGTCACAGATGTCCTTGTGAGGGGACAGGCCTTTTAGAGGTTGTCATGTGCCCTCTAGAAGGAAGGAAGTAGGGCAGAGGTCAGGATCATGCCACAGCTGGGGCTTAAAAGGTTCTGTTTCATCAGTGACGAAGAAAACACTGCTACCACACATGTCAGAGGCTGCATCAGATAGAGTATCAGGAAATACAGAGAAACCCAAGCATCAAGAGTTCTGGGGCAGCAGCTCTTAATCACAAGATTCTTGGGTGCTTGAGACCCAAGGCAGGTGCAGGCTGCAGACTTAATGTGCCCTGCGTCCCATCGGCCCCACTGTTGAGTCACAGGCTTGGATTCCGTCCACAGTTCTGCCTTGAACAGCCAGCCATGCAGCTTTCCCATTAACTGTTCACCCTCACCACTCTCTGTTGGAGTTGTTGAAAGACACAAGTGAAAACTTTAAACATTTTTAAATGTCCACTGGGTATTTCTTTTGTCCTATTCTTGATGTCTAAATATGGACTCCACAGTCACTGCTGCTATAACGTGGAGCACACAGAGGGCACCTAAGGAACTGAACGGACGCCATTGAATAGGAAAGAATTTGGTGATCCGGAAAGCTAATTCCTGTGCTTTTTGCCTTTCCAGGCCTTGAGTCCCTACGAGACAGTGCCCACTCCACACCAGTGCGGTCCTCTTCCCACGGGGACACCTTCTTGCCTCACGTGAGAAGCAGCCGGGCAGACAGCAATGAACGTGTAGCTGTGATAGCGGATGAGGCCTATAGCCCCGCAGACAGTGTGCTGCCCACCCCTGTAGCCGAGCACAGCCTGGAGCTGATGCTGCTCTCCCGGCAGATCAACGGAGCCACGTGTAGCATTGAGGAGGAGAAGGAGTCAGAGGCCAGCACCCCAACTGCAACTGAGGCGGAGGCCCTGGGAGGAGAGCTGAGGGCCCTGTGTCAGGGGCACGGCGGGTCAGAGCAGGAACAGGTGAATAAGTTTGTTTTAAGTGTCCTCCGTTTGCTCCTTGTGACCATGGGACTCCTCTTTGTTTTGCTCCTCCTCCTGATCATCCTTACTGAGTCTGACCTTGACGTTGCTTTTTTCCGAGATATCCGCCAGACCCCTGAGTTTGAACAATTCCACTATCAATACTTTTGTCCCCTCAGGCGATGGTTTGCCTGCAAAATCCGCTCAGTGGTGAGCCTGCTCATTGACACCTGAGAAGGCATGACTCCTCCCACTAACTAGCCAGGTGGACCAAGGAGCCCGGCTACTCATTCCCAGCAATGGGACCCATCGGAACCATCGGCACACACACCAAGTCCTCTCATGACTCAAAGTCCACTGCAGCCTAGGAGGGTTGTTTCCCAGAAGAAGAAAGGGATATAGGCTAATGCTCTGTAAACCGGGAAAATTCAGTTTCTTCAGAGGCTCTTCCAAGAAAGGCTCAGCAACTCAAATGTTTTTCATCCTTCAATATGCAGGATAATTTTGGAGTTCGAACTTTAATTTTCATAGATGTGTATTATTTTGAAAGTATTCAAATAAAAGTCATTTATTTTACTATACTGACATTGCAGTAGTGTCACCCAGTAGATGGGGCACTAGCTCAAGACTCAGACTGTTGTCCTCTGTACCCTGCAACTTTCTCACTGGTGCCAGTAGGTTCCGGGAGACCCAGCAGGGCAAGCCAGGGACAGGCAGGATTGGCTTCCTTGCCAGACAGAAAAGTTTAACAAGTAAATTGTGTAGAATGATTAAATAGAAAGTTGCTTCTTACGACAGTCTGAGTTGGATTTTCTTTTCCTTTTGTTCTTTCAAATCTGAGCAGAGTGGGCATCTGAAGGGACCACCGCTACAGCAGCAGCAGCAGCAGGGGTGGGGTAAGTCTGTCCCCTTAGACTAGAGCCTAGTGGACATCGGAGTTTTATTTAATAGTTTGGGTTTGTTTGTTTGTTTGTTTTCTGAAGAACCTCAAGACTTCTAGTACTTCCAGGGTGTTAAAGTGGTGCCAGAGTGTGCTGTCAGAAATGTCCAACAGCATAGTTACCAGAGACCTGTGCTGAGTCACAGAGAGCAGTGCTTGTCTTGTACAGTGCGACCCCCCCCAAAAAAACAACAACACTATTTCAAGCTCTATTTTAACAGCAAAATGTTATTTTCCTATCTATTCATATTTTGTTTTTACTTTATGAATTAAAAGATGCAAGAGAGAAAGAGATCTGAGGAAGACCTTGGGAAGAGCAGCAGCCTTGGAAGGGACCAGGGAACCCTGAGCAGACTCTAAACCATGCCTACAAGCAACAGAGCTTGACTGTGGCAGAAACCAACACTTACTGTAGGAATGCCACCCATAGGGTCAACCTCTGCTCCTGGAAACAAGGTCAGGGAGCACTTAGCGTGGCTCACAGCAGCATAGGGACACACACACACACACACACACACACACACACACACAGATGAGCAGCAGTCCCCAGGCCTCTACACTTCTTACCACCAATAACAAACAAAAGCTTGTTTTCATCTCAGGGAGACCGCTAAGTCATCTGAGGCCCGAGGACTCATGTAAAGGACAGAAAGGACAGTCAAGGGGCACACTCCTGGGACCAGAAAACAGTGGAGCAGCACAGCCCCAAATGCAGGACACACTGGGCTGTACTATATTCGAGCTCCTCTTATTTTGTTGCCTGGGGTGGAACCATGTCCACATTCAGAATATGGCAGCCATTAAAAACAAAAACCAACAACAACAAAACAACATCAACAACAAAACAATGGGGTTTTGAAGATGCAGGGAGGGCATTTACAAATTTTAAAGATGACATTCTTATCTAGACCAGAGGACAACAAATTTCTTTTAATACAATTTTGATTTTGTGGACCATGCTCTGCCACCCTAGCACGCCTCTGATAATGCATGCATAAAATAACATGGCTTGTTCCAAAACTTTATTAAGGCATAGGGCTGAGGAAGTGTAGCTCAGAGGGAAGAGTACGTTTCTAGCATGTATAAGACCCTGGATTTGACTGCTAACAATACACAAAACCAAGTGTGGTAGCATATACCTGTGGTCCCAGGATTCAGCAGGGAGGCAAGAATCAGCTCAAGGTAATCCTAAGTCACATAGTTAGGCCAGTCTGGGATACATGAAATGTTGTCTCGGACCACTGGCTTCCCACTTCCAAAAAATAAACCTAAAATTAACTGCAGCATGCTGAGAGACTGGTCCCCAGCCGTAAGATGCAAACCTTGGCCTAGACCCGGCCAGCTTCGATTGTTATTTTGCGTAAGATACCCAGAACCATTTCCCAATGGGGGCTTTTCGGGGTGCTCCAACAACCAACCAGCAGTGATGTGTCATCTGATACCAAGGTCAAGTACTGCCACTGTGAACATCGGTGACGCTAAGCATGGTTCCAGGCCTATCCGATCATTCCCGTACCAGCAACAATTTGTGTAAGATCTAAAACATTTACCATGTAAGACAAACTGAGGGGATCCGAGTAAAGAGATCACTTAAAAGCAATGAGCCACTGCCACTTGTCAACTGCATAGCAAAGGTTTACTTAGCACAAGACTGATGGCAAAGGCTATTGGGAAACAGGGCTGGTGTGAACCGGGATTTCTATTCTTATGCAACACAGCAGATTGCCTTCTAGTGTGGTGCTCCTACCTCAGTTTGTAGAACCCAGCGTCTATGCAGTGAGTGGTAAGCCTTGCCTCTGACCTTTCATAGCCTCGAGAGGGAGGCAGCCTGCCATTGCCTGGTGTGTTTCTTGTGTCTAGAGTCCTAACAGTGCTGCGGTCTGTGCCATTTCCAACATGTGACCCGGAACCTTCAGGTCGTTCCCCTTTGCCCCCCAAGGTTTAGCCCAGAAAATAAGGACAGAAAAGGCTTCCTTCGATTTGGTTTCCAAATAATTTTCAATAGTTCAGTAACAAACTCTCTTTACTGGTGACTAGTGTTTTTCAGTATTTTCCCATCATTACAAAAGTTTGAGCTTTCAGTCTGGTTTTGCTGTGTTCTATGTCTCTTCTTTCCTCTCAGAATTAGTTGGTCTCACTGTAGAAAAGCAGATCTGCATCATTGATCAGAGGAAATACCTACTGAATAGTGGACTGCACCTTTAAGCAGTAGAGGATAAACTACCTACAAATGTGAATTTCTTAGTTTCAGTTAAAAGTATACAGCTGTTAACCTTCCGTGTGCCAAATCTCTTTTAAGTTACGTTTTCCTTCAAAGCAATGTACTTTTTTCTACATATGTAGTATGTAGTTAGCATAAAATCATTGGTGCCATGAAGATTATTTTTAAACTCAATAAATATTTAAATACCATAAGAGAATGGGTCTTTTTTTTTTTTAAACAAAACAACAAAACCCTTGTTACTGGTCTCACTTTATCAAGTTATCAATACACGGAGAAAAGGGTGGCTCACTCCTTGGAGAGGACCCAGGTTCAAATCCAGCACCCACAGGGTGGCTCACAACTGGCTAGAACTTAGTTCCAGGATATGTGACACCCTTCTCTGACTTCCTGGGCAACACACACATGCAGTGGAAATACATATAATAAGAATAAAAAAAACCTTTATCAGCTATGAAACAAAACTACCATTTCCTTACGAATATCCATGATTATGAAAGCTAAGCCTCCAACACTTTTTGTTTTTAGATGAGGTCTCACTGGCTGGCCTAGAATTCACCAGGTAGACCAAACTGCTCTTGAACTCAGAGATCTGCCCAAGTGATAGCATTAAAGTCCTGTGCCACCACACTAAACTCTTAGTTTGTTTGTTTTTTTAAACTTTGGGTTAATCTTGTGTTATGAGTGTTCTGCTTGCATGTATGTCTACATACCATGTGTATGCAATACCTGCAGAGACCAAAAGAAGGCACTGCATCCCTGAGAACTTGAGTCGCACGTGGTTGTAAACCACCATGTAGGTGTTAAGGGATCCAATTCGGGTCATTTGAAAAAGTAACTAGTGCTCTTAACTGCTGAGCCTCTAGATTTTAATTATAAAGATTACTCAAAGACATTATTCAAGGAAAATTAATATCACTTTATTTCTCTGACATATAATTGAGAATTCCCTTTTACAATCCAAACATACTGCTTACGCTATTTATTTATAAGTCCTTCAGTAGTAACTTTGGCAAATAATAATAGAAAAATGTTGAATACACTGTGACTCCAGGCCACTGATTCAGCAGAATATATATCAACATATATCATATATACATATATGCATATGAAGCTAAATTTTACTTTAAAGTACTCTAAAATAAAAATATCGTAATTTTACTTTGTGTGTTTTAATTAATTTGGGGGAAAGGGAATGTGAGCTATATTGGCCTTGAACTTACTATTAGCTGAGGTTGGCCTTGAACTCCTGATTCTCCTGCTTCTACCTCTCAAATGCTAGAATAGAGTAAGAATTCTAGAATTTTGGTTTCAAAAAAAAAAAAAAGACCACAGAAATATAAGAATATGTTGTTTTAATCCCAGGCATGGGCTGGGAGGCTGCTTCAGACTGTCCACAGCTGACTGACTTTCGTTGTGCTCTAGCAGAGGCGTGGTTTTGTCAGCTGCAGATCATTTCTGTGATTGTGTGTCATTTGGAATTCTGGGAACTTTTCAGAGGGTATATAAATGTGAGGGCCCCACGAGGGATGGTTAGTGGTTACTGTCTGTTCAAGGGGGGGTTGGCCGGGCGGTGGTGGTGGCGCACGCCTTTAATCCCAGCACTTGGGAGGCAGAGACAGGCGGATTTCTGAGTTCAGTTCGAGGACAGCCTGGTCTACAGAGTGAGTTCCAGGACAGCCAGGGCTATACAGAGAAACCCTGTCTCGAAAAACCAAAAAAAAAAAGGGGGGGTGGGGGGGACTGGTTAGTTACTGTTTGCTTGTAGTAGTGATCAAAGAAGACACAAAAAACAATCAGACTGGATAGAAGTGGTGCCCAACACTGGGGCTCAATTCTTTTTTATTCCACCTTAGGACTATAGTTGGTCTTTACTACTTTGTGGATTCTTTTTGCCACCCTTTATCTGCCCCTACTTGATCCCCCAACACTGGATAAGAGGATAAAGGTAGGAGGGAAAGAAATGGGGGAGGGGAGGAGAGATGCCTGAATCTAATTTCTTTCCTTTTGCTTCTTCTTTGAGCACAACTACTAACAAATCACAGCCAATCCCCCTGAACAACCAACCATGTCTATTGGGGCTCTAGCATTGATATACCCTCTGAAAAGTTCCCAGAATTCCAAATGTCACACAATTGCAGCAACTATCTGCAGCTGGCACAACCACACCCTGCTAGAGCTCGAAGCAAATCATAATCACCTGCTGGGGACACTATGAAGCAGCCCTATGTTGTGGGATTAAAACAAAAAGTCTTATATTTCTCTGTGTGTGTGTGTGTGCGCGCGTTTTTTGGTTGTTTTTTTTTTTTTCTTTTTCTTTTTGGTTTTTTGAGACAGGGTTTCTCTATATAGCCTTGGCTGTCCTGGAACTCACTCTGTAGACCAGGGTGGCCTCGAACTCAGAAATCCACCTGCCTCTGCCTCCCAAGTGCTGGGATTAAAGGCGTGTGCCATCACTGCCCAGCATATTTCTGTGTTTTTTTTTTTTTGTTTTTTTTTTAAAGATTTATTTATTTTATTTATGAGTACACTGTAGCTGTCTTCAGACACACCAGAAGAAGCCATCAAATCTCATTATGGGTGGTTGTGAGCCGCCATGTGGTTGCTGGGATTTGAACTCAGGACCTCTGGAAGAGCAGTCAGTGCTCTTAACCGCTGAGCCATCTCTCCAGCCCTTCTGTGTTTTTAAAGAAATCAAAACTCCAAAATTGTCAGTACACTGAGGTTACTAACTTCATGTGAAAAGCTACAAGCTCCTCGTCTGGAGCCCAGTTTGTACACAGTTATTCATTAGAATACAGGCTAATGGTGCAAGTTCAAACACAGTGCTGTCCTGGTCCATTTCAGGAGCTGCCCAGAGGTAGGGGACAGACAGAGCTCCAAGCAGGCCCGAATTATAGAAGCCAACTGTTCTCCAGTGATTATGGTGGGATTTCAAGTAACACTGAACTGAGATACAAGGACCCCCCAAAAAAAGTTCTTAGCTTATAAAACTAAGTTCTGACTGGGCATGGTAGTACACACCTATAGTCCTAGCACTTGGAAAAGTGAGGCAGAAGGACTAAGTTCAAAGCTAACCTGGGATACATAGTAAGATCCAGGCTCAAGAACAAAGCAAAACATACATGTAAGTTTCAAAGGTGGGGTATGAGTCAGTAGAATACTTGTCAAGCATGGGACAGTCTCTGCAGTTCAATAATGTTTCATAATTAGATGACCTTTTAAAACCTAGTCCAGTGTTGAGAAATAAGTATTCACCCCAAACTAAATAAATCACAGATCTATAGATTACTATTGCATCAAAATGGTCTCATTCTGTCACAAAAGGTTAATAATGACCACTGAAAGCTTTATAATTTGTTAGAATTCTGCAAAGTACAGCCTAATTAAAAGTGCTGAAAGATGCCAAGTGCACTGGGACATGCCTGTGATCTTAGCACTCAGGAGGCTGGGGCAAGAGGCTCATGTGGTCCAGGTTATCCTTGGCTACAGAGTCTGAGGCCAGCCTGTGCCACACAAGATCCTGTCTCAAAACAATCAGAAAGTACTTGAAAGCACCCAAGTTTCTGCTCCAGGCCCCTCCCTCATCCTCTAGAAATGGCCTTCAAGTTCCTCATTTGCTAAACACTACATTCTGCGTCGAGGTCTCACTGAGAAGCAATATTATATTTAATAAATGTAACACATGACCAAACAGATGCACTAAGCTGAGTTCAACAAGTCTCCAGGTTCTTTAGCCACAGAACAACTTCAACAATTTGTCGAACCTACTCAATGACTGAGGTTTCTTGATGCATAAAAACATGTAACTTCCCACTAGAATTACCTCCAGCCAGAATATATTGTGTAGGATGCATAACACTGAGGGAACACACAGATGCAAGACATTCTCCCCAAAGAGAATGTACATTCTTCCCTGTCTCGTGGAAGACTTCCACCCGCCGTGGGTGGTCCATGCTACCAACTATGAAGCAATCTTCTTGTTTAGGGTCCCACACAGCTTGGAACCTCATTAGCCATCTCCCAGTGAAGGTGTTATGCCTAGTGGGAAAAACAAAAACAAAACAGTGTTTACTTTTTATGTGTTAAATAATACAAAGTAGCATAGAGAGAAGGTTAAAAAGCAAAACCCAGTATAGAAATAACTCCCAACGCCTACTATATCTTCCAACCTTCAGTTTGTGCTCAGAGGGCAGTGACTCTCAGTCTATGGCAATGGTACCTTTTTCTGGGGCTGGAGAGATGGCTCAATAGTCAAGAGCACTTACTGGCTTGGTTCCCAGAACCGGTATGATGGATGGCTCACAACCATCCATAACTCCAGCTCCATGGGACCAAATGCCCTCTTCTGACCTCAGCAGGCATCACACACACTCATACATAGGCAAAAGACTCATACATGTAAGTCTAAAAAACAAAAGTCTTTTTTTTTTTTTTTTGACACCAGGGTCTTATGTAGTCCAAACTGACCTTGAACTTCTGATCTTCCTGCCTCTACCTCCCAGGTAAGGAAATTACAGGCATATAACACACTTCAACAGTTTATGCAGTCCTGGGAATCAAACCCAATCAAAGCCAGGGGCTCATGTTTATCAGGCAAGCACTCTATCAACCGAGCCACATTACCAGCCCTAAAACAGTATCTTTCCTGTTCAAAGTTCTATACACACAAAAAGAATTTTAAGAACATGCTGTGAATACTTATATACCAACAAACTGCATAACCTAGATGAAAAGGACAAACTTCCAGGAACATAACTTGCCAAGACTAACCCTAAAGAATTAAAAAATATAAATTCATTGATAGCTAGTTAAGGGGACTCAAATATATACATAAAGGAAGGAGAGGCAGGAAAAAAGAAAGATTAAAGTTTCCACTTTAATCTCAGCACTTGGGAGGCAGAGGCAGGTGGATTTCTGAGTTCGAGGCCAGCCTGGTCTACAGAGTGAGTTCAAGGACAGCCAGGGCTACACAGAGAAGCCCTGTCTCGAAACACCAAAAAGAGTAAGTTTCCAAAGTATTAGTTTTTCTTTCTCTGTTTGAGACAGGATTTCACTCTGTAGCCTGGAGATTCCCACGTAGCTCAGTGTCCCTCCAACTGTAACAGCCTTCCTGACGTAACCTCCCCAGTGCTGAGACTACCTGGGCTGCACCTCCACACCCAGCTTTCTTAATGAACACGGACACAAGTATCTTCAACCTGGGGGTGTAGCTCACTTGGTAGAGTGCTTATGTATCATACACAAAGCCCTGGGTTCAGTCTCCTGAACCTCAAAATCTAGGCATGGTTGACACACACTTAAAACTGAGAAGGTGGAGGCAGGAAGATTGGGAGTTCAAGGTCATCCTCAAGTACAAAGCAAGTTCCAGACCAGCCTAGGATAAAGAGACTCTAAAACAAAACAAAATAAAAAAATATTAGTAAATCAAATTCACAGCATACTAAAGAACTATACACTGTGGTCAAGTGGAGACAAGACTAGCCCACCATAACAACACAACCAATGTAATATGCCATTCTAAATTAACAAAGTGGAGGACAGGTGCGTGATCATCACAACTGATGCTGAGGTGAATCTGACAAAATCTGCATCCCTTCATGATGCAGTCACTCAACAAACTGGGAGCAGAGGGAGACAAACGCAATACAATGAAGACCACATGAGAGAAGCCCACAAGGCATCAGACTGATGACAACTGAGACCTTTCCCTCTGGGATCAGAGTAAGGTAAGGATGTCCTCTCACCATTTACATTGAACTTGGCTATCAGCTATCAAAGCCTGATCATTTAACAGGGAGGGAGGAAGGAAGGAGGGAAAAAGGAGAAAGAAAAGGAAAACTGTCTGCAGATGATCACGTTCATAAGAATAAAAAAAAAACGATAAAAGATTTCACATATTTAAAAATCTACTCAACCAGGTAGTGGTGGTGCATGCCTTTAATCCTTGCAGTTGGGAGGTGGAGCGGGAGGTGGAGGCAGCAGAAGCAGGCAGATCTCTGAGTTCAAGGCCAAACTAATCATGGTAGCATGGGCACACTTGTAATCTCAGTGCTACAGGAGATGGAGACAGGAGCCCCGTGGCTCACCGGCCAGCCAAGACTGTGAGCCCAGGTGCCATTCAGAGAGCTGTCTCAAAAACTAAAGTGGCAGCTCCCACAGAATAACACCTAAAATTGCTCTCCGGTTTCCATATGGGTGCAGACAGACAGACAAAGACACAAATACAGACACACACACTCTGTACAGTTTTTAAATGTAGGATATAAATACCAACAAACATAAAAACCCTATACATAAGTAATATACATATAACTATAAAAAAAGTAGTTGCTATAACACATTCACGGTTAACACATCCAAAAACAAAATTAGGAGAAGAGACCCCACCAATGCACCAGGGAAGCCGAGTTGATCTAGCCTGGGCTACAAAGAGACTGAGTGAGTGAGGGATAGATGCTTTAGAAATAATCCTAACCTAGGACATGAAAGACTTGTATACAAAAAGACACAAAACACCATTAAAAGAAATGGGGGCTGAGCAACTACATAAAATACCAGAGATTGCCTATAACCCCAGCACTGGGAGGGGGAACAAGAATAACTCTAGGGTCTTGCTGGCCCACCACTCTAGTATGCTCCGAGTCAATGAGAAGCCCTGTCAAAATTAAGATGGAGGCTGGATGTGGGACCTCACCACTCTGGAACCCAAGGCAGGAGGAGCTCAGAGATGTGAGACCAGCATGATCTGCATAGCAAGTTCCAAGCCAGCCTGCCTCACAGATGGACTGGATGGATGGATAAGATGATGAACAATATCCAGACCCTGACAATCAATCAATCAATCAATCAATCAATCAATCAATCAGAAAGAGGAAGACAGTCAACATCAGTATCTGGCCTCCAAACATGCAAACATTGCAGCACACACACAAAACGAAGCAATGATATAAAGGTAAAGACACCCTGTGTTTATGGCTTAGGACTTAATATTAAAATATTCATACTACCCAAGGGAATCTACAAATTCAGTGCAATCACAATGTTATCTTTTTTTTTTTTTTTGCAGAAATAGAAACAAAAATCTTAAGATCCATACCAAAATTCAAAAGACCCTAAATAGCCAAAAATAATATTGAAGAAAATAACATGAACCTGATACTTCATAACTTCAGATGCTTCATCCTGACAATTGGAGCTTAGTCCCCAGGACCTATGATGGAGAGGAAAATCTACTCCTGAAAGTCGTTCTAACCTACACACACAAGGCATTGCGTGCACCAACATGCCTGTACACACACAATAAAAATTAAAACGCATCCAGTTGATGGTGGTACATCTAATCTAAGCACTCAAGAGGCAGAGGTAGGCTGATCTCTGAACTCAAGGCCAGCCTGGTCTATAGGGTAAGTTCCAGGACACCCAGGGCTACACAAGAAAACTCTGTCTTGAACAACCAAATAAATAATAAAGTGTGAATTTAAAAATCTCAAAAAACTGAACAGAAAAAAAAAAACACTGTTTACAATAAAAGGGGAAGGGAAGGTGTGGGATGTTCTATGCCTTGATTGTGAACATTTACACTCAGAATTGCATCACACTCAGGAATTTCAGCTAATTAAAATAACATCAGGAAAAGCCAGTTATTTGTATAAAGTAACAATAACTCGATTTTAGTAAAATGATTTTTCACAGTTCTGTTTTTGCAACAAGGACACTAGCCCAGTGTCTCTGAACTCATACTCATGTTAATCCAGTGTTTTCATGTTGGATGTTGACAATGGAAATGAAAACCATCTGGCAACGAAGAGACATCATGATAGTCCCACTCAAACAAATAAACAAAAGACAGGTCATCTGGAGGCATTTCTCCAAAGATAAACATATAATCTTACTGAGTCCCAGGCCATCCTCCTGCCTCCACCCAACAGTGCTAAGGGCACATGGGTATCTACCTCGCTCTTTTTAAACACGTTTGTTGGAATTTGAGCTCAGATCCTTATGCTTATGCAACACTCTTAACTGTTGAGCCAATTTTATGGCCTCTTACATTTGTCCTTTTGAAAACTATCCACTATCAGCTCATTTATTGGGTTGTTTGTGGGCTTTTTGCTTTATTCTTTTGTGTACAATTTCTATGGTTATTTAGTTTTTATGTTCTAGACATTAACCCTGCCTGGCAGAGTTTTCTCTCTTGGAGGCATTTTTTTTTAATTTCAAGTAATCACATCTGTCAATCTTAGAGCTGAGGCAGGTGCTTTATAGCCACTATATAGAGAGCTTCAGATCTGTGGTTTTATTCTAGCACATGCGTTTAATCCCAGGACTCAGGAGACAGATCTCTATGAACTGAAGGCCAGCCTGGTCTACATATAGAGTTCCAAGCTACCCAGAGCTAGATAAAATTATCAACAGATAGATAAAATATACAATACACACACACTAAGGAAAACTATTCGGCCTTAAGAAATTATGTCATTTGTGACTACACAAATAAGCCTAGAATAAGCAAGACACAGAAAGAAAATAAGACATGACCTCACTTCCATGTAGAATTTAAAAGGAAAGGCAAAGAACCATTAACAGATGCTGGTAGTAGAGGGCAGGGGAGATGTTTGTGAAAGACTGCAAACTTTCAGAGAGCAGGAAGATTCAGGAGATCTATTCTAGAACAAGAGTTAATAATAGGTTTTATTTTTAACTTTGTAAAGACTTATTTTTACTTGTGTGTATGTGTCATTATAAGGGTATTCTATGTGTGTGCAGTGAGTGCATTAAAGGCCAGCTGGAGTTACAGGCAGTTGTCAGTTGCCTGACAGCCACCAATAGGGGTAGAACTCCAGGTCATCACACTTGCCCAACAAATGTTTTCCCCTGAACCATCTCACCAGCTCATCTCAACAAGTCTTTAAAGTCAGTAAGAGTAGATTTTTAAATGTACTCATTTGAGAAAAAAAAGGAAAAGGAGGGCTGGAGAGATGGCTCAGCAGTTACTGAGTTCAATTCCCAGCAACCACATGGTGGCTCACAACCATCTGTAATGGGATCCAATGCCCTCTTCTGGTGTGTCTGAAGACAGCTACAGTGTACTCACATACATAAAATAAATAAATAAATCTTTTAAAAAAAAGGGAAAAGGAATGTGAGGTGATGGACATTAAACAGATCAATTTAGCCATTCTATAATGTATACATATTTCAAAACATGCTGCATACATCATACACATTTTTAATTTGTTAATAAGTTAAATAAGGACTGGGCATGGTGTCACACACCTTTAATTTCAGCACTCAGGAGGCAGAGACCAAGGCTATCCTGGTCTACACAGGGAACTCCAGAAGAGCTAGTGAGACCCTGTCTCAAATCAAAAACCAAAACAAAAGAAACTGATAAACTAAAACATAATATCTGAAAAATAAAAGAAACGGGTAAAAGCTATGAAAAGGGAAACAAATATGCTTCAAGTGCAGCCTCTAAAAGCTGACACTAACAAAGCCACACCACACATAACCCCAACTTCAAAAACAGTGAAACAATGGAGTGTGGGATAAAGCTCCATAAAGTTGTGGGTACAAGAAGAGGCAACCAGAAACAAGAGACAGAAAGGTGTGGAGACCACAGAAGCCCAGGATAAACAGGCACAAGAAGCCGCAGTCTTCTTTAATAAGGACACAGTGTAACTCAAGTATTAAGTACTTGGCTTTGACTGAACAGAACCTCAGAGAGCACAAGCCAACCAAGAGCCGGCCCACTGAGACCTGGAAGCAAGAGCTCCTCTGGACAGGACTGGAAATCAGCTCCCAGCACAACACAAATCCAGGACTATAGCCTCTCCTTGGCAGCCACATGCCTAACATGCGCCTTCTATGTACTGCTGCTGCTCACAGCAATCCAGGATCTTGGGCATTCTGTGCACGGAGACCTACCTGATGGTGCTGATGAGAGGAAGCTGGGAAGATATGGAGCTGCTGTCAAAGACCCTGCAAAATAAACACTGAAAACAATTAGTCATGTTGCTTAGTTAGATTCTCGAGATTTTCTGAAATAGTGTGTGTTTAAGATATCTATGGTTCACAGTAGGAAATATAATTGTTACTTTATATGGAATCAGACTCTAACCTCAGATGTCATCTTTAACAATAAGTACATGGACTCCTATAAAATTCAGACTGTATCATAAGATTAGGGTGGAAATATCTAAACACTATCACTTAAAATCCCAGAACTTGGCAGACAAAGGCACTCAGATCTCTGAGTTCAAGGCCAGCCTGATCTACAGAGTGAATTCCAGGACTACACAGAGAAACCCTGCCTACCATGACCCCCACCCCCAAAAGTATCTCGCTATGTATGCCTAGAACTGTCGATTCCAACATGGCCTTCTGAGAGCTGTAATTACAGGTAGGTACTACCACACCAGCTTAGCATGTACAATGACAATCTTGCAATAAAACTATATTTAGATTCACAAATAAGCAACATACATAGGCCTGTGGAAGGAAACAGCACACTTTGACTGCATGCATGTATAAAAAGCAATCTTCCTCTGACTCTCTGTGATAGCCAGGAAGTGGAGGGACCCAGAATCCTCTACTGAGTAGGTATCATGGTAGAAAGAAGCCAACTTCTGTATCACATCTCCCCTCCTCGCCCAGCTGACACAGAGCAATCAATCTGAACTTGCCTGGTTTGATTATTACTTAATTACTAGAGGTTAATATAGTAAGATGAATTCTGAAGTATAAGTGAATAAAAAGGGATTAAAAACTATGTGAGTGGACAGGAGGTATGGGCTGCTATGCTCTCATGATAAACACTCTGATTCCATCTCCTGAGAATGCTCACACACTTTGCTAGACACTAAGTCAGCACCCGAAGACCATGTGTTTACCATTCTTGAGCCCGACCCATGGGATATATTCAATACATACTTGCTGAAGAAAAGAATTCCAACTCTTAAGAAGTTGCAAATCTAAGCTGGGCGGTGGTGGCGCACGCCTTTAATCCCAGCACTCGGGAGGCAGAGGCAGGCGGATTTCTGAGTTCGAGGCCAGCCTGGTCTACAGAGTGAGTTCCAGGACAGCCAGGGCTACACAGAGAAACCCTGTCTCGAAAAACCAAAAAAAAAAAAAAAAAAAAGAAGTTGCAAATCTGATACAAGATTGAAGGGAACAGAATTGTTTTCCCTTATAGGTACATTAACCGTCTTCACACCTTTTTTTCTGGGCTGTCAAGAAACTGGGACTACAAAAGCCTCTTTGTGTTTCTTTAACTTGACCTTATTTTCTGTTTTTTTTTTTTTTTTTTGGTTTTTCGAGACAGGGTTTCTCTGCATAGTCCTGGTTGTCCTGGAACTCACTCTGTAGACCAGGCTGGCCTCGAACTAAGAAATCCGCCTGTCTCTGCCTCCCAAGTGCTGGGATTAAAGGCGTGCGCCACCACCGCCCGGCCTTGACCTTATTTTCTAAGTTCAACTGATTTAAATCAGTTTTGGGGAGGTTACTATAGAAAAGTACCAAAGGTAAAACCCTAAAACATCTATTATTAGCTTATGCAAAAGCATCATTTTCTGCTGTTTTCCACATGCCTGAACGGGGCTCTCCCATTTCCATTTAACACACTATTAAGGTAGGTCCAGAACACACCTGTAATCCCAGTACTCAGGAACCCAATTAGCAGGATCACAAGTTCAAGGCCAACCTAGAATAAAGTGAGAAATTGGGGGGGGGGGGGGGGGGGCGGGGCAGGGAGTGAGGGAGGGAGAGACTATAAAACTGTAATGCTAGTAATAGCAGTAAACATAACTTCTAGTCTACAGACACCATAGCTACAGTCTCTAAACTTGAGGCTCCCCTAGACACATGGTTTGGTCTTCTCAGTTTACCTGAGCTTACAGTCAGCACATGTGGTCACCACTCTGTTACCAGTAACAGGGGAGAAATACGCAGAGGCAATGCTCTTCGAGTGCTCAGTCAAGGAGATCAAAGGCTGGCTTCCCTTGGACTTCAGGCACCTGGCATCATAAACATGAGCGTCCCTGGACAGGAAGAAAAATTATCAGAACAGCCCATGTAGCAAGCCCATAGAGCGGAGCTAAGCCCAAGTCAGACATGCAGGAGCCTGCTACATTAAGACCATTAAGACAGAGCCCTCTAATCTATAACTGTACAGATAGTGAAGGGCATAGAAAAATAAGTAAAAGGAAAAACTCTAAGATACAGAAAGAAGTCCATGTTCCTGCCAGCCACAGAGATTATAACATGAGTGAAGTTACAGACCACACACAACTTCTCTGTTTAAGGTTTCTTCTCTTAGAAGTAGACGTAAACACTTGCAGTGCCAAAGGGACAGGCGTAAGGGGTCAGGTGTGAACGGACTGATGTGAAGGGTCAGACGTAAAGGGAAAGAAGTGTACTTCTCCAACAGTTTCTATTTATTAAACCAAAAGATTTCTTTTTAAAAGCCATTACACTCAAAACATTTCTATCAGTGTGAATAAGAAGTTTACTTGGGTACTGTATGGCACAAAAGTCAGATGGGGATCAAGTGATATGCTCTTAATCCCGACACTCAGAAGGCAGAGGCATATGCATCTCTGATTTCCAGGCCAGCCAGGGCTACATAGTGAGATCTCTGTCGCAAGAAAAAAAAAGGAGAGAGAGAGATACAGAGAGACAAAGAGAAACAGACACACACACACACACAGACAGACACACACACACACACACACACACAAAGAGAAAGACAGAGAAAGCAGGCCAAGAATCTATGAAACTAAAGCACATTCTTTGACATGAAAAGGATTAAATCCTAACATTGTCTACAGAGCACATCTCAAGTCTGGCCTGGTCACAAACATATAATCCTTGAGAAGGTGAAGCAGAAGGATCAGCATATTTCAAAGCAGATTGAGACAGAAAGTGGGACCCTGACTCAAAACACACAGACAAACCTGTAAGAAAACAAGCATACCTCAATCCTGCAGTGATAAAATACTGTTTGGATAATGGGTGGACATGAACAGTTCTTATTTTTTCCAAAGATGAATTTAAAAACTTCTCATAAGAAGTTCCAGGTGTCCGTCTATCTACCAGTGACAAATGTCCATCCCAGTGTCCCACTAGCAGACTGGAGGCATCGTCCAAGAAGTCAAAGGAGGACAGACTATTTCTCTCATTCCTGTATACCTACGGGAGAGGCAGCGGTCCTTAAAACACTGAGGTTAGGGAGGTGGCTAGGCATGTCAATGCTCACCACACAAGCTGACAATCTGAGTTCAATCTCTAGAACCCACAGAAAAAGATGAGGGGCACACATCTGTACCTCCAGCTTGGCACTCCTACAATGGCAGTGGGTGGAGAGGAGGCTCAGGCAGGCAGCCTGGCATGCCAGCACAGTAACACATGCAGAAAGACTCTACCTGGAAAATGGGATGGCAACTACTGACTCCCCAAAGTTGTCTTCATACCTCTACAAGTAGCCTAGGCTGGCCATGAACTCCTGATCCTCCTACATTCTCTTCCCAAGTGCTAGGATTACAGAAAACATTCTTTTAGCGAAAACCAATGCTCACATCCCAAGTAAGGGAGATATGGAAAACTTTACCAAATAATTTCATTTACCTGCTATCATCTACACAACAAATACAAAGCAAACTAAAAACAGAGGCTTTCGTGTATCAAATGGCAATTCACATCAGGGCCACACCCCATATCTCTTAAAACTGGAAAAACCATCAGTCCCAAATCTACTCCATGAAACTTGGCAGAAAAAGAACTGACTCTGAATTCTAAAGAACTAAAATTATGGCCGGGCAGTGGTGGCACACGCCTTTAATCCCAGCACTTAGGAGGCAGAGGCAGACGGATTTCTGAGTTCGAGGACAGCCTGGTCTACAAAGTGAGTGGCAGGACAGCCAGGACTACACAAAAAAACACTGTCTCAAAAAAACAAAAACAAAAACAAAACAAACAAACAAAACACTAAAATTATGTCTTAATAGAAGTAGTTTTGCATCCAAGTGAAGTCTAAAATATATGACTAAATGTTCAATAGTAACTACTGTTGATAGAAGAATAAACAGATTTAAAAAGCTATATCAAAATGTTTCATTTTCGAAGCTGGGCATGGTGGCTACACCTAACTTGGGAGGCAGAAACAGATGGATCTCTGTGAGTCTGAGAACAGAATAGTTCTACATAGTGAGTTTGAGGACAGGCAGGACTACATAGTAGGACCCTGTCTCAAAAACACCAAAATAAATTTTTAATTAATTTTTGTTTTATTCAATTCCGATTTCACAAAGAGGCCAGTTGTTTGCTACAATAATGTTTGTGATGGCAAATAGGTCTAGAAGTATAAGCCTGTCATCTTGGCACTTCAAAGACTGAGAAAAACCACAGGTCCAAGCCAACCTACACAACATGGCAAGGCTTTGTCTCAAAAAAAACAAAAAACAACAAAAAAAAAAAGGCCAAGCAGTGGTGGCGCACACCTTTAATCGCAGCACTTGGGAGGCAGAGGAAGGAGGATTTCTGAGTTCGAGGCCAGCCTGGTGTACAGAGTGAGTTCCAGGACAGCCCGGGCTATAAAGAGAAACCCTGTCTCGAAAAACCAAAAAAAAAAAAAAAAAAAAAAAAAAAAAAAAAAAAAAAAAACAACAAAAAAAAAAAACCCTAACCAAAACTTAAATAGCTTTATTCTTTTTTTTTTTTTTTTTTTTTTAAAAAAAAAAGATATCCTTATTACTTCTGTGTACGAACAGAACATGCATACCTGGTACCCAAGGTTGAAAGAAGATTGCACCCAATCTCCTAGAAGTGGAGGTAAGCTGTTTGTGAGCCACCATGGGGTACTGAAACCTAACCATGGGTCCTCTGGAAGAGCAGCTAGCACCCACCGAGCTGTCTCCCCAGCCCTCGCATACTGAGCTGTCATGTGGGTCCTGGGGATCGAACTCAGTGCATGGTGAGCAAGGACTTTGACACGTGTACTATCTTTTAAAAATAGTTCATGCAAGGTTTGAATCCGAGGACTAAGGGAGGCAAAGACAGTTGAATCTCTGTGAGTTCAAGGCCAGTATGGTCTACAGAGTAAATTCCAGGATAGTCAGAACTTCATAGAAAGAACCTCTCTCAAAAGGAAGCCTAAACACTTGGATCCCTTCAATTGTTTTTATTTTCCTTTTCTACCATGTTGGAAATGAACCACAGGGCTGAATGCACGTTAGGCAAGCATTCTGTCACTGAACTAAAACCTCCAAATAGTCTCAGACAGCATATATTTCATCTTTCTAGCATGGGTAAAACAGCCCAGGAAAGAGCCTTACACCAAAGAGATGGTCAAAAATAAAAACCTTCTGGTATCTTTTTCTTGCCAAAAACCATAATATCACTGATGTCTCGTCAATTTTTCCTTTGCCAGGTTAAAACAACTGAGTTAAGCTCTTCCACATGTGTGTTAAAGCTGTGCTGGGAGGGTAGAGGTGGGAGTGTCCTCGGCTGGCAGAGTGTTTACAAGATGCATAAATCCCTGAGTTTGATCCTAAGCACAGCATAAACCAGTCACCATGGTGCATACCTACATAGTCAGAGGATTTGGGAGGCAAGGGATCAAAAGTTCAAGGTTACTCTTGACGATTTAAGGAGTTTGAGGCCAGCGAGACTATGAGAGACTTCTTTAACACTGGGTTTTGTCTCAGCAGTAGATCTCTTACCTATCTAGCATGCTCTTAGCTCTGGATGCAATCTCTAGCACAAAATGAATATGCACAAAGCTTAAGCCTGGAAACAAAACATCACTCTTACAAATAAAATGCTTGTATAACAAGAATATGGTGGCATGTGCTCATACTACAATCCCAGACATCCAGCAGAGGCTGGAGGATCACCAGTCAGTTCAAGGCCAGCCTGGGCTGCTTTAGTCAGACACTACCAAAAAAAAAAAAAAAACACACACACACACAAATAATTTACCTGTTCACCATAATTCTATTTAATTTTCATGACAACTCCGTAAGGAAGATACTAAGACTATTCCATTTCATAGCTAAAGGAAACTGAGCCACAAAAGTTAAGAAACTTTACGAAGGTCACACAACTAATAACAGACTGTCTGAGACTTGATCTTAGTCCCTAAGCTGAACCACACTTCTCTCAACAAGACTGACACAGGAGTCACTCTGTGGCATGTAATAAAAAACCCAGAATGTCATCTGATGTCAGATCACAAATACATTAGCATTTACCTCTTCAAAAACAGCACTGGAAAAATCTCCACATCGCAGTGTGCCATCATAGCTCAGGGACAATAGGTGGGCTGGGTTGGTGGGTGAGAAAGAAAGGCAGCTAACATGCCGACTGTGAGGATGGAAAACATACATCCCATCTTCACTCTGCTGGGTCTGGAAGAAAGTTGGGGGTGAGAGAAAGACACAACTAGAAAAAGTAGTGATGGTTGCTGTCTTGCTATCATTAAAGGATTTACGTCGGAATCACACTGAGTCGGCACTTACTCTCACTGTGTTCATTCTCCCAGACAGGCAGCACCAGTAACCTTTTAAAAACATACGTGTGTGGATGTGTATGCAACAACATGCCCACATAGATACCAGGATGCACATGTGTAAGTCAGAGGACACCGTGAGGAGTCAGTTCTCTCCTTCCACCATGTGAGTTCACTAGACAAGCATCTGTATCTCTGAGCATCTCACAGAACTACAGCCAACAACTTTGTACTGAAATTCTTTGTTTCCAAATATTCAGCTTAAAAATGTCACATTAATTCCACATGTCCAGCTAGAGCCAAAAAAAAAAAAAAAAAAATTACTTCTGCCAGCAGATGGCTGGGAGAAGAGGATCACTTGAGCTGATTGGTGGCAAGGGGAATGTTAAAGCTAGTCCAGGCAACATGGCAACATACTGCCTCAAGGCCAGTCTGGTCTGGTCAACACTCCTGAGTTTGAATTTAAAAAGTTACTTGGCATAAATAAAATAAGTGCTCTGACTGTAGTTCAGTTGGTAGAGTATTTGCTCAGCATCCTAGAAGCTCTGGGAAGAGAATATCTAAAGAGCCTGCGTGCATGTGCATGTTGACGTGAGTATCTGGAACGAGAGGAAGCCAGAAGGTATTGGATCCCCTGGAACTGGAGTTACAGATGTTGTGAGCTGCCATGTGGATGCTGGGGATAGAACCTGAGTCCTCTAGAAGAACAGTAAGAGCTCTTAACAGCTGAGACACTATCCAGGCCATGATCATCAATTCTTTTGCCAAGCTTTTCATGACTCAGTAGCAAGAGCTCTTCCAGAGGGCCCAGGTCAATTCCCAGTACCCATGTGTCATCTCACAACTGTCTGACACTCTAGTTCCAGGAGATGCAACACTTCCAGCTTCTGTGGGCACCAGGTATGGAATACAGTACACAGACATACATGCAAGGAAAAAATACCCATATATAAGATGTTTTTAATTAAAAAACAAAAATAGGGGCTAGAGAGATGGCTCAGAGGTTAAGAACACTGAGTGCTCTTTCAGAGGTCTCGAATTCAATTCCCAGCATCCACATGGTGGCCTACCACCATCTGTAAAGGGATCTGATGCCCTCTTCTGCTGTGTCGGGGATCTGATGCCCTCTTCTGCTGTCGGAGGACAGCTACCGTTTACTCATATACCTAAAATAAATCTTTAAAAAAAAAAAAAGGAAATAAAAACAAATGTTAAAAACAAATCTTTTAGAAGGGCTTTGCAGACCCCTTTAAACCCAACACTTGGAAACAGAGGCAGGCAGAGCTCTGTGATTTCAAGGCTTGCCTAGTCTACAGAACTGTCTCGAAAAAAATAAAACCATTAAAAAAAAATCACCACAAATATGGAGGAAGACAACATTCAGATCCTATCTGATCCTATTTTGAGCACAATTTAAAAACTCAGACTTTTCTTGTGGTTGTCATATATACACTTAATGTCTCCTGCCAGATAATTTATGTCCAGATGGCTAAAGATATTCAAGCTAAAAATGCTAGCTGGGCGGTGGTGGGGCACACCTTTAATCCGAGCACTTGGGAGGCAGAGGCAGGCAGATTTCTGAGTTCGAGGCCAGCCTGGTCTACAGAGTGAGTTCCAGGACAGCCACGGCTGTATGGAGAAACCCTGTCTCAAAAAACCTAAAAAAAAAAAAAAAAATCAAATAAAAAAAAAAGAAAAGAAAAAGAAAAAGAAATAAATAAAAATAAAAATCCTAAAGTTCTATACAACCATTTATTTATTTATTTATTTATTTATTTTGGTTTTTCGAGACAGGGTTTCTCTTTATAGCCCGGGCTGTCCTGGAACTCACTCTGTAGACCAGGCTGGCCTCGAACTCAGAAATCTGCCTGCCTCTACCTCCCAAGTGCTGGGATTAAAGGCTATACAACCATTTTAAATTCTACCAGATTTCTCAAATTTAAATCATAAAGCACAAAACTACAAATCTCAAGTAACATTTATAAATAAATGTTCTAGGCTATATCTTTCACACATTTCCATCAGGCAGATTTTAAATAACTTCCAAAAGATAGTACACTGACTTACTGTAAGGAGCAGGCCCTTAACAGGACTGACTCCATTCTGTAATAGGAAACTTGTAAAGACAAGTCTGGAAGTGAAGTTGTGCTGTGATAACCAGACACAAGTGGTTATCTGCCATGCATGTCAGCAGTAACACCAAATCAAACATAAAAAAGGAGGCCAACCAGAGCACTTCATCACACATTGGTAGCTATGACTGCCTGACGTGATCCTCCACCAAGCTTCCTCAGCTCCCGACCTTCAAAGAGATAAAGGAGAGAGCAATGCCTACACGGTCAAATTAGCAATTCAACTAGCTGGAAGCCACAGCCTGACATCCTCCCACCCCACTCTGCCTTCACAGACTCTGGACTCCGGACCTGTAACCAAGACCCATCATAAGGACTCAGGTCATACAGCCCATGAAGGAATGAGGTATTTATTGCTATGCTTATTTCTTTGGTAATTAACAATTTATTATTTGTATTCATTGTGCTGATATTGTTAGAGGCAATGCATAGGAAACGTGGCAATACCTCATTGTCGCAATAGCCTTGGCATTGGTGATAATATATTGTCTGCTGTGCATCATTAAAGAGCAATTGAATGCCAAAACCTCTGTCTCTGGCCTCTGTCTCTCTTCCTTCTTGAGGAGCTAATGATCTCAAGGTCAAATCCAGCATATGATCCCTGAGTGGAGTAGGACCTGTAGCTTCTCTCCCCAAGAGGATTCTAAACCTTATCACAACCTGGTCAGGACAGATAAGAGTCAGGGCTCGAGACACTTACTAAATCTCAAAATCCAATTCGTCCAGACTTGGACCCAGCTGCTACCAAGGTTCTCACTTCTGATGGATGGAGGGCCACAGAGGAGACTGCTCCTTTGGTCACCTTACAAACAGTAGCTTCACTGAGGACCATACCACTTAACTTGGCTTTGTAGCTACGAAAATTGGTAAGTTAAAAAGAAAAACAACCTCAATTGTCCAAGTAAGTAAAAAATAACTCAAAAGATGAGACATACAATCAGTAAATTCTGGCAAATATCCAACTCCAAGATGAAAAATAAAACAAATTACACAACATAGTTATTTTTCAATCATAAAATTAACTCTGATCATTTTAATGATGCCCTCAAACCTCTGGAGGCTACAGTTAAACCAGACATGCTCAGCCTGGAGACACAGCTCAGCAGAGGCAGCCACAGAGCCTATGTGTCTCTGCATATCTTGTACAGCTAGTGACATGTGCTACAAGACCATACAAGAGCCTCAGAGAAAGATTTTACGGCAATGATTCGATAGTGTGTAATAACAACCATAAGGATGTCCCCAATGTTTGGCTCATTAGTCCCATGTCTGGAAATCTAACAAGTAGCCTATATTATATATATGCACTTACACATGCATGCACAGACTAAATGGAAACTGACTCCAAACATCAAATGGGTAAGAGAAAGTGTGCTCTAGTAAATGTACACACACGTACACACACCCACGACAAAAAGGCACACCATGAAACTATAGACACATTAGAATTACATAGAACACACAGAAAGTATTTAAATAACATGTGAATTCATGTATTAAGCACTGGGTATATACCATATGCCAAGCAATGTTAGGGCTGAGATAAACTCTGCCTTCACAAAGCTTCCACCCAGTGTCAGGCCTGGCCTATTGCTGAAGGTTACAGTCTTAGCAGCTTCAGAAGTGAAGATTGCAAAGCCAAGGCCTGACTGAACACAGGTTTTTTTTTTTTTTTTTTAAATGTTTACTTATTTATTTTTATTTATATGTAAGTACACTGTAGCTGTCTTCAGACACACATCCATATGAGGGCATCAGATCTCATTGCAGATGGTTGTGAGCCACCATGTGGTTGCTGGGATTTGAACTCATGACCTCTAGGAGAGCAGTCAGTGCTCTTAACCACTGAGCCATCTCACCAGCCCCTGAACACAGGTTTTAATATTGATTTTCAACCTGACACAACTCAGAATCACTTGTGAAGAAGGCCATCTAAGACCCAATTGGCCTGGGGCATGTCTGTGGAGAATGTTCTTGACTGCGGTGGGAAGATCCACCCACTGTGGTTTGAACTATTCCCTAAGCAGGGAATCCTGAACTGTGTAAGAGGAGGAGAGAAAAGGCAGGGTATGATGATGTTCAATGTGGCCTGGACAACTTCGTGGTACTTCACCTCAAAAATGTAAAACAGAGAGCATGAGAGCTGGCTTAGAGGTTAAGGGCAGTTGCTATTCTTCCAGAGAACCCAGGTTCAGTTCCTAGCACCCACAAAGCAGCTTACAATCAGTTCTACAGGATTCAGTGTACTCTTCTGGCCTCTGTAGGCACCAGACACATGCAGTGTGCCCTTGTGTACAGGTGTGCAAAACATTTATATACATAAGTATTTCAAATACATAGAGCCAGGTGTGGTGATGAATACATTTAAACCCAGCAGATAGAGCAGAGTGGAGGGAGGCAGATAGAACTGAGTTTGAGGCCAGCCAGAATATACAATAAGACTGTCTCAAAAAAAGTAAATAAATAAATAAAATATCTATAAACTAGGGCTGGAGACATAGTTCAGTGGTAGAGCACTTGCCTGGTCCACTCAAGGCTTTTTAGTTCAATCCCTAACACTACGAAGAAAGCAAGCAAGCAAACCATTGTCACCACAGAAATAGGAGGGATGATGTCTTCACTTTTCAAGGTTTCCTATTAACAGTCTCCTGTAATAGTATTCATTACAGATTTTATACTACAAGCATCTCGGAAAGTATAAAACAAAGGTCAAAAGTAAAACAAAGTCAAGGACTTTTCACTTACCTTTTAATACTAGATAGCCCTTTCTTGGTCTTCCCATTACTTGTCTACAACATTAGAAGAGAAGAAGGAACTAAGTTACTATAATACATGACTTTCCTTAGTAAATGGCCGTCCCAAGTGATACCTGGCTCATCTCTGCCCATGTCTTCAAAGACGCTTTGAACAGTTTACTGTTGTCATCTTGGTTTTCAGGAATCATTTCTAAGGGTCCAGGAGGTAACAAAGGCTATCAAAAAGAAATGACAAAACATTGTTTGTCCTAGAATGTAAACTAAGAAGGGCTAGGGGTTCAGTCCTCATTTTCACTACTTTTCTTTCAGCACCAAAAACTGTGGCACGCCATAGGCATTCAAAATGGTTGGTTGTCAAACAGTGCATCATGGTACTCACCAGTAATCCCTGCACTCAGGAGGCTGAAGCAGGGGTCATGAGTTTCAGGCCAGGACCAGTTACACAGTGATATCCTAGGAAAAAAGTCTTTCTTCATGCCAAGGAAGGCCTGAGATGAATCTCATGTGGCAGAATGCTTGCCTCGTGAGCCTGACAAAAACCAGCTACTGTGGATTTCACCTCCAACCCCAGCACTGGGAAGGTGGGAGCAAGATCAGAAACTCAAAGTCACCCTGAACTAATTGGACCGCAAGAATTCAAGTTTTAAAAAAACCAAAAGCTATGTCAAGGGATCCTCTTCATTTGTTTTGTGTATGTGTGATGTATGTGCGTGTGTGTTCACATGAATGTGGGTGGACAGGCACATAAGGCATGTAGAAATATGTAGAAATCAGTCTCTGGTGCCGGTGGTCCCGCCTTCTATCTTAGTTTGAAACAGGTTCTCTCTACTGTTTGCTGCCCACCTCATGATGGAATGAAATCCACAGTGCAACACCAGCCTTTTGTGGGCTCTAGGTACTCACGTTCATACAGCAAGCACTTTACCCAGGGAGCCAGCTTCTTACTAAACCCTTCAAATGAAGAACTGTATGGATTCTATTTAATTTCGTCTTCTATAACATTTTGATACTGTCTTTTTATTCTAGGAATGTTCTTACTCTCTATTCAGGCTAGCCTCAAACTATGAAACTCAGCTCTCCTCAAACTTGTGACCATCCTCCTACATTAGCCTCCCAAACACTAAGATTACACACGTGACCCACCATACAATTTTCCAAATGTGAAAACTGAAGCTCACAAAGAGCAAGTGACTTGGCCAAAACTCCATTAATTCCTGCAGAAAAACAGACTATTACCCAGAATTAACAACTCTAAAGCCTTATTAAGCTATATACAATATATACAATATCCAACTATTAAATCAATAAAATTGAAACCAAACAAAGATCCACTAGAGTTATTCCAAATATTTTACATCATCCTTCAGATTTTTTTTTTTTTTTTTTTTTTTTTTTTTTTTGGTTTTTCGAGACAGGGTTTCTCTGTGTAGCCCTGGCTGTCCTGGAACTCACTCTGTAGACCAGGCTGGCCTCGAACTCAGAAATCCACCTGCCTCTGCCTCCCAAGTGTTGGGATTAAAGGCGTGCGCCACCACCGCCCGGCTCATTTTTCAGAATTTGATTAAGCTAAACGTACTTTACTTGTATTTCTTACATTTTCTTCTTCTACTAATGTTGGCTGTGTTGGAGATGCTGGTAATGAAACTCCCAAAGGGTCTACTTTCAACAACCGCATGGACCTTCGACATCCGATTTCATTTTCTTTCTTCTTAGGCCTCTTTCTAAAAGAGTGGAGGAAATATTCATGTTTTTCTCACTGAATAGGAAAATGTATTTAGTAACTTTTAAATTTTTTTTGAAATTTATTTTTATGTCTATATTGTGTGTGCCTGTGCCCAACAAGGCCAAGGCGTCCAATCATCTGGAATTGGAGCTACAGGTGCTGGCGAGTCACTGCTGTGAGTGCCGGGACCAAGTCCAGGACACCAGAGAGGAACAATGTGTGCTCCTGACTACTTGGCCATCTCCTCAGTCTATATAGTAATTTAAAGAAATGAGTATCTAAGAATGTACACTAGAGCTATAATCACACATTTTATATATAAATATATAAATATGCACTGGCCTGTGTGTGTGCGCGTGTGCATGCGTGTGTGCTTATTTGTATGTGAACTACGTACATACAGTGAAACAGAGATCAGAGCACTTGTTCACGCAGGAGGCCTGGCACATAACCATCTATAACTCCAGTCCCATAACTCTAGCCCCAGGGGACCTGAACCCTCTCCTGATCTTCTCAGGCACCAAGCATGCATGCGGTACACAGACATACATGAAGGCAAAACATTCATATACACAAAGTAACTAAATCTAAAAAAACTCTGAAATTAAAACAAGAAAAGAAAAACCGTATCAGCCAGGCGGTGGTGGTACACGCCTTTAATCCTAGCACTTGGGAGGCAGAGGCAGGCGGATTTCTGAGTTCGAGGCCAGCCTGGTCTACAGAGTGAGTTCCAGGACAGCCAGGGCTATACAGAGAAACCCTATCTCGAAAAACCAAAAAAAAAAAAAAAAAGTATCAAATAAAATAATATGCAACTATAAAAGAATGAAATATGACTTAGGGTATATCTCTGAGAGAGAAAGCCCCTGGCCCCTGGCCATCACACACACTTGCAAACAAACACACACACACACACACACACACACACACCCAGAGTGAACCAATAAAAGATTGTGGTGAAACAAATAAAAAAAAAGCAGAGGGAAAGACAGCTGAGGAAAAAGATGCCTCTTCAACTACTTCCATATATATTTCAAACTAATCTACAGGGTTGGAAATGTAGCTCAGTGGTAGAGCGTCAATTGCCCACAATTCATGACATTCTGGATTTGATCACCAGCAATGTTTTAAAAAAAAAAAGGTACCACCATAGGTAGTATTTTACACGCTGCTCAAACAACCTGCATAGGAATCTATTGCCAGAGACCCCACACTTATCCAGAATTACTCAGACTTCAGAATCTTCAAAACAATGGCTGGAGTGCAGCTTAGGGGTAAAAAAACCCACTTGCCTATCATATGGTCCAACCCCCAGCAACCTCCCACAACAGAATTCTTACAGGATATTTGATTATTGTACATAGGAAACCTAACTACTAGCAAAATATACAAACTTAGACAGATAATGAGCTTGTCAGATGCAGTTAGGTGTGCCCTGGAGAGATACGAGTGGGTGTGCCTCTAAAAGCCTCCATAGATAAGAACGCTAAAGTTCCTGCCAGTTAAGAAAAGTTGCTTACGAGAAGTCTAAGACCAGAGAAAAGGAAGTTGGGAGGCCTTGAGCTATCCCACCTTAAAGGTGAAATAGTTTACTCCTACTGACTTGGCCTGGAGCACCCCCACCATGATGGTGATGTGGTTCAGCCTGCCAAGCATGTGTGGGAGGAACAACAGACTTTATATAAGCAACCAGACCTTTGATATATCTCTCTCCCTCCCCCCTTCTTTCCCTCCTTCCTCACTTCCTTACTCTCTCTTCCCTCTGCCATCTCTTTCCTCTCTTATGAAAGGAGCTCAGAGTAAGAGACAGGGATTGTCTCTTTGGGATTGCAGTAACAGCAGAGAAGAATTATGCAGGATACACTTAAAACAGTCTTCTAGGAAAGAGAGCTAGGGAGCTCCCTAAATCTGACACAGACAGAGATTTCTAGAGAGGTAACAGTAGAGCTGTAGGATCATACTTCTAAATAGATATTCTGTGTCTAACTAAGAAAATAAAGTTACTTCACTGAGCTAGTAGGTTTTTACCTCAGCTTCCATCTCCACCTCTTTACTGGTATGAATAACAGATAATTAACACAGTTACAGAGAAGAGCTCTTCATTATGATGGAAATCTGGCCATTAACTGTAGAATAAACCAAGACAACAGGTGCTGCAATTCCAGCACTGATACACAGACCCAAGAGAACACAAATCAGAGGCCAGTCTGGGCTGCACATGGATGTCCAGGCAAACTTGGGCTACACGGTGAGACTCCATCTCAGAAAACAAACAAGGAGGAGAGACAACTCAGTGGGTGGTCACTTGCTGACCCACATAAGAAGCTGGATGCTAGAGGTGCAGATCTTTAAAGCCAGCATTAGATGGTGGAAACAGGAGGACACCAAGAGCTAGCTGACTAGCCTCCCTCAAAAGAGACAACTTCCAATTCAGTGAGAAGTCTCATGAAAATTAGAAAAGAGAATAAGAGGAAGACTATGAACAATGTGTGCAGCCATGGGTGCACACAAGCATTCATAGCCACACACTGACCTGCAAACACCACACACACACAAAGCACATGCCACATAGCTGTGTGTGCATGCATGCACACGAGCCTTCATGGCCACACATTCATCTGCATATACTACATACACACAGAGCACATACTACACATCTGCACGCATGCACACAAGACTTCACGCTCACACCCCCACCTGCATACATCATGTACACACATAACACACTCTACACACCCCACAAGGGGGAATGAATGGATGAATCTGGGTCAGAAAGATGGTTCAGTGGTAAAGGGACCTGTAGCCAAAGCCAAATGGTGGAAAGAAAATAAATTCCCACAACTTGCTGTAGGATGTACATACCCATAAACACAAACAAACTATAATGTAACTTGCATCACTCTCTGCTTGACAAATTCAAGGCAGCCTGTGTTACATGGTGTATTTCACGCCACCTTAATCTACAGCATGAGATGCCAAAAAAATAAGAAAAGGCTGGTGGGATACACTAGTAATCCCAGTGCTCAGGAGGCAGAGGGAGGAGGATCTCTCTGAGTTCGAGGCTACCTGAGTATACAGAAAGAGTTTCAGGACAGCCAGGGCTACATAGACAAACCCCATCTTGAAAACGAAAATAATTCTTTTACAAATTTAAACCTGACTTTGGTCTAAGAGCAAGTGCCAGGACAGCCAGGCCTATGTTGAAAAAATCTTTAGATTTTATTTATTATTATTTAATGAATATTTCTGAATGCGGGGATGAGTTTATAATCACTACACTGTGCAAAAGTACCCAGAGGCCAAAAAGAGGGAATCGAATACCCTAGAACTAAGGTATTAAGCTTAAGCTGCCATGAGGGTGTGAGGAACTAAAACTAGGTCCTCTGGAATAGCTATAAACCACTGAGCCACTGCTCCAGCTCAAGATTTGTTCACTTTCACAGGCTTTCTTCTCTTTACTATATAACTCCCATGCTACCAACCTGAAACCTCTGCCTCTACAAACACTGTGTGCAGAACCTTCATTTACACTCAAATGACTTCAGAAGCAATCAAAAGGCTTGGCTAACAATAAAATGTACAAGCTAGGCATGGTGGCATATGCCCATAATCCTATCCCTTGAGAACAAAATAAGAAGCTTGAGGCTTGAGTCTTGTCTCAAAACTTGACGGTGTAGCTCATGTTAAGCACATCCTCTTTTCTGTCTTACCTCTTTGATTCAGGTGGCACATTCTTCTTGATCATTCCACGGAGCCTTGCAGCTGACTGAAAAGCACACAAAACAAGTATATATAAATATGCTACCATATAGCTACATTGTTTATCAATTAAAATATTAAGTATCTGCTACTATATCTAGGTTTATTTAAGAAATAAAGAGCCTTAAGATGTGATACTTATTCACAGTAGATAAATACATCAACAATAAAAGCAAGTATATGTTACCATCTGACATACTAGCTTTATGGTAACTGAGCCAAGCTCCTTATGAGTTTACAAGAGTAAATACAGTATTTAATAAACATACTATCACATGACTAGCAGTGTGGCTCTGAGGACAGAACCTGCTTAACATGCATAGGAGTGCCTGTATTCATAACACTGCAAGAAAGAAATTTAAAAACCTAGTAAGTGGGGATGGAGAAATGGCTTAGCGGTTAAAAGCACTGACTGCTCTTGCAGAAGTCCTGCGTTCAATTCCCAGCAACCACATGGTGGCTCACAATCATCTGAAATGAGATCTAATGCCCTCTTCTGGTGTGTGAAAGAAAGAAAGAAAACCTAGTAAGTGAAGTGAGGTGGCTCACACATATCTATAATCCCAACTTTTAGGAGGCTGAATACAAATGGACAATTTCAAGGCCAGCCTGGCTACATGGGCTGTCTTAAAAAAAAAAAAAGGCAGTGAGATGACTTGACCTATAAAAACAATTGCTGCCAAGCCTGACGATGACCTGGATTCAGCTTCTAGGACTCACATGGGGCAGAGCCAAAGTTGACCTCTGACCTTCACACATGTACCATAGCATACGCTTGTCTTTCTCAAAACTAAATGTACTCAAAAAATTAAAAGTGAGAGTCAGGCATGGTGATGCAACCCTTTAATCCTAGCACTCAGGAAGCAGAGGCAGACTGATCAATACATTGCAGACCCGTCTGGTCTACAGACCAAGATCCAGGGCAGCCAGGCTCATGCAGAGAAGACCTGTCTTAAAAAAGTAAAAAACAAACAAACAAACAAACAAACAAATAAATAAATAATCCTAAATGGATGACACCTCAGGAAAATACCTGAGATTGACCTTGTCTTTGATTGATCTTTGGCCTCCAACTGTACACACACCAAAAAAAAAAAAAAAAAAAAAAAAAAGGAAAGGATGAAAAAGAAAAAAATATGCCTAGACACAATTAAACATGGTAATGAAAACCATGGATCTGGCTGCACAGGGACAGTGCTTACAGGAGGAGCTCGCCTAGCATGTAAGAGGACCCTGCATCTGATCCAGCACGGCCAAAGGAAAAAAACGGCATAAATCAGAACGGGATTCCTTACACTCATCCTGCACCATCTCCTTTCCAATAAGTAAATGTAAAGTCCCACCGGGAACTTATTGGCTAATAAACTTTCAAACTGGTTTGAAATCTTCTATTGTTGTTCTTGATTTTTAAGATAGGGTTTCATGTAACCCAGGCTGGCCTCAAACTTACTATGTAGCTCAGAGATGACACTGAAATACTATTGTCGAGTCCCCACTTAAGTTCAGGGAGGACAGCATGCAACACCCACCAGCAGACTCACAAACATCTACAACAGGACATACAAAGAAGAACAAGCAGCCGAGCTCTTGGGGGCACATGCTTTAATCCCAGCAGTGCGGGAGGTAGAGGCAGAAACCCCACTCTACACTGAAACCCAACCTGGTGTCTGCAGGGACTTCCAAAGGAGGAGGAGGACAATGACCACAAACCACCTTAGGTCACACACTGCTTGGATTTTGTCTTCCCTCATATGACACTATGGAAGATTACCATCTAGTTATCTCACCTTTGCTTTCATTACAAATTTCATACATACCTCAGCTAACTGAAGGGAAGCAAAAAAGTTTGCATTTTCTCTGATGTTCCTCATTCTCTTCCTCTCATAAGGTGACAATCCTGAAAAATCATCCTAGAAAATAGACCCCCCACCAAAAAAAAAGTCACTTCACTCATTAACAGCAAAACAACATTCAGAACCAGATACTCATTCTCTACCCAGACACTTCCTTTCAAACTCCACACAGACTCTAACTGTTTCATATTATCTCAACCAACAGCCCAGTCTTTGCTGGACTGGATAGTAAGAGAATCCTATCTTGGAATACCTGTATGGTTTTCCATTTAAAAAGAAGTAATCTGCCTGACATGATGGCATGCACCTTCAATTCCAGCACTTAAGAGGCAGAAGTGGACAGATCTTTTAATCTGGTCTACATTGTGAGTTCCAGGACAGCCAGGGTCCCGTGTCTCAAGAAAAAAAAAAAGTAATATAATATTGGGAGCAAATGCCATGCCTTATAGCAGACAAATGATATTTTAATAATAATAATAATAACTACAATGATGATGATAATAATAATCTTCAATTAACACAAGCAATCAATGAATACATGCATGGGTGGTTCACACCTGCAAATCCGAGCACTGGATGACAAAGGCAGCATTCCTGGGGCTCAATCTTTAAACCTCACATCTTAATATCTACTTATTGTGCATGCCCATGTGTGTATACACATTGGAGGTCAGAGGACAGCTCTGAAGAATTGGCTCCCTCACCACCTGGGTCCTAGAGATTAAACTCAGTCATCAGCATTAGCAGTGTGGCACCTTTACCTACTGAGCCATCTCACTGGGCCACACTTTTAAAAACCATAGGAGAGGGAATTACAGGCAGCAAAGTGCTGGGACCTTGTTTTTACAAACATGTGCTCAAAAACAGAATTAGGTGCATATGTACACATACACCTTACTTAACATATGTGCATTGTTACTTTGGCAAAAATAAATAATCTTCTCCAAGTAAAAGTGAAATGTTTGCATTTGTCACTGCTTTGTTTGGTTTTGTTGAGGCAGGGTTTCTTAATGTTTAATTTGTTATTATTTTAGGTTCATTGGTGTTTTGCCTGCATGTGTATATGTGTGAGGGTGTCAGAAGTCTTGGAACTGCAGTTACAGACATGAGCTGCCTCTAGGGTGCTTGGGAATAGAACCCAGGACTTCTGGGAGAGCAGCAAGTGTTCTTAACCCCTGTGCCATCTCTCCAGCCCAAGACAGGGTTTCAGATATCCCAGGCTAGACTTGAAACTGGTATATGGCCAAGAATGACCTTTAACTTTGGATCCACCTGTCTCCCAAGTGCTAGCACCATTACAGTGTATTCCCTACCACAGCTGCTGATGGGTGCTGGTAATGAATCCAAGAGCTTCTACCTGCTTGATCCCTACTCCCCCTCCACCATCCCCTTTCATGCCCCCTATGAAGTCAGGGTCTTGCTACTTAGGCTGCCTGGCACTCACTAAGTCTAGGCTGATCACAAACTCATAGTGCTCCTCTTTCAGCCTCAGCACATGTCAACAGGCCAGCTTTGTCACCATTGCCTATAAAACTGTGGCTCGCTAGCTTCATGACCTGAATTTGTTCCCCAAAATCCACAAGGTGGGCAGGAAAGAACCGACTCTCAAAGTTGTCTTTTGATTTCAAACTACATGGACATACAGTCAATCACATCAATCAATAAACATGAGAATAATTTTTTGATATTATGTGTCAGGAGTGTCACCAGCACTATCCTTGAGTCCACAGTTTCAGCTATGGTCAACCAGGATCCAAAAACATCCACTGGAACTTTCAGAAATAAACACTTCATAGGTTTTAAGCTGTGTGCTTTTCTGAGAAACTTGTAAAAAAAAAAAAAAAAAAGAAAAGAAAACCTCACAGTTCTGCAATTTTATACATAGAACAAAACACACAACAGTCCCCCTATCCCCAAGGGACACAGTCTAAGACTCCTAAATGACTGCTTGAAACCATGAACACCATAAACCTTACATATAATTTTTCTTATACATATATCATGCCTATACTATGCTCTCACGTAACCTAGGTATAGTAAGACACTGGTAACAGAGGCTGGTGGTGTGGTATAACACTTGCCTACCACATTAAAGACCATGAGTTCAATTTCTGATAGCACACACATCAAATAAGTGAGTAATAAAATCTGAGGTCTGAAGAGATGGCTTAACAGTTAAGAGTACTTACTGCTTTTCTGGAGGATCAGAATATTCAAGTCTTAATTCCCACATCAGGCAGCTCATAATCCAGCATCCACACACAGGCCACCCATACCCCCACCAACACACACACACAATCTAAAATCATAAAAAACATCCTCAAAATAAATAAGATAGCCCAAGCATGGTGGGACACGTCTTTATGCCCAGGACACAAGAGGCAGGGGCAGGCAGAGCTGAGTTTCAAGTTACCCTGGTCTACACAGAAAGCTCCAGGGCATCCAGGGCTACAGATTAAGATTGCATCTTTTTTTTTTGGTTTTTTGAGACAGGGTTTCTCTGTGTAGCCCTGGCTGTCCTGGAACTCACTCTGTAGACCAGGCTGGCCTCGAACTCTCGAACTCAGAAATCCGCCTGCCTCTGCCTCCCAAGTGCTGGGACTGAAGGCGTGGGCCACCACCTCCCGGCTAAGATTGCATCTTAAAAGAAAAAAATAAAGTGCAGGACCAGAGAGATAACTCAGGAGGTAAAGGCACTTGTGTACCAAACCTAAGAACAGATTTCCACAGGTAGAAAGAAAACCAACTCCTGTAAGCTGTCCTCTGACCTCAATGCTCTTGCAGAGAAGACCTGAGTTGGGGTCTCAGTACCCATGTCAGGAGGCTCACAAGGGTCTCAAACTCTACTTGCAGGAAATGGGAAGTCTTCTAGCCTCCTAGGGCACTCAGGCCACTCCTACCCCTTTGTGTGCATTCATTCACACAAAGATTATAAAATGGAGCTAGAGAGGTGACTCACTGCTTAAGAGCACTGGCTGTAATGCAGAGGACTGGGTTCAGTTCTCAGCACCTACATGGTGGCTCACAGCCATGTGTAAAATGATTCAGTACATCCTGAAAATCTTCTTCTGACCTCCACAAGCAGCAAGCATGCATGTGGTACACATTCATACATTCAGGAAAAAACACTTACACCCATAAAAGCAAAGTAAATCTAAAAGGAAAAAAACTTGGTATGTAGTAACATAAAAAACCTTTAAGAATTTCAGGAGGGCCAATGGCTACATAGTGAGACCCTGTCTCAAATTTTAAAGATAATTAAAAAAAAACCTAACTAAAAATTCTTTACATACCATGTAAAGTCTTTGCCTAGGGGAAGCACAAGCAACATCTACCCACAGTTGACTCTGGAGAACTTCCTTCCAGAGCACAGGTGCAGAGTTACTTACAGGAGTGTGGGTGTTTGCCTGCTAAATGCCATACAGGAAAGGCTTTTACCTAGCTGTTGTGATGACTCATGAATGTTGTATTTTCTAGCTATGTAAAAGTATGTCCTTGCTGCATGTGTTGGTACACACCTTTAACTCCAGCACTTGGGGGGCTTCAAGGCCAGCCTGATCTACTAAGCAAGTCTGGGACAGCCTTGGAATCTGCAGTGAAGACTAGTAGGATATGTAAATGTCACTTCCTCACCTGCTTTTAAAAGAAGGGCAAGCTGCCCTAGGGAAGGTAAGCTGCCAAAAGGAAGGTGACCTTCCCCAAGCAGCTGACAAAGCCAACAAGTAAAGTAAGGAATGTGTCTTTTGAATAATAAAGATCTGGTGACCACAACTAGAGCAGGAAGAAGCTCATGGAGGCAGACAGAAGCAGGAGGCAGTAGCAGGACACACCTGGGAAGCAGGCAGTGAAAACCACATGGAGAGACACAATGGCATAAGTTGGTTAAGTTAGAGGCTAGCTGGTAGACAGACCGCCCCAGCAAGAGGCCAACAGCCCTAAACAATATAGATGTCTCTGTGTCTTTATTAAACCTCAAGCAGGATCCCCGATAGCCCTGCAATGCCCAGCAGATAGATAACTTCCCAAGCTGCATAGATGGACCCTTTTCTAAAGTTCTCACTAGTCTACATAGAGTCTAGCCTGTCCCGGGCAGTGTCATGCACTTAGGACAGGTGCATACCACAAGTGGCTGCAGAGGGGCTGTGACTATCTAAATAGCTGACAAAGCCAGCTGGGACTATCTTTTGTAAGTCGGCAAAGCTGAATGCTCCAACCAAGATGGGAGCTGTTTAGCTCTAAGGATAGTCTTGGACAACTCAAATAAAAGGTATCTGAGGACCAGAGAGAGGACTCTGGGTAAAGTGATCACCATGGAAGCATGAGAACGTGGGTTCAGATCCTCAGCACTGCATAGAATCTAACAAAATCAAACACGACCGTGACCACATGCTTCCCCACTTCCTAAGTTTTAGGAGGAAGTACCCTGTTTGAAAGTGATGTCTAATTGAATGGCAGACAAAATGACAAATCAGAGAACGTGTTGATAGAACAGGCCATGCCCAACTCTCCTAACATCTGAAAGGAAAGGGAAACTACTCATGGACAATACAGAAAGAGAACAGGTACTTTTACCAACACAGTTAGAGAGAAACAGGTTGCAGGAGAGAACAAGCTAGACACAGGTAAAGACAAAATGAGAAGGAGCCAGAAGATTAGCACATACTCCCAAAGTTAGGATGTGGCCCAGGTATGCAATTCAGAGCTGAGAGAGAAGCCGCCAGATTGAATCAGTCAGCTTGGATAGGAGTATGAACCAGAACAGCTGAGTTGACCAGCCTTCCAAAGAACTAGAAAGGGTGAGCTTATTCAGTCTCAGAGGCTGAAAACACTCTAGGACTATATTAGATTGAAGGGAGGCCAGAAACTTCCAGGTCTAGGCCTAGGTTAGCAGATCGAGGCAGTAAGTCTCTGAGAAGACAATCACATCAAGTGAATAAAAGTTATTTTAACCAAAAGGTGCCTGCTGTCATACCTGAGAATCTGATTTTAATTCCTATAACCTCTACACTTGGGTCAAGGCATATACACGCACACGCACCGCTGTTCAGACACACAAACACATGTATACACAAAACTTTTAAAATTTATATTAGATGATAAAACAGATTTTTCTGGAGATTCTTCACCACCTTAGCTTTCAGAACTTCTAGTTTCAAAATAAGAAGATAATTAGAACAACTAATTAGCTCTTACCAGGCCTGCTGCACTGTCTTCGTCGCTGCTCTCCATGTCCACACTGGGAGTCACTGAATCCAAGGAGCTCTTGTGGTCCAGCTTGGTGCTTTCAGTATAAGCTTCCAAGGATGGTTTCAGCAGAAGAGATTCTGCCTTAGAAGAAAATGCCTTCATTTTTGAAGTTAAAACCTTTCTACAAGTTTTCTTCTGATCTGTCTTCTTATGAACCACTGATTTGCTAGAATTATTTTCAACCAGGGATTTGGAGAACTTAAATAGGCCTAGCTTAGAATTGCTGAGCGAAAACGGGTAGAGATAAACCTTGGCTGTTTTCCTTAAAGTTGTAATCTGTATCGGTCTCAGAGAAGTATAAGCAATATTTTCATTTTCTTCATATTCATTCACCTATTCAGGAAATAAAGGAAAAGAGGATTAGGAATTCGAGATCCTATGCTCTTCCATACCAGGGCAGGAGACAAATCTGAGTAAATAAGTCTAACTCCTATTCCACAGTCACATGATTCAAATTGATGGCCTGTTAGGAAATTTTTTTCTTCTCCAAAATCTGGATAGTTAACTCTCTAACCTGAATGTAATTTCCGAAGGCAAATTTCAGTCTGAGGTGATTACAACAAAAGTCAGACACAGGATATCTGGAATTGCTTCAAGCTGACAGTAACTTTTTGCAAAACAATGGCAGGGAACCAGGGGAAAGGGCCCCAAGTCCTAGCTATCCTACAGTTTGGGCAACATTTTGGGGTTGACCTCTAACTCAGAGTTCCACCTGCTTCTGCCTAGAGAGTGATGGGATCAAAGGCAAATCTACTGTAATTTCTGGGGTTAGTAGTAAATTTTCCAGAAAGTTTAAGGACCTAATTTTCTCTTTAAAAGAAAAAAAAAAAAAGCAGGAATCACAGCTTTTCCTTGACGACAGGTGCCAGCGGCTGGCAAACCCCTCCCGGCCCGAATCAGGTCTCACCTGCACCTGGGGACATCCTTTGGAGCCCGCCTTTTCCTCAGCCTCAGCAATCAACCTAGAAATCTCAGACATCTTTCTGCCACTGAGCAGGGGAGCTCTTCCCGTTGAAACCGAGGCGGGATTGGGCGGGGCCCTGCGGGATGTGGGCCGACACGAGGGAGGAGCCTGGGCGGCCAGCACAAATGAGCTGTGTGGATCCCCTGGGCCATAAAGGCTTTAGGCGCCTTTTTTGTTTTGTTTCGTTTATATCCTCAATAGCTCCCTCCTCTGCACATTCCAGGTCTGAACCTGCAGCTCACCTTTCCGGTAGGATTGGCTCACCATACAGCTCCAAGGACCCACCTGTGACCCTCCCCTAAATGCCAGGGCTTTTACTGGGTGCTGCGAATTCAATCTCAAGCTTCGAATTTGGGCAACTACCACTCTTACCTAGTGAGCCATTTACCCGGCGGTGTTTTGTTTTGCTTTTTATACAGCTACATCTCTCTCTGTCACACAGACTAGCCTCATAATCCTACTGCCTCTGCTTCTGGAATGTGGGATGCAGAATCTAAACCAACACTTACATTGGATCCTGTAATATTGAGCCTAGTACTCCTCGAGATCTTGCTTTAAAAAGTACTACTTTACAGCATGACCCCTAGAAAAAAATCCATACGCATGCCAGGCGGTTGTGGCGCACGCCTTTAATCCCAGCACTTGGGAGGCAAAGGCAGGTGGATTTCTGAGTTAGAAGTCAGCCTGGTCTACAGAATGAGTTCCAGGACAGCCAGGGCTACACACAGAAACCCTGTCTCGAAAAAAAAAAAAAAAAATCCATACGCTCATAGATGCCATAAGGAATGGAAGACAAATAAGCATATAGATCAATAGGATGAGCTTGGAAGAAATGACGCAGTCAGTAAGGTGCTGGCAGTAGACCTGTGTTTGATTCCCAGCATCCAAATTAAAAAGCGAGGGTTACAATCCCAGCACGGGAGACGTTAGACAAGTGGAGTTCTGCAGCTCCATGGCTAAACTGACTCACCTAAACACAGAGCCCAGGTCCAGGAAACACTGTCTCAAAACCAAGGGAGATGATGCCACAGGTAAGGATGTTGGACACCCAAGCCTAGTACCTTTATTTTACTTGCAGAGCCTACATAAGGGCTATTTCTCACTGCTGTCCTCTGAACTTCAAAACCTACACCAAGGAACACCAACCCCCATAATAGTAAAAAGAATTTTGTAAAGGTAGACACCTCCTGAGGAAGGACGCTCAAGATTGTCCTCTGACCTCCATGTGCATGTATGTACACAAATTTCTCGACCACCACAGAGGTGTACACTCACCCCAGTGCACACAAACAGTGAATGTTCAGCCTTTACTTCTGCCCACAGTCTTGCAATGTGACTACTAGGAAACCGAACCTCACCATTACTGTGCGTTTTTAAATCCTAAGAAGGGGAGCAGCTAAGCAAGATGATCCACACTTGCCACCCCAGACTTGCGAGACGGAGGCAGGTGGGTCAGGAATTCAAACTCCTCATCATCAGCTACACAGGCAGGTCAAGGGAAGCCTGTATTACATGAACCCTGTCGCAAAGAGAGGGGCACATTTAAAGAAAAATAAGGAAGGGCTGTAGAGATGGCACAGGGGTTAAGAGCACTGACTGCTCTTCAAGGGGTCCTGAGTTCAATTTCCAGCAATGACATGGTGGCTCACAGCCATCTGTAATGGGATCTGATGCCCTCTTCTGGTGTGTCTGACAGCTACAGTGTATTCATGAAAATAAAATAAAAAGAGTAAGCATTCCGTGTTGCTTGGTTTCTAAGCGCTGACGACGCTGGTGAGGTTGCACATGACTACATGTCTACCTTGTTTTACGTAAAGAAAACCTATGGATGGCCAGTGTTGGCAAAGGCCTATAACCCGTCCTCAGCACTGGTGCAATAGAGACGACAGCAAGTAGCAATCCAGTCAGTCTGGGCTACAGCAGCAGAACTTTGTCTGGGGGGCAGTGGCAGAAGACTTTCAAAGCTAAACCACACACTGGGAATGTAACTCAGTAGAATATTTACCTAGAATCCACAAAGACCCTGGATTCTATTCCCAGCATCACATAAAACCAAGCACGGAGACCCACACCTGTAATCTCAGCTCTAGGCAATCAAACACAGGAGAATCAGAACTTCCACATCATCCTCTCTTACTGTGAGAGTCAGAGGCCAGACTGGGATACATATACCTGTGTCTCAAGTTTAAAAAAAAAAAAAAAAAAAGCTAAAAGCCTGAGAATATGGGCATTTCCAAATGGGATTTTCTCACTGTCTTTTATAAAGTCAAGACCTTTTTAAGCCTTTTCCTAGCACTGTCTTGAGTTGCTAGGAAACAAAACAATTATCTTCCCAACACATTTACTCCCCATGCAGTGCAGTTCCCTACTCCAAGCTAAGCTCTGCTCAGAACACTGCTCTAATGCTGAACTGCACCTGCAGCTCAGCCGTATGATTTTTAGGCTGATAAATTTAGGCTGATAAATTTTAGGCTGATAATATAACATTTCTATGTCCAGTGAACCGGCACACCTATAGAGAATCCTAGCTACTCAGGAAGGAATAAATGAACAACAACCAACTTAGAGGCAAAAACAAACAAACAAACCGATATGGGAAACACAGCTTCAAAATAACAGGAAAAAACCATTACTGTCTACTCTGGCCTTTTAAGGCTTTTCTAGGTGTAAGCGTCGTCTACTCTGGCCTTTTAAGGCTTTTCTAGGTGTAAGCGTCGTCCTTGTCTCGTAAATTGAAAACCCTCACTACTTAAAGTTGGTCAATTTCCTCTCTTGACCCAGTAAAGACCCAAGTGAAATAATTTGATAATTATATTAATAGCACTTTCTTTTTTTCTTTTTTTTTTTTGTTTTTTGTTTTGTTTTTCGAGACAGGGTTTCTCTGTGTATAGCCCTGGCTGTCCTGGAACTTACTCTATAGACCAGGCCGGCCTCGAACTCAGAAATCCGCCTGCCTCTGCCTCCGAACTGCTGGGATTAAAGGTGTGCGCCACCACAGCCCGGCTTCAATAGCACTTTCAAAGTCCTATATAATATTGTACTCCCAGAATTTTCACTAAGAAGACCGACTAGCCTCAATTTCAGAGGTCCACCTGCCTCCGGTGTATGTCCCAACCGACAGGCGGCCGCGCTGGCCTCCAAAACGCATTCCTGTTTTATGCTCCCAAATGCTGGAATTACAAAAGGGACCCAAGTATCCAAAACAAACTCTTAACACTTATGAGCTTCCAACAATATGCACAGTCCCTCCTAATCTCCTCGGTTACTTCAAAAAATAATGAAACCTTTAATCTGAACCTTCCTGGACCTTACCAAAAACCCAAAAGAAGCAACTGTCAGCCAGAAAGATCTTCTAAGTTTTCAACGATTTAAGACAGGAAAGTTGCCTAGGCAGACTCGTAAATTTGTGTCAAGCCCTTTAAGTGGTCTGAGATCGGCGTTCCTCCATTTCCCACAATCCTCTGTTATATACTTCCGGTTCCTCTACCTTCGCCGGAAGTTGTTTCTGTCAGTTGCGTAGCAGTGAAGGGAAAAGCTCGGTGGGAGGGTGTGCTCTGTTCGTCCTCTTCGTTGGGATTCAGTCCATTTTGGAGAGTCTCCGCAGCAGCCGTCACCATGTCGGTCCCAAGCGCACTCATGAAGCAGCCGCCCATTCAGTCTACGGCTGGGGCCGTCCCAGTTCGCAACGAGAAAGGTACTGGCTCCCCTCCCCTCCGGTAGGATCTTACCTCTTTCATCCTGAGTATCTCTCAAACCTGACTTACGCCGACCATACCAGCTCGGCTGACCACTAAAACCTAGCTTCAGTTTCTCCCTGCGTCCCACCTAGGTTCTCAGGTGGCATAGAGAATGTGAGAACCGAGATCCACTTGCATCTATCGAATCGATATAGTGACATCCTCTCTCGCAGTAAAACCTAATGGAAGATGGAGAGGTGGCTCAGTAGTTTAGAGGACATACGGCTCTACCAGAAGACCCAAGTTCAATTGCCAGCACCCACATAGGGGACTCAACAACCACCTGTAACCCCAAGTATAGGGAGATCTGACACCTCTGGCATCTACCAGTACCTACACTTGCACACATATCCAACACAGCATAGTTACAAATAATAGTAATAATAATAATAACAACAATAATAATACAAATATAAGAAGACAGTGAGCTAGAGGTCTGTGTTGTGTGTGTTATAGCCAAAGCTAACCTTGATTTGCCCAGTTTGATTAAAAGAGTTTCCTCGTTTTGTGAAATCATTTGATTAGTTTGTATAATCTTTCTGTTGACTGGAATTGTTTGTTTTGCGTCTTTATTTTTAAGCGTATGAATGTTTTGCTTGCATGTATGGAGGTGCACCATGTGGGTGCAGTACCCATACAGGCCAGAAGAGAGCATGGACTCCTCTGGCACTGGAGTATCACACTGTTATGGACTGCCAAGTAGATGCTGGGAAATGAATCCAGGTCCTCTGCATGAGCAGAAGGTCCTCTTAGCTGCTGAGCCACCTCTTGAGCTGCAACTCATTGGTGTTTCAGAAGAGACCATCTGATTGAGCACAAGAGCTAGAGGAAAAGAAGGGAGAGATTGGTAAAGTTAGACTATTAAGTTATGTTGTAAAGGCTGCTATCTCAGGCTCCCTCTGCTATTTCAGAGGGAAGAGGTAGGAGATAGCTACCCTACTGTGCCTGAGTTCAGACCCCTAGCATCCATATAGAAGCCCCTGTGGGGAGAAGAGACAAGAGAGGATCTTTGAGGCTTGATGGCTGGCTAATATAGCAATATTAAATTAAATATAAAATGAGACAGCAAGCAACAGGTTCAGTGAAAGAACCTGTCTCGACAAAGAAAGAACACTAAGTGTGACGACATATGCATTTAAGCACTCAGTAGGCAGAGGCAGACAGAGCTCTGTGAGTTGGAGACCAGCTTGGTCCTCACCAGCCAGGTCTACATAAAGAGACCCTGCCTCTACAAAAAGGTATTTGGGCTGGAGGGATGGTTCAGTGGTTGAGGGCAATTATAGCTCTTACAGAGCTCTGTGTAGCGCAGTCATACATGACTCTGATTCCAGGGGATCTGAAACTCTTTTCTGACTTTGTAAAACACGAAACTTTCATGTGTGGGAAGCATGCATACATGCAGGCAAAACAGTTAAACACATGAGTAAATTTTTTTTTTTTTGTTTTGTTTTTCAAGACAGGGTTTCTCTGTGTAGCTCTGGCTGTCCTGGAACTCACTCTGTAGACCAGGCTGGCCTCGAACTCAGAAATCCGCCTGCCTCTGCCTCCCAAATGCTGGGATTAAAGGCGTGGGCCACCACTGCCCGGCATGAGTAAATCTTCTTAAAATTTAATTTTAAAATAAGGTGGAAAATGATAAATGCATTTGAGTCAACCTCTAGGTGCTCTGCATCTGAGTGCAGGTGCTTATGGCTCTTTAAAAAAAATTAAAATGTGTGAGTGAGCCTGGGAGTGCTGGGCACACCTGTGGAACACTGTGGAGGCAGAGGCAGGCAAATCTGAGTTGAAGGCCAGCCTGTCCTAAAGAGTGAGTTCCAGGACAGGCAGTGTTACACAGAGAAACCCTGTCTGTAGTGCCTATTCCTGGTTGTCAACTTGACTATATCTGGAATGAAGTACAATCCAGAATTGGAAGGCTCATCTTTGACCCTGATCTTGAGGCTGGGGCATACAAGTTTCTGACCTGGATCTTGGCATGGAGATATTGAGCCAAAGTGCCTATGAATCCCAGGAGACTAAGGCAAGGAGATCTCTTGAGTTTGAGGTCCTCTGGGACAAAGCAAATCCCAGATCCATGGGTGGTGGTACACATCTTTCATTTGGGCCACACCTTCTGCTGGAGGCCTCCATAAGGACATTGTAAGAAGAAAGATTCGCTCTTCCCCTCTTGCCCTGTGGGACTGAGCTACTGCTAGATCCTTGGACTTCCATTCACTGCTGCTGCTGACCATTGTTGGGGAGTTGGACTACAGACTGTAACTCAGCAACAAATTCTCTTCCTTTGAGATAACATTTAATTACAGTTATCTGAATTACAGATAAGAGACTTAGAATTTTGGGCTTCTAACATTGCTGAGACTTCTATAGGCTATGAGTACTTTAGAAGTTAGACTAAATGTACTTTTGATTGTGCTGTGTTTAGGTATGGACCCCATGGACTCATATGTTTGGACAAGTCTGTGGGGGCCAGGGAGTGGAATTCGATGGTTTGTATATGTTTGGCCCAGGAAGAGGCACTATTTGGAAGTGTGGCCTTGTTGGAGTAGGTGTGTTACTGTGGGCATGGGTCTTAAGACCCTACTCCCTAGCTCCTGGCTGTCTGGAATCCAGTCTTCCACTAGCAGTCCTCAGAAGAAGATGTTGAACTCTCAGATCTGCCTGCATCACGCCTCTCTGGATGCTGCCATGCTCTTGATGATAATGGCCTGAACCTTTCTCTGAACCTGTATGCCAGTCAGCCACAATTAAATGCTGTTCTTTTAAGAGTTGCCTTGATTATGGTGTCTGTTCACAGAAGTGAAACTCCGTCCAAGTGGGGAAAAATTGAGAGTGATAATTTAGTTTTATGTTCCCACTCAAATTACTCTAGCTAATGTGCTGTTACAATGAATTTGTTTAATAAGGGTGTGTTTGTTACTTTTCAATTGCTGTGATATAATACCATGACCAAGGCAATTTATAAAAGAGAGTTTTATTTGGGCATATCATGCCAGAGGATTAGAGTCCATGAAGGTAGAGCAAGGCATGGCAGCAGGAACAGGAAGCTGAGGCCTCATATCTTGAAGTTCACCCATGAAGTAGAGAAACATATAGACAGACAGACAGACTGACTGACTGACTGACTGACTGGATCAATGAATGACTGGATGACTGGCTGACTGAACACTCAGGCACTGCAGTAAGAATCAGTAGGGATAGTATGGGGCTTTGAAACCCCAAACCTCACCCCTAGTGACATGCTTTTTCTAGCAAGGCTGTATCTCCTAAACCTACCCAAACAGCTGGGAACCAAGTCTTCAAAGATCTGAGCCTATGGGGAACATTCTGATAAAGTCCCCGCTAAGCATTAAGATGACATAACATGAATGTATGGGGACTGGGGATGGGGGTCTGCACTTTGACTCTTCCCATTCCTCTACCTGATTGTTCCCAAGTACCTCTTGTTGTCCTGGTGTTGGTATTCATAAAATGCCTACTCATACCATAGACTTTATAAGAAAGCATTGAGAGGTGACTGTGTGTTGGATAATGGCTGTCATATGCTCCTTAGTCTCTTGTACATCAGGAACTCAGGGTTCTCTCTGCAAAGGCCCAGAAAGAGTTGAAGGGGATTAGGGAAGAGGATACTGAAACATACATTCTCTCTCTTGACCAGGTGAGATTTCAATGGAAAAGGTGAAGGTAAAACGTTATGTGTCCGGAAAGAGACCAGATTATGCCCCTATGGAGTCCTCAGATGAAGAGGATGAAGAATTTCAGTTCATTAAGAAAGCTAAGGAACAAGAAGCAGAGCCTGAGGAACAGGAGGAGGATTCATCCAGTGACCCCCGACTTCGGCGTTTACAGAACCGCATTAGTGAAGATGTGGAAGAGAGGTAATGACTAGAACTATGTCTTCCTGAACTGACACCTCTCATGGAGATGATAGTAGCTAAGACTGTGCTTGCTGTGTCCCATATATACTGTCCTAGATCTGTCACATTGCTAACTCAGTCTGTAGAAGGTGGTACAAGCTTGGCACTACTGTACCTGTATTACAGGTGAGGAGCTAAAGCAGCAAGGAGTGAGGGGAGGGGCGTGGCCAGAGCTACATAGCCAGGGAGTGGCAACTTCACAAAACAGCATGGCTTGGTCTGTTGCAGGGGGTCTTTTTATTACAGGAATATGTCTGTGTATCTCTTTCTGTATCTCTATCGCTGATACATCATGGATACCCACAATAATAAAAGTACATTTTAAAAATATTTGAAGGGAGTGGGGCTAGAGGGATGGCTCAGTGGTTAAGAGCACTGTCTGTTCTTCCAGAGGTCCTGAATTCAACCCTCAGCAACCACAATGATGGCTCACAACCATCTGTAATGGGATCTGATACCCTCTTCTGGTAGGTGTACATGCAGATAGAGCAGTCATGTATATAAATTTAATAAATAAATCTAGTAAAATATTTAAAAATTCTTTTCACAGACTGCATGAATTGGAACAGGTCTAATCATTTCTTTGTTTCTGTTTTCCTTTTGGGTTTGTAAGAGTCTTTTGTAACCCAGGCTGACACTGAACTCAATGTAGTCAGTTCTTGAGTTTTCAACCTTCACTTCCAAAGTGCTGAACACACAGCAGTACCGTGCCAGTCCTTTATTTTATTAAAGATGTAGAGCCAAATAACAGGTATTTATGCTCTAAAACATTTTTTTTCCTAAAATCATTTTTAAATGGTTTGAAATATCAACCTGTAAAAAAAAAAAAAAAAAAAAATGTTTTTATTTTATTCTTACAAAACCAGTTACATGGGGCTGGAGAGACGGCTTAGTGGTTAAGAATACTGGCTGCTATTTTAGAGGTCCTGAGTTCAATTCCTAGCAACCACATGATGACTCACAACCATCTGTAATGATATCTGGTACCCACTTTTAGCCTGCAGGCAGAATAATCCTCTATCAATAATAAATGAGTACTGTTTTTTAAAAAATTTAAAGCTACTTACTAGTACGAGTAGAAACTATTGGACACTGCCATCTTCTCAGAGCTTTGAGTCAGCTTGATCCCCTGAGCTTTCATGTTTAATTGCCTTTGGTCAGAGCAGCCACCAAATCCCAGTTTCACAAAAACTGATAGGATCCAATGAAACTGAGCTACTCGAGCCATTAAGAATCCATAATGTGCCCCCAAGATCATGCCTAAAGTAATGTTCTGGGCCCAACTTACATATGTGCTCTGATGTTCTGTTGTATTTGTTGTGTTCTGTATGTAATTTTTAATTTTTTAATTTAAAATACAGTTACATAATTTCCCACATTCCTCTCTCCAACTGCCCTCCTCCTCCCCCTAACTCTCTCTAATCCATGGCCTCTTCTTAAATTGTTGATTCACACACATAACTACCTAAAAATATATAAATTCAACCTGCGCAGTCTCTGTGTGCTTACTCAGGTGTGTATGGTCTCAAGGTTAACTATTTGGAATGGGATAACCAATCAGAGGCAGGGGCTCTTTCTTGGGGAAACCTGTTTTTTCCATTCTCAGCATTCTTTAGCTGCCTGAAGTTCTTTGAATGGTGCTGGAGCCCTGTGAGACTTTCCTTTTCTACGTTAGTATGTCTGTTGATATAGTTCTTGTTTGGGCAGCCATGTGACTAAGAATTTATGGGTTTGCAGTGTCCCTGACATTTCTAGGACATACATTTTCACAGCAGACTTTCTGTCCGTCTAGCTCTTAAAAATCTTACTGCCCCCTCTTCTACAATATTCCCCAAGCCTTAGGTGGGGGAGTTATGTTATAGAAATTATTAATTGAAACTGGATACCACATGATCACTTGTATTTTGAATTTTGATTGGTTCTGGTTTTCTGTAATGATCTCCTTCTGTTCTGAGAAAAGACTGAGGTGATTGATGAGAGGTGAGAGCTACACTTATCTGTGGATATATAAGTATAAATATTTAGGATGCACTCAGGGATTAAGGTGGATTAGTAAAGTAGTAGCTATAGGTAATCCTCAAGATTCCTGACATCAGTTTGTGTGTGGGCAGGGTGGTACTTGGTGAGATTTTTAGTCTCAGGCATGATTTCCCTGAGCATTTAGAGAGCTGTTGGTTACCACCAGAATAGATGTGTCATTATTGTACCCCTAAAGTTATCATGCCATGCTGGTAGTTGTAATTCATAGGCATCATAGCTGGGTGGGAATTTTGGTTGCTTCCCTCCCTTGCAAACTTGCATGGTGTCTTCTGGTACCATGAAAACTAGTCCTTGGGGAGAGGGCTTTCAGATCAGATACAACTTGTATTCTCCAGATCCTTTGTCCAGATGCATGGTGTCGTCAGCCATGGTGTAACCTGGCCTGTAACATGGCCTGTAACCTTTGGGAGGCAACTAAGAGCATCTGTGAGAGCCTATAATGTTTTGGTTGTCTTTTATACTCTCCTGACCAACAGACTTGACGGGGGTGCTTCTCATGCCTGGTACCGGGGTTTTTGATTAGGTAGTCTGTGTCTCTTGAGAAGGGACCTGTTGTCAAATAAGGTAGGGACTTTTCATTAAAACTATATACCTATGTACATACACAGAGACATACATGTATTAAGTGTAATTTCAGATAGACGGCAGTATGATTTCTTAAGACTTTCTCAGACATTCTTACTATTAACTGTTGTAGTTTCTTGAATCTGAACTTTAGTTTTTCTATCTTAAGACTCAGTGTGAGCCAGGCAGTGGTGGCATATGGCTTTAATCTCAGCACTTGGGATGCAGAAGCAGGCAGATGTCTGTGAGTTTGAGGCCATCCTGGTCTACAGATTGAGTTCCAGGAGAGCTAGGTGTACACACCAATCTCAAAAAGGGGTCAGGGGTCAGTGTGGTAACTCATACCTGTTATCCTGGCTCTATGCCAAAGCAAGAGGGTTGCCAAGTTTCAACTACATAGCAAGTTGCAGGCCAGCCTGGGCAAAAGAGTAAAACTCTGTTGAGAGACAAAGACAGAAGAGTGGGTGTGGGGAACAAAGCAAAAAATTTTTTTACTCTTATTTTCAGCATTAATAGTACACTTGGAAATTCTGCTTTTCAGATTGGCTCGACACAGAAAAATCGTGGAACCTGAAGTAGTGGGAGAGAGTGACTCAGAAGTAGAAGGAGATGCTTGGCGAGTGGAGCGGGAAGACAGCAGCGAGGAAGAGGAGGAAGAAATTGACGATGAAGTAAGAGGGGAAAACTTGGGATTTGACCCAACCCCCCCCCCAATACTCCTACCCCACCCCACCCCACCCCACCCCCGCCCTAGTGTATAAGAAAAATTGGGACCAGTACTGGCTTGTCGAAGTTATAAAGGCACAGATTAGCCAAAAATTGGGACCAGGGCTCCCTTGTTGAAGCTATAAAGACACAAGCTCTGTTCCTTTTAGCCTAACTCTGATTACGTTTCCTATTTGTTGTGGATGAGCCTGAAAATGAAGTCATGCTGAATTATGCTTATTCATGTCAGAGTTTCTTGAACCTGTTGAAGACAAAATCAGAGCTATGCTAGGGGCTCAGTAGTAGGACTTGGGTTTAGTCTTTAGCACCAACCAAACAGACCTGAGACCTAGGCCATTTGAAGGCCCTGCATGCCTTACACATACGCATGCCTTGATAGGAAATAGAGCGGCGCCGTGGCATGATGCGTCAGCGAGCACAGGAGAGAAAAAATGAAGAGATGGAAGTCATGGAGGTGGAAGATGAAGGACGCTCTGGGGAAGAGTCTGAGTCAGAGTCTGAATATGAGGAGTACACAGACAGTGAAGATGAAATGGAGCCTCGACTTAAGCCTGTCTTCATTCGAAAGTAAGTATGTTCTGGACCTGCTAAGCCAGGCTTAAATTCCCAGCTACTCAGTAGGTTGAGCCAGGGGGGGAGATTGCTAATTCAAGGCCCCCTGAGGTACAGGATTAGTTCAAGGCAAGCCTGGACAACCTAAGAAAACCCTCTGATTCTCAAAAAGGAAAGTAGACATTGAATAGTCAAACCAAGACAGGTCTAGAGGCACACAGTTCCCCTCGAAGGACTTCGGATAACCCACCAGACCTCTGTTATGCAGGAAGGATCGGGTGACAGTTCAAGAGAGAGAAGCTGAAGCACTGAAACAGAAGGAACTGGAACAGGAAGCAAAGCGCATGGCTGAGGAGCGGCGGAAGTACACACTCAAGGTTCGGGGAGGGGCCGTGGGTTGAGTGCAAGGGTCTGTGTAATGAGGTTATAGGAGAGATAGAGCCCAGCAGCTGAATTGCTTTCCTCATCCAGATTGTAGAAGAAGAGACTAAGAAAGAGCTGGAGGAGAACAAGCGCTCCCTTGCCGCCCTGGATGCGCTCAATACTGATGATGAAAATGATGAGGAGGAGTACGAGGCCTGGAAAGTCCGTGAGCTCAAGAGGATCAAGCGGGAGAGAGAAGACCGAGAAGCGTGAGTGATGGGTGGGCATAGGCTCCATGCCTCAAATGCACTGGTTCATCTGTGAGCAGCTAAGACTCCTACAGTGTCCTGTTAAACACAAAAATTTCTGTTTTCTCATGCTGTGACTCAATGGAGTCGCTTGAAACAACAGTCTGTGTTTTTCTCTATTGTGGGTGTTGACCAAGCAGTTCCTTCCTCTTGTGGTCTCAGTGGCTCACCTGTGTGACCTCCAGCTGAAGGACTGAGTGGGCCAGCATGTCCAGAAGCCCTTCTCTGGTGTGTTGACAGTTGGTGCTGGCTTTCACACTAGACACTTCATTTCTCTTTAGCTTCTGGTCTCCTGATACTGTACCTCTAGGCAGAGGTAGAAACTGGCAAGGGCTCCTGAGTTCTGCGTTCCAGAGCTCATGTGTCACTTGTGTGATATGTTTATTAGTCAGATGGAGCCACAGGACAGCCCAGGAACAAAGTGTGAAGATGCAGATTCTATGTGTGTGAGAGCAGAGCTGGGAACACCTTGAAAAGCAAGTTCATTTCTTAACTGCTAACCCACAAAGTCAAGCAATCACTACATAATTGTCTGTATTTTGTTATTTCTGGTGTTCTTTTTCTGGGTTTTTGATGTTTGGTTTTCCTTCTTTTGAGGCAGGGTTCTTGGTTGCCCTAGACCCCACTGTGTAGTCCAGGCTGCCCTCAAACTCCGAGATCCACGAGCCTGTACCTCTCTGCTGCCCTTCTGCCCCTCTGCCCCTCTGCCCCTCTCCTCCTAAGTGCTGGTATTTTGCCACCATTCAAGTCTTGAGGCTTTCTAATTATGTGTATATGTGTGCAGGTGTTCACCTGTGTAATTGCAGGTGCCTGTGGGATCCAGACCGAGGCATCACATCCCCGATAGATGGACTTATTCTTTGACATTATTCTTGTTCTTGTTTTTTAAGGCTGTAGTGTTCTATGTACTCCAGGCCTAACTGCTACTATGTAGCCAGGGGTGACCTTGAGCCTCTGCTCTTCTGACTGTGCCTGCTGAGTGCTGGCCATAAGCATATCTGGCCTCAATTGTCAAAAGGGCAGCCCAAAGAGGAGATAGAGAATCAGTGAGGGGACAGGGACAGTCTCACAACTCTGACTGACAAGCAATCGAGTGCTTCTTTATTTGTACAGGTTTCACCCAACACAGACAGACTAATATTATCCAGGAAGTACAGAGTAAACGTTCGATGTTTCATTACATGTCCATAGTTACAAGTTCAGTCACAATCAGAAAGTACAAATAGAGCAGATTTTATTTTTATTATCAGCTCTATACCTGTAACTTAAACAGTCTAAAGAATGTCTCCTCCAAAGCAAGCACACTAATTATATGACAGCCTGCTTGTAGGCTGGCAGTGTTTGCAGTTTTAAAGCACTCCAGACAAAGAGAAAATATCTGAACCAGTCTTTTTGTGAATTAGCAAACACTAATACCTAACTTCTTTTATTATACTGTTTCATCATCTATATTACAAAGTAAGAAAAGTTTATTTTATTTTCTGAGTTGCATTCCCCCAGTGGTATATGGTGTATAGCCCCCTATCTTCAAACTACATTTTCAGAGAGCTCTAAATGTATTGTAAAAAGAGGTCTTGAATCTGTAATCTATTGTCCTCACCAGTCAGAGTTTGACACTTGTCTTGTCTTTACCCTGTACCAATTATACTGTTGGAGTTGGCTTAGTGATGGATACCCCAAGAAGATTCCTGAAGTAATGGCCTCATTTAGGAATTCTTATTGGTGCCTGTCTGTGTTTCCTGATCTCTAGGGCATAAGGAATACTTCTAAATACAACCGGATAAAGTTAAAAGTTTAAGGGTAGGCCAGCCTGGTCTACCGAGTGAGTTCCAGGAGAGCCAGGGCTACACAGAGAAACTCTGTCTCGAAAAACCAAAAAAAAAAAAAAAAAAAAAAATTTAAGGATGTTTTTAAGACTTTTTCTAGAAAGATTCATCCATAATTTTCTCAGGAAATGACATATAATAAATCATAATGAAGAAAGTCTCCAAGAATGCAAAGTGCAGAGACCATACCCAAATTGAGAGACAGATTGACAGCAAATGCAGCATTTGGCTCAGCTTTGCTGGAACTGTCAGACAGCTGTGCTAGAGTCATGACTTTCACCCTTTCCAGTGACTTATGACTGTGCCACCCAGGTCTCTGGGGTGCTATGGGGAGGAACCAGGGCTGCAAGCACCCTGTGGAAGAACCACAGCACTGAGCCATGTCCCCAACCCTTGTGTTAAACAGCAAGGTTAAATTACGTATACACATTTCTTTGTTTGTTTGTTTTTTCGAGACAGGGTTTCTCTGTGTAGTCCTGGCTGTCCTGGAACTCACTCTGTAGACCAGGCTGGCCTCGAACTCAGAAATCCACCTGCCTCTGCCTCCCAAGTGCTCGGATTAAATATATTGATAATCCTTAATTTGTGACATGATAGTGTGCTTACGAATGATTATAAGTAGGGTCTTACCGGTTATTTTGAATTCATTCTCATCTTGTTTGAAAAGCTAAGATACTGGAAGGAAGACAGAATTAATATTGTAGAATCAAGCAGTGACAGTATGTCTGAAACCCAGAAAGGCTCGAATCAACTTTGGCACACTTAGAGTCCTGTTCTGGCAAACATAATGATGAAGAGCAACCCACGTTCTCTCTGACGGGACTCCTGACCTTGACTTCTAACAGGCAGTGACAAGGAGTCAAGATGCAGTTGGGGGTAGTGGCATGACTCTATCTATAATACCACAGTTGGGAGATGAGGCGTGAGGTTGAGAGTTACAGGCCAGCTACTCATCAGATCTGCTGTGAATGACTGAAGAAGTGAGGGAAGGGAGGAAGGAAGGAAGGAAGGAAGGAAGGAAGGAAGGAAGGAAGGAAGG